TGTACTGTGGAGTGCTGAAGCTCGAATCGGACCTGCTGCACCATGTGTGACTGTGAGAGTGTAATGGTGCGAGCTGCTTTGTCCCTGGTGATCAGCAGGCCAAGGTAGTGGCGCAACTCACCAAGGTCAGTGCACGTGTGTCTCTTCTGCAGTTCGCGCTTCACGTCAGCCAAAGCAACCCTGTCAGCAGTGGCGAAAACCAGGTCGTCGACGTAGACCAGTACAAAGAACGGTGTGGAGCCACGACGAACGAACAACGACGGGTCGGCAGAAGACGGCTGGAAACCGAGGTCAGACAGAGTAGAACGAAGGGTGTCGTGCCACTCACAAGGAGCCTGACGGAGACCGTAGACCGGTCGCCTCAGCCTCCACTGGGTCCCAGGAGGGAAAGTGCCAGTGAAGGCAGAGGGACGACGCAACCAGACCTCCTCGTGTAGGCTACCCTGAAGGAAGGCAGTGGAGAAGTCGAGAGAGTGTAGCTCGTAGTCTCTCTGTGCTGCTACGCGCAGTAACACCCGAAGAGTGGTCATCTTCGGGGTAGGTGCGAAGGTCTGAAAGAAGTCAACTCCCTGTCGCTGACTGAAACCTCTAGCCACGTAGCGCGCCTTGAAGACCGGAGGAGATCCCGGTGGCCGCTTCACCCTGTAGATCCACATGCCATCGACTACGTTCAACCCAGGGGGGGGAACCTCGTCGACGTAGGTGCCTGTGGATCTGTAGGAGGCCATCTTTGCGTCCATGGCAGCTCTCCACTGAGAGGCCCAAGGCCCTGACACTGCCTCAGCGTAAGTGCGAGGAGTCGGTATGGCGTCGGGGTCACCCTCAGGGGCGAGCACCATGGCACAGAGATGAGGGGAAGCGGCGGCCAGGAACTCTAGCTCAAACTGCCTGTCCTCTAGGGCGTCACAGCCAAGGGCAAACTCACCCCTGACGGCCAGAGGACTGGTAGGAGGAGCAGCCACAAGACTGGTGGCATAGTCAAGGCGGCGAGTAGAGGCAAACTCAGTGACTGCGGTAGTAAGAGCGGAGACAAGGACACAGAGGCACGAGGGTCGATAACAAGAGAGGCGAGAACACGAGAGAGAACAGGACGGTACGTGCGGTAGTAGTCAGTGACAGGAGTGGACAGGGAAGCAGTAAGGGGCCACTCAGGAGGAGAAGGAAGGAGAGACGGGGACGAACGAGGCGGACTAGAACGAAAGAGGGCAGTACGAAGGTCAGTAACGAGAACAGGAGACGAGGGACGAGCACGAGGAGAGCGACAAGAGGCCCAAGTCTGAGAAGGAGGAGGGGACAACGGAGGCTGAGAACGAGGGAAAACAGCTGGGGAAGAGTCAAGCGGAGGAATCGTGGGACCGTAGACAGGAGGCAAGGGGGAGGAGGAAGGAGAGTGAGAGGGGAGGCCGAGGGTCCGAAGACCAGAGACAGGAGGAGGAGGGGGCGACTGCAGCTGCTCTTGCTGCGGCTGCGACTGCTGCACCTGCTGCTGCTGCTCCTCCAGCTGCGGCTGCTGCTGCTGCTCCTGCTGCTGCGGCTGCTGCTGCTGCTCCTGCTGCTGCTGCAGCTCCAACTCACTCTCCTCCCTCTCCAACTCCAGCTGCTCCTCACGGGCACGGCGAACACGAGCCTGGAGCCGAGTGGGTAGGGGTGGGGAGGAGGAGTAGTGTCCAGAGCAGCGGTAGCTCCAGGACCGCTCTCCAAAGCACCAGACACGTCACCCCCAGAACCAGTACCACCAGCAACAACACGGCCAGACTCACCAGAGCCCGCAGAGGGCGCACCCGCACCCCCACTCGTAGTACCCTCAGGGTCAGCGCGACCAACACCAACTCCCGGAAGACTAGAGTCTCCTGCAGCTACGGACTCATCTCCAACTTCAGCACCCCCAGAACTAGGACCCGGCACAGGGACGCTCTCAAGTGCAACCCCAACACCGCGAGAGCCAGCTCCCCCAGCGGCCTCACCACAAACACCGTCCCCCGCAGGGTCTGCTGCAGGCTGTGGGGAGGACTGCGGGGAAGGAGACCGCACCTGAGGGGCCACCGAGGGGGGAGGGGTAGCATGGGAAACACCTGACGGGGCTAGACTAGGGGGGGAGGCTGAACCGGGGGAGCAGGAGGGGAAGCCGAAGTGAGAAAGAGAGGGGGAGGAGGAGCCGAGAGACCTCGACAGGGGTACCTGACGTAGTAGGGGGTGGACTCCTCGAAACAAACGTCACGGGAGTCAACGAACCGGTGAGAGGGAGGGTGGTAAAAGGTGAAGTCAGAGGAGCCCTCTGGGAAACCAAGGAAGACACAGGGAATGGCGCGAGGCGAGATCTTGTCCGCAGAGGTGTCGCTTACAAGAGCCAAGCAACCCTAGACACGAAACCGCGACGCAACACCAGGGGACCCGGTCCAAAGACTGGTCGGTGAAGCCTCTGGCCGAGAGACACGTGGCCAGAGGTTCAGCTGGTGAGCGGCGTACCTAACCGCGTAGGGCCACAGAAAATGGGGGGCACGGACGTAAGTCAAGGAGGTGCGGGCGATCTCCATGACCAAGCCTATGCGGCGCTCAGCAACCCCATTCTGCTGTGGGGACTCTGGAAGCGTCCAGGACTGACGAATGCCCTGCTCGCGACAGAATCCAGCGAGAACGCCGGAGCAAAACTCACCCCCGCGGTCGGAGTGAAGACAGCTGACACGACGACCACGAGTGTCCGCAGTGGTAAGTAACCACCTGATCAGCGTAGAAGTCACCTCAGACTTCTTCGCTAGGGGGAACACTGTGGTGTAGCGGGAGTAGTCGTCAACGACCACCAGAAAGAAACGCTCACGCTCAGGGCCAAGGCGAGAGGCGGGGCCCCAGACGTCCAAGTGGAGAGTCTCAAAAGGCTCGGTGGCGGACGCAAGGAGGAGGAGTGAGGGGTGGCGCGCAGCCGACCCTCGACGCAAGGACCGCACGGTGGTGCAAGCGAAGGCGGCAGCGACGGCAAGACACGCGGGAGGCCTAAGACAAGACGCTGACTAGACATAGCGCGCAGACGAGGAATGGACGGGTGCCCCATCCGGTGGTGCCACAGAACGGTGGGGTGGGCAAGCGACCGACAGGAGCAAGACGCCGCAACTAGACCAGACACGGGAACCTGACCAGACACAGCTACCTGGGGGGACGCGGCAACCTGGTGAGACACGGGGACCTGACGGGGGGCAGGGACAAGGGCCAGGGGCAAGAGCTGCTGCTGCTGCTGCTGCCGCTGCTGCCGCTGCTGCCCACTAGGGTTAGTGTGAAGTGTGTAGAGACCGGAGCCCGGCTCAGCAGTAAAGGTGGCAAGAGGCGCGTACGAGTCCCCGTCAACACAAACCGCTGTCTTGCCAGGGGGCTCAATCCACACACCCACGTGCTGACTCACAAGAGGCCTCACGCCCACCAAGTTCCTCGAGGGAACGTGGAAGCCGGTCAGAGACCCGGAGGGAACAGCAGGGCACGGAAGAGTAGTAGTGTAGCGAGCAGTGACTGGTCCCGAAGTGGGATCAGCCAGTGCTACAGAGACCGGCGCAGGAAGCGGTGTGAGCGTCGTGTGGTCGCGGAAGAAACAGTGCGAAGCCCCAGAGTCCAGAGTGAAAGACAGTGGAGCGTCCTCCGAAGTAGCTCCTAGACTAGTGTCTACACAAGAACCTACACTAGCAACAGGCAACTCAGCAAGACTAGCACCTAAGCTAACAACACTCGAGTAAACAGAGTCAGAAGCACTAGAGTCAACAACAGCATACATAGCATGAGGAGTTCCTAACAGATCAATCAACTGAGAAGCAGACATGCCCCAGAGAGCGAGGCCGTGGGACTGAACAAGAGGAAACCAGTCAGGGGCAGGGCCGTCAATGTCGTAGGCCAAGCGAACGGTGTCAGTAAGCTGAGCAAAACACTGACCCGGTGGGTGGGTGCGGCCATAAGGTTGGCCCCGGGGGGCACCTGTCAGAACGTGGTAGGTGCACGGAGGGTGAACGACACTGCGCTGGAGCTGACGCTGTCCTGACCCCTGCCCCAAAACCTGCTACTACCGCTGCTGCTGCGGGGGCTGCTGCGAGGGGAGGGGCTGCTGCTGCTGCTGCTGTCGCTGAGTCAGGTACCACGCCGCTGCTCCACCCCCGGAGGCTGGCAGACGAAGCGGGGGGGCACCTCCACTAGCTGCAGCAGGGGAGTCTTTGGTCACTGCACGAGACGCTCCTCCAGCCGCTGCACTCCCGCCGCCACCGCTCGCCACGACACCCCAGCCGCCTTCGCCGCCCCCGCCCGCACCCTGGCCACTCCTCTTGCCACCCCTACCCCAGGACCGCGAAGAATTCGTAACAGCAGCTGCGGTCACGTCAGTAGCAGCAGTGGCGAGGGAGGCAGTAAAGGTGGGCAGCTGAGGGACAGTGCACCCGTGAAACAGTGGAGGGGGCACAGCACCAGAGGCGGAGGCTACGGAGCGGAGGTTGCTCTCGACGTCCTTGAGAGCAGACTCAAGGACGCCGATAGTGAGCTCGCTAGGGTGCTTCAGAAGAAGCGCGTCACGAACCGAAGCAAGGCGGTCAGGGAGGCTAGTGGCGATGAAATAGATAGTGATCGCCATGGGGGGAGGCAGCAGTGCAAGCTGGTCGTCAGTGCAAGCTGGTTGTCAGTGCAAGTAGCGCAAAAGCTAGCGTCAAGCGAGCGCAGGTGGGCAATAAGGTCAGCAGAGCGCTCAAACGAGGCGAGGTCAGGGAACAGGAATGGGAGGAACAGGCGTCCAAGAGAGACAGTGGAAGGAGTAGCATAGCGGGCCTTAATCGTAGTCAGAAACTCACGAGCCGTGCGAACCTGTGCGAAACGGGTCTCCTCGGACTCAGGGAGGAGGCTGCTGAGGGCGATGCAGGCTGCAGCGTCGCGCGATTGCCAGGCAGTCAGATCAGCATGCTGACGTGCAACACGCTCTCTGTCCGCAGTGGTCGCGTCAGGTCCTAGGGTAGCAGGAGCGGGGGGCGCGGGGAGGTCACCGGATGCGTGCGCCCACAGGGACTAGGAGACGCTGCGCACGCTGAGCCAGACAGAGAACTCGAGGGTCCTACCCTCGGCGTCAAAGCGAAGGACCCTAGGGGTCGCCATAGCGAAAGCAAAAGCTACAAGACCGACAGGGCGCAGTGGCAGGCGCAGCGGGCGGCACGGGTAGGGACGGCGGGCGGCGAGTGCAGGCCCGCGGCGGGCGCAAAACGCAGGCGCGGCAGGCGCAAGGGGCGGGCCCGCGGCGGGCGTAACTGACAGGCGCGGCAGGGAAGAACGGGAGGACCCGCGGCGGGCCTAACAGGCAGGCGCGGCGGCGGGCGTAACAGGCAGGCGCGGCGGCGCGAAGGTAGGGCCCGTGGCGTGCCTAACGAGCAGGCGCGGCGGCGGGCTAATGAGCAGGCGCGGCGGCGCGAAGGGAGGGTCCGCGACGGGCGTAACGGGCGCCGTCGCGCGTAACGGGGCGGGCCCGCGGCGGGCGTAACTGACAGGCGCGGCAGGGAAGAACGGGAGGACCCGCGGCGGGCCTAACAGGCAGGCGCGGCGGCGGGCGTAACAGGCAGGCGCGGCGGCGCGAAGGTAGGGCCCGTGGCGTGCCTAACGAGCAGGCGCGGCGGCGGGCTAACGAGCAGGCGCGGCGGCGAGAAGGGAGGGTCCGCGACGCGCGTAACGGACTCCTTCTGCCAGCTCACATCCCTGGAAACTTTTACCATGAGCGAGTGTGGTGAAATGGACCAACTGCCTAACAGATTCTGCAATCTCACATCCCTCCAGACCCTGTGCATTGTGCACATAGAAGAATGGGAAGACTTCCCCATTCCAGAGTGCATTGCAGGGTTTCCTCAACTTCATACACTTTATTTGAAGAGGGTTTCTGTGCATCAGCTCCTGCCTTCACTCCCCCGGTTGACTTCCTTGACTCGGCTTGAACTGGACAGTTGTCAGATGGAAGAAGATCTCCCTCGGGATTTGGGGAAGCTGAGTAACCTGCAGCAGCTGCATATCCGTTCCTGCCCAATCAGGAAGCTTCCAGCGTCCTTCACTGCTCTCACCAGCCTGCAGACCCTCACAATCGAGCATTGCAATCAGCTTACGTCAAGCAATTGGAGGTGACAGGTTGTTTCATGCTCACAGAACCTCCCGACTTCCTTCCTCGCTATCTGGAGGTCCTGAGCTTAGAGCTCCCCAGCCGAGTTACCTTCCTGCCAGATCTCTCTATGTTGTTGGATTTAAGGAGATTGACTCTGAAGCTGTATGGGACAGGACAAGGAGCAGCCGGAATCGGCAGCAGCAGATCACCTCGTTTGAACCGATTGCAGAACGTGGAGTATTTGAATCTAACTCTCGGAGCGGCTGTTGAGAAGTTTCCGTTCCCGCGGTTTCCGTTCCCGCAGCTTCGCATCTTGAAGATTTCATTTGGGGATCAGATTCAGCGGCTACCAAGCAATCTCGGGTTCGATCTTCCGCAGCTACGGTAGCTGCGGTTGCACTGTACCAAGGGATTGACAGCGCTGCCAGAGACCATCACACGGTTCCAGCACCTCACATCGCTAGACATAGACCGCGCATCCCAGCTAGCCTCCCTCCCGGGTGGCATTAGTGCGTTATCAAGGCTGAGGATCCTACGCCTGTCGCACTGCTCAGCACTGCAGCACCTCCCCGCCTCCCTCACGCGTCTCACGAGTCTTCATGAGCTGAATGCTGAGCGGACAGGCATCTGCGCCCTTCCTCCCAACATGGCTCAGCTGTCCCGGCTGAAGCGGCTCTATTTGGGAGGGTGCAAGTAGCTGCGGGCGCTGCCAGAAGGCCTGACAGACCTCACGATGCTGCGGTTCATGGGGATTAAGGGGAGTGACCACGCGATTGACAGTGTTAGAGACGAGCAGGAATGTCGCTTCCATAGAATGTATGACTTGAGGACAGATTCCGCTGGTCAATAGTGCCTCGGGTTTAGGGTTTAGGGTCAATAGCCAGCAGCTAAAATAGTGACCCCCCCCTTCTAGTTGGATCCACTAGAAAGCTCATGAAAAATTCCAGAAAGTTTGGTGTTTTTTTTTCAAACAGGGCAAGTCCCCAAGTAGTAACAAGACCGACTTGAAGTTGTTTCCGACTTCTGATACAATCAGTCACAACAAGCACAAAATTGTCGCAAGCTTGCTATGACATTTCCACTTGTCCCACCCATCCAAATCCGCATCGAGCACAACACATCACAAATTTCACAACGGAACCTGCCACCACACACGCAGCATATACACAATGTTGAGCTAACGAACAACACAGAGTGATGCAAGTAGCAAGCACAGCAAACACGACAAGGTGACTCGAGAGGAGAGAGAGGGGTCGACGGGAATTAGAACGGTAAGGGATGGGGTATAGCGAGAGCGATTGACCGTACAATGGGGGAGATCGCGGACGACGGAAAATGGAGTAGATCGCGTAGGCGACTGCAAATGGGGGATCGCTACGAGATCGCGTGGGAGATAGAGAGCGCGACGGGGAGAGGGGGGGGGAAACAGCGAGCGCGACGGGGTGAGGGGGGCAGATAACGACGGCGCGGAACGTGATGGGAGATAGCAACGGCGCGAGACGTGCTTGCTAGCTTATCTTATGTCGCGAGACGTGATCAGAGGGGAGGCCATGAGCGCGAAGGCGATGCGAAGACAGGTGCACGTGAGCGCGATGGTGACGGGAGGGAGGAACGTGAGCGCGAAGGCGAAGGGAGGGAGGGCGGACAGGCGACAGGGGGGAGAGCGCGAAGGCGACGGGAGGGAGAGTGCGAAGGCGATGGGAGGGAGAGCGCGAAGGCGACGGGAGGGAGAGTGCGAAGGCGAGGGGAGGGGGAGCAGACAGGCGACGGGAGGGAGAGCGCGAAGGCGAAGGGAGGGAGAGCACGAGGCCGACGGGAGAGAGAGCGCGAAGGCGAGGGGAGGGGGAGCGGACAGGTGATGGGAGGGAGAGCGGACAGGCGATGGGAGGGAGAGCGCGAAGGCGACAGGAGGGAGAGCGGACAGGCGACGGGAGGGGGAAGGGATATCGCGAGGGCGACGAAAGGAAAAGGGGGACATCGAAGGCAACGTGAGGGAAGGCAGATAGTGAGGGCGACGGGAAGGAAGAGGGAAATCGAAGGCGAGGGGCGGGAGAACGGGAAGGCGACGGGATCGGAGGGAAATCGCGAGGGCGAGGGGACAAGAGGGGTGAACGGGAGAATAACGGACCGGGAGGGGAGACCGTGACGACGACGGGAGGGCCGTCACGCGTGTGTTTCCGAGGGCGACGGAAAGGCGACGGGACGGACTAGAGAACGAGGCGACGGCGGACCCCACTAGCAATGGCGAGTGCAACGAGCAACGAGGGGAGATAAACGAGGCGACAGACAGCGAACCTAAAGTTCACACTCTTGCTAAGTCGACAATTGACGCACTCGCCGGTAATTACGTGGCTATGACACAAACGCCTGTGCTTTCAGCTATCTACTTACTATGCTATACGGAAACTAATGATGAATGTGTCAAAATATATGTGTGATATATGGGTGTAGGCTGTAGTGGGGTAGCCAATATGGGGTACAACCCCGTTAGGGTTTCACATTTGTACCCAAACTCATCCTTAGTCATTCATTCCAGTCTCTAGACTTTTCACATGGTTTCAGAGCAGGAGGTCCCTAGGACCTCAGGATCGATTTTTTTTAGGGCCCACCAACTACTGCCTACGGTTACCATGCTACCCTACGCCTGACTGCCTTCGAATCGCGCTGCCCTGCAGCCCCGCGCGCCGCTCGTTGCTTTGCCCTGCAGCCCCGCGCGCTTGCTGCCCTGGCCCGTCGCGGTGCACTGCAGACCCGCGCGCCGCCCGTTGCCCTGCCTTGCGGCCCCGCGCGAGCCCTGCCCTGGCCCATCGCGCGGCCCTGCAGCCCCGCGCGTCGCCCGCCCTGCTGCCCCGCAGCCCCGCGCACGCGTTTCCGCCCGCGCGCAGCCCGTCCCGCCGCCCACACGGCACGCGCAGCCCGCCCTGAGCCACGCCTGCCCGCGCACGGCCCATCCCACCGCCCGCGCAGCTCGAGCAGCCCGCCCTGAGCCCCGCCCGCCCGCGCACGGCCCAAGCCACTGCCCGAGCAGCCCGTGCCGCCCGTTCCGCCGTCCACACGGCCCCACCCGCAGCCCGCGCAGCCCGTGCACCGCTGCCCCCGGCCTGTCTTTCGCGCCTGCCTGCCTGCCTGCCTCGCGCCTGCCTGCCTGTCTAGCGCCTGCCTGCCTACCCTGCACTTGCCTGCCTGCCTACACTGCTACCATGGTGACGTTGAACGTCCTTGCCTTTGAGCCTGACGGTCGCCCCGTAGAATTCTCCACCTGGCTCGACGACTTGCAGCTATTCCTTATGACCGATGCCAAAGATGGCGTTTCTCTTTACGATCACGCTACTGGCACTGCCGCTGCTCCTGCTGACAGTGCTCCTGCTCTTGACCGCTCACAGTGGCAGACTCGCGATGCTGCTGCACGCCTCGCTATCCGCAACCACCTGCCGATCACTGAGCGCGCGCATTTCAGTCAGCACAAAACTGACGGCTAAGGCACTGTACGATGCTGTTGTTGCGCGCTACTCCTCCCCAGCTACTGCCGCTGTAGGACGACTTATCCTACCCTACCTGTTCCCCGACTTGTCCTCCTTTCCCACTGCTGCGGACCTCATCTCTCACCTACGCGCTAGTGACGTCCGCTTTAGAGCCGCTCTTAAGGCCGAGTTCCTTGCCGCCAACCCTCCTCCGCTCTACTGGACCCTCTATCTCCTCGTCACCCGCCTCCCTGACACCCTTAGCGTAGTCAGGGACCATTTCCTCGCCATGGATCCCACCGAGATCACTCTAGACGACTTCGAGCAGCAGCTTCTCGCAGCAGAGAAGAATATCCTAGCTGTCGGCGCCGCTAGAGGTACTCCCCGCACTCCCCTCTTTGAGGGGTGCTCCCCCTCCCCCCTTGCCCCCTCCTACGCCTCTGCTGCTACTGCAGTCGTTGACCTCTCTGGCGCTGAGCAGGTCGCAGCAGCCTCCGCCCCTAGTGGGAAGCGAGGCGGTGGCAGGGGCGGCAAAGGTGGCAAGGGTGGTGGAGGCGGGGGTGGAGGGAGCGGTGGTGGAGGCGGCGGGGGTGGTGGGGGGGGTGGAGGTGGTCGTGGGGGTGGCGGTGGTGGGTGGGGTGGCAGTGGGGCCGGGAGTGGTGGTGGCGGCAGCAGCGGTAAGGGGGGAGGAGGAGGTAGCGGTGGTGGAGGTGGTGGGGGCGGTGGGACTGGTCAGCAGCAGCAGCAGCAGCAGCAGCAGCAGCAGCAGCAGCCGCAGCAGCAGCAGCAGCAGCAGCAGCCGTCGCAGCGCCAGACCCTCTCTTCGCAGCAGCTTCATGACTGGTATGCTGGACGTGGGGCGCCTGGGGGTTCTGGTCGTTGCCCCTATGTCATTCGTTCTGGCCCTCGCAAGGGTCGCACGTGCAACGGATTCCACACTGAGTACCGTTGAATTGCGCGCCTCAGCGACGCCTGGCGCGCCAAGTTCCCTGATGCCACTGAGTTCCCCAACTGGGCAGATCTGGCTAGGCGTGATGTCCATGTCTATGATCTTGATTATGATGCAATCCTTGCTGCCATGTATGCATTGACTGTTAGTGCTGAGGGTGACTGTTACTTGTGTGTGCCGCCTGACCCAGGTATTGCGACTGCAGCCCTAGGTACTAGTGAGTCTGCCCTCTCTGGTACTGTGCCCACCCAGGCCTTACACACGTTTACACTTGACTCTGGTGCTTCGCGCTGTTTCTTTCGTGACAGCACCACAGTCACTCCCCTCCCTGCACCTGTTCCTATCTCACTGGCTGACCCCTCTGGGGGCCCAGTGCTGGCACGAGCCTCGACTGTGCTTCCGTGTCCGGCGGTCCCGTCCGGTGAGCTGTCAGGTCTCCATGTTCCCTCGTTCTCTACGAACTTGGTGAGCAACGCTGTTCTTCAGGATCACTGGGTTGACACCTGGACTCCTGGAGGACAGCGTGTGGCGATCTGCACCTGCTCTCGGACTGGCCGCCACCTGGCCACGTTCACCCGTGAGCCGGGGTCCAGTCTGTACACCCTCACCACTGTTTCACGCTCCACTCCTTTGTCTCCACAGCTGTACGCGTCTGCTCAGGTAGCCACCCAGTGTGAGTGCCGCCGCCTGTCCCACGACACTCTCCTTTGGCACCACCGCCTTGGTCACCCCTCCCTGCCTCGCCTTCGTAGCATGCACTCTCGCCTACTGGTCTCTGGCCTTCCCAGGTCTCTCCCTGCCCTCCCTCCCTCGCCTGCGCCTCCCTGCATTCCTTGCGTCAAGGGGCGGCAGCGCGCCGCTCCTCACTCCTCCTCGTTCCCTCCCACAGAGGCTCCACTGCAGACTCTTCACCTGGACGTGTGGGGCCCGGCCCGCGTCCAGGGGCAGGGCCGCGAGCGGTACTTCCTGCTGGTAGTTGACGACTACACGCGCTACACCACGGTCTTCCCCTTGCGTAGCAAGGGGGACGTCCCTGCTGTTTTGATCCCCTGGATCCGCGCTGCTCGTCTCCAGCTCCGCGAGCGTTTCCAGTCGGACTTCCCTGTCTTGCGTCTGCACTCTGACAGAGGTGGTGAGTTCTCCTCCGACCTCCTGAGAGCCTTCTGTGCGGAGCACGGCATCACCCAGTCGTTCACGCTTCCGGCCTCTCCGCAGCAAAATGGGGTTGCTGAGCGCCGCATTGGCTTAATCATGGAGGTCGCTCGTACCTCCATGATCCATGCGGTTGCCCCCCATTTTCTGTGGCCGTTTGCGGTCCGGTACGCTGCGCATCAGCTCAACCTTTGGCCCCGTGTCTCCTTGCCGGAGACCTCGCCCACTCTGCTGTGGACGGGGAAGGTTGGCGATGCGTCGCGTTTCCGGGTCTGGGGTGCTCGTGCCTTTGTCCGCGATACCACCGCGGACAAGCTCTCCGCTCGCGCCGTTCCCTGTGTCTTCCTTGGTTTCCCTCCTGACGCGCCTGGTTGGCAGTTCTACGACCCCTCCTTGCGCCGTGTCTTTTCGTCTCAGGACGTCACCTTTGACGAGTCCGTTCCCTTCTACCGTCTCTTTCCCTACCGTACCTCCCCTCGCGCCCCCCACCGCTCTTCCTCACTCCAGGTCCTCCTCAGGTAGACCCTCTTCTCGCGCCAGGTCCTGCCCCTTCAGGTGTTTCTCAGGTAGACCCTCCCGTGCCTGCGCCTGTTGAGGTCACTGGTGACTCTGGTCCTGCTGGAGGTCGTGCTGGTCCTGGGGGTGCGGAGCCTAGGGGTGTGCAGCTTTGGGGTACTGAGCTTGGGAGTGCAGGGCCTGAGGGTGCGGAGCTTGGGGGTCATGAGCCTGGGGGTGCGGAGCGTGAGTGTGAGGTGCCTGGAGGTGCTGAGCCTGGGGGTGTGGAGCGTGAGGGTGCGGAGTTTGGGGGTGCTGAGCCTGGGGGTGCGGAGCGTGAGTGTGAGGTGCCTAGGGGTGCTGAGCCTGGGGGTGTGGAGTCGAGGGCCCAGCGCCTGCTTGTACTGAGTCTGCGAGTCAGGAGCCTGGAGCTACTCTGCCTGGAGGGACTGCGTCTGACAGTGCCGAGCCTGTGTCTGTGAAGCCTGGAGGTTCTGGGCCTGGAGTTGAGCTGCTTGAGGGTGGGGCTGGGACGCGGTCCCCTTGGAGTGCTCGCCTTCGTCCGCGTGTCCCCCTCACCTCGCAGCAGCTGCACGACTGGTACGGTCGCCGTCAGAGTCGAGCTAGTGGAGCGCGGGGCACAACTTCTGGGGGTGTTGAGGTTGCGGCCGCTGGTCCCGGAGGTGCTCGTACTGGGGGTACTGGAGCTGCTGGGACTGGAGGCACGGAGCGTGAGGGTACTGCGGCTGGAGACTCTGGGTCTGGGGGTGCTGCTACTGGAGCTACGGAGCCTAGAGACCCTGGGCCTGGAGGTGCCGGTTCTGGGGGTGCTGCGGCTGGTGACGCTGAGCCTAGAGGAGCTGCTGCCGGAGGTGCTGGAGCTGCTGGAGGTCCTGGAGCGGCTGCGGACGCTGGAGCCGCTGGCGCCTATGGCTCGGCGCAGCAGAGACTGTTCTTCGCTCCGCCGTCTCCATCGACTCAGCTACCGCCTGACTCTGCGCTTCGCCAGGTTCTTAGCCTACCGTCGTCTACTGGTCTTCCATTACAGCCTGGCTCACCGCTGCCTGCTCCTTCTCCTTACTCTGAGCAGTCTGGGGGTCTTACTGAGCGTCGTGAGCCTGCGTCGCGTCCTGTCTTGCCTGTCCATCCTGGTCGTCGTGTTTCTCGTCCGCGTCAGCCGGCGGTCACCGGCGACCGCCTCGTAGTGCGTCGTCCTTCCTCGTCTCTGCAGTCTGTTCCTCTGCCGTCTCCCCCAGCGTCCTCTCTGCCCGCCGTTCCGGACCCTGAGTCTGACCGGTTTCGTGCTGAGCACCCTACTGTCACGCGTCTTTTAGCTACTATTGTCACTGACCCGTCTTTTGAGTCTACTGCTGCGTCTGCCTTGGTCGCTGAGCTTGTTGACTTTGCTGCTGCCTGTCGTCTAGACTACGCTGCTAGTCTTGTTGCTGAGTCTGCGTCTGTCTGTCCTCCGTCCGACGGGGGTGAGTGTGCTCTTAGCACGGACGTCCTTGAGGACAGGCAGGAGGACCTTGACTGTCTTGCGGCTGCTGTACCTCATCTCACGGCCTGGCTGCTTGCCCCTGAGGGAGACCCGGATGCACTTGACATCCCTACCCCCCGCTCTTACACAGAGGCGGTCTCGGGTCCCTACTCCTCTCAGTGGCAGACAGCCATGGACGCAGAGATGGCATCCTGGAAGTCCACAGGCACCTACGTCGACGAGGTTCCCCCTCCTGGGGCGAACATCATCGATGGCATGTGGATTTTCAGGGTGAAGCGGCCGCCAGGTTCTCCGCCTGTCTTCAAGGCTCGTTACGTTGCACGAGGCTTCAGTCAGCGACAGGGAGTTGACTTCTTCCAGACCTTCTCCCCTACCCCGAAGATGACCACTCTTCGGGTACTGCTGCACGTTGCCGCTCAGCGTGACTACGAGCTTCACTCTCTTGACTTCAGTACGGCTTTCTTGCAGGGCAGCCTGCACGAGGAGATCTGGCTGCGCCGTCCTCCTGGTTTCACTGGGTCGTTCCCTCCTGGTACCCAGTGGAGCCTCCGACGGCCAGTCTACGGTCTCCGCTAGGCGCCACGTGAGTGGCACGACACACTGAGGATGACACTTGCGGCTCTTGGGTTTGCTCCCTCCACTGCAGACCCTTCACTGTTCCTGCGCACAGACACGTCGCTGCCGCCGTTCTACATCCTCGTGTACGTCGACGACTTGGTCTTTGCTACTGCTGACACCGAGGCACTTGCTCTTGTGAAGTCGGAGCTGCAGAAGAGACACACGTGCACAGACCTGGGTGAGCTGCGCAGTTACCTTGGCTTGCAGATCACCCGGGACAGAGCACGCCGCACCATCACCCTGACTCAGTCACACATGGTGCAGCAGGTCCTTCAACGCTTCGGCTTCCAGTTCTCCTCACCTCAGTCCACTCCTCTGTCTACCAGCCACTCGCTCTCAGCTCCACCTTCGGACGAGTCCGTAGAGCCGAGTGGTCCGTACCCAGAGCTTGTGGGCTGCCTCATGTACCTGATGACCTGCACTCGACCTGACCTTGCGTACCCTCTTAGCATCCTAGCTCGCTTCGTCGTGCCTGGGAGACACAGGCGAGAGCACTGGGAGGCTGCTAAGAGGGTGTTACGCTACTTGTGCAGTACATCGGGCATGGGGTTGGTGCTTGGAGGACGCGACAGAGTTGCCCTCACTGGTCACTCAGACGCTTCTTGGGTGGACGACCTGGCTACGCAGCGGTCGTCACAGGGTTACACTTTCAGCCTTGGCTCTGGTTCTGTCTCTTGGCGGTCCACCCGCTCTTCTTCTGTTCTCAGCTCTAGTTGTGAGGCTGAGATCTACGCCACGGCCATGGCTGCACAGGAGTTACGCTGGCTCACCTACCTGCTGACTGACTTGGGAGAGCGGCCTAGTTCTCCTCCAGTTCTGTACGGAGACAACAAGGCGGCCCTTGCCTTGTGTCAGGAGCACAGACTGGAGCACAGAACGAAGCATATTGCTCTGCGTTACTTTCTGGCTCGAGAGCTGCAGCAGCGTGGCCAGCTTCGCCTTGCGTACGTGGACTCGAAGGCCAACACTGCTGATATATTCACCAAGGCCGTGCACGGCGTGCTCGGCCAGACGTTCCATCCCAACTTCCAGGGCCGCCTGTACGTCGAACTGCCGCCTACGCGGCTGATTTTTTTTTTTTTTTTTTCGTTAGCTTGTTTTTCCGTGTGCTTGGTTGCTGCAGGCCCCACCCTCTAACGTTTTTATCTCCGGTTGTGTTTTCGAGGGCTCACCAGAGGCTGCAGTGGAGCCAACTGCTGCAGGTGATGGTGGTGCCGGGCGACAACGCGGAGGGCTTTATCGATGGAAGCATGGACGACTACGAGGTGACTGACCTGCTCAAGGCGGACTGCAAGATGTGCCGCTTCACGCGCGCCCATGCCGTGGACGACGAGATGTCCATCGCCATGAACATGATGGGCAGCGCCGTCGGCGGAGGCCTGCCTGCTGCTCCTCGCAAATACCTCGCACAGAGCTTCTAGGCACTCCTCTGTAGGCTGATTTGGGATTTCAAGGTGTGGGAATTCTGTAGGGGATGGGAGGTATCGTGTCAAGGCTTGGGGGACAGCCCCAATGTGGTCAGGCACAACGCGCGAAATTTACTGCTTTTGCTTCCCGCCAGATCAACAACGCTCAAACAAACCGGGAGAAGAGCACGTCGAGGCCGAAGTGAACGGCGGCGTCCGTGGGCGTGCGAAGGTTCTTGACCTCGGGCCTGAGCGTGAGGCGGATGGTGGCGACGCCGTCGATCTTCACGTCGTACACGTCCACAAGGTCCGTGCCGCTCAGCTTGAGCGCAGCCTCCCACTTGAGCGTCGCGCCGTCCCACAGCTGCACCGTCGTGCCGGGCACAGTCAGCTCCACCGCCACGCCGTCAGCCACCACGCGCGCCAGGTACCCGTTGCCGTACTCCGCTTCCGCGCCGCGCCGCGCCTCCAGAACCACCGTGTGGTGTCCCGCCATGAGCCCCACCGACCGGATCCACGTCAGCGCCTTCACGTCGCCGTTCCACCGGCTGTAGCGCCCGGCGAAGAAGCCGTTCATCTGGAAGTGCGGGTCCGACACCAGCGCGTAGTTGCGGTTCGGCTTCCCGCTGAATCGAAGTGCGACCCGTCGGCGCCCGTGAAGTGCGGGTCGCCCTTGTCCCTGCCGTCGCACAGCATGCCCACCGTGAAGTTGGCCGGCACCTCGTAGTGGTCCGTGAACTGGAATCGGGCCTCCTCCATCCACTTGCTGCTGTAGCTCTTGTCTTCCTTGCACTGAAACTTGTTGTAGCACGTGCAGATGCCTCCATTTCCGTCCAGACACGTCTCTTCAAACATCCAGTACTTGGCCTTCTTCAGCGGGTCCTCGCAGCCCGGCTTCTTCTTGTAATCTACGCACACCTTGTAACAGTCTAACTGGGGGGTGAGGATCAACGGGTCGTTAACGTCTATTTTCTCGTAATTGTACATTTGGCCCGTAGTGAAGTACGCTTCAACCAGAGGATCCGTCGGCTCGTTGAGCGGGTCTGTGGGGTCGGTGAACTTGCCATACAGGAAATTTCCCGGCCCGCACACGAACTTCGGGCAAACCTCTGCAAGGGCTGCGGAAGCGCAAAGTGTCAGACAGATGAAAACCGTGGTAAAGCGAGCCATGATGGTTGCTTTGCCTTTCGAATTCTTTCAGCTTGTCGTTAGCCCTAGGTGGTTCTGTGAACTGGTAAACAATCCGTGAGTCTCTTATAGATTTTGTGGATGCTGGGGCCCGGGAGACTGTGAGTCTCTGCTGCGAGGTTCATAAACAACCTGCGGTTCGCGTTGGGCTTGGTTGTCATCTTTGGAGCTAACGTCCAGCTGGGTTCCAGCGCGCAGAGACTTGACGAGTCGTAGCTCAAGCAGTCACCTCATTTGCGTGTTGTGTCAGCATGGTCAGACTTGCCGCGCACAATACAAAGGTAGCAGATCCGAATGGGTCTGCCTTGGCATCGTCAGGGCAAGAAGTCAAGGGCTCTGCACACCGTTATTTTTTAGGGTGGACTTCCTTTTTTTTTTTCCCGCCTAGTGATCATCAGCGGCACTGCACTGCGTTAGGCCTTGTGTCCACGTTCCCTCACCTGCTTAATTCTTGACCTTGTTTGTACTGTGATCTATATATATATCCATGCATGCTTGTACTTGTTAGGCATTGATCACTGTGCTACTTGTGTTCTCCTATATAAACCTGCATGCGAACTGACCTTGTGGCCTTTGCCTGTGCTCAGACTGTGTGGTGACGTTGTGATCCACCCTGGGCTTGCTCTGTCCTGCTTGACTGGTCTTGTGACCCCTTGTTCTCCCCCACTTTGCCTATGGGGGTGTGTCAAAATATATGTGTGATATATGGGTGTAGGCTGTAGTGGGGTAGCCAATATGGGGTACAACCCTGTTAGGGTTTCACATTTGTACCCTAACTCATCCTTAGTCATTCATTCCAGTCTCTAGACTTTTCACAGAATGGAGTGACAGAAATCTACGGTAGTAATGCACCCCCCACCAGCTTGAAAATGAGGTTGGGCCTGTGATGGGAAACCATCGCCTGGGATTTGTCGTGCGGATGCGGCACGCAAAAATGCGACGGCTGAAATGAGAAAGAAAGTTCATTTTGGCGGGAAACATTACGTTCGATTGTGGCGAGGGCCAAGAACATGAGTTCACTCTGCCCATACAAATCGTTTGAAACAGTGTTTTTGTGACTGGTTTCATCCTCACTTGCAACTCCTCATTCAAATTGGGACGGGGGTCACTATTTTAGCTGCTGGCTTTAATGCCCAGTTGCAGATCGGCTTTGGGGCTTATTGCAATAGACTCTGCATCTCAATACCCCTCTGAGAAAGGTGGTTCAGTGCCCTCTAGGCTACAAAGGTAGGAGTCGAAGTTGTTTCGACAATGCTTCAGAACATGTTGGTGAATACCTTTAACCTGTATTTGGTGCCTGCTGCTCACCGAACACTGCCAGCATATGACCTTAAAATGATGCAAAGAAACTTGGAACCTCCCTCAGGAGTACAGTACACTGGAAAATATTACGGTACATGCTTATTGAGTGCAATACAGAAAGTGGTACTGTATCTGCAAATGATTGAGGCCGGGTAGGTGAGAAGCAGGATTTTGGAACAACACAACACAAGGAAATTGCATGGGTAGTTGGCCATATTGGCCAATCAGGCGGACCTTTTAAAACACAGCGGAACGGAAGAGGCTTCAGAAGTCGTCCTCAAAGACAGCAGTGTTGCTTGACTTGGCTGAAAGGCAAGTGGAGCAGTCATGTGGACGGGACGGAAAGATGGGAGCAGTCATACAACAGTGGAGGCTGAACAAATTTTCTGGTTACAGGAGACACAGAATGATTCACCTTTGTGTACCAGTCATTGTTCCCAGCACCAGCAGCCATTCCCGCATTCAGGCAATCATGTTCTCATCACATCCCATGCACCCATCACCTCATCATCGTACCGTTTATTGATCGCAACATTATTCTAGCCTGTCCGTCCCTCTCTGCTGCCTTTTTCAGCCACTCCTTTCCCTGAGCAGCACACCATGATGAAACACATGCAGGAGCACAGGAAAGTGAACGATAGGATGGAGGGAAAAAAAGGAGGTGACCAGGAGCACAAGACCAGAGATGAAGGATCTACAGTAGAACGAGAACACGAAATGGGGCGAAGCAAGCACCCCGAGGAATCATATGACGTTTTCCTCAACTCACCTGAAGTGCATTCACATTGATGCGTCACCTCAATAAGAGTATCCAACCCCGAGGTGACTTCCATATCAACTCAGCAGTGAAATTCCCCTTTGCTCTCCCCTTGACTTGAACGAATTGGCTCCAGTACCACAACCTTACAGTGAAACTTCAGATGGGTCTGAAAGTGAGTTTTACAGTGAATCAACTCATTTTCTCGCTGCTCACCTTGGCTGCGTCCGCCTTGACGCCATACCCCGACAGGTACATCTGCGCCAGAAGCGTCTGCATGGGAGCCACGCCGCTCTCTGCCTCGGATTGCGTCTGCCGGAACCACCGCTGCATGCACTCGTGCACCATCGCGCGCAGCGGCACGCGCTGCTGCTGCCCTGACGCTTCTCGCTGCGACTGCGATGCCGGATTTGTCGTTGCTGCTGCTTGCGTTGCGGCTGAGTCTCGGTTCAAGGCCGTGTCTTGTCTCGATGATGGTTTTTGCCTTGACGTTGACTTCGCGTGCTCCTTCCCCTTATCTGTTCTTTCCTCCATCGTTCCGTGAATCGCGCTATCGTTATTGTTCCGACCGGCTCTTCCAACGTCGCGCAATTGCCTTTGTCTACGCACCCGAACTTGTTGTCTAACGTTTTCAGATTACCTATCCTTCTCACCCTCGGCCCCGCTTTTGCGACCTTGCTTTCAGCGGATGCATGAGCTCCAAGGAAAAAAGAAAGTTCCTAGCACGTCCGCAACGAGGAGAAAGGTAGAAGGTGATTAAAGTAGAAGCATAATCAACTGATGCCAGTGCGAAGGATCGTACAAGACACGCGCACGAGAGGGAGAGAATGAAAGAGGCACCAATGCGTGCTAGTGAGACTCGACTAACCTAACGCGTTCTGAGCACCAACAGACCACAAGCGCTTCGTTTGGAAGATCAGTCACAAGTAAGAACCACCTCCAATCTTAACTGCCAGCACTCTCTTCACGGGAAACGCACGGAAGTACGGCGACTTCGACGAAGTTACGCAGTGACTCCAGCCTGACAGAGTGGAAGCACCTACTACGGTAGCTGCTGAATTAGGCTGTCTAATCTCCCGTGGCGCTTGTCTGACTCTTAGGGCACATGATAAAGAGCTAATCTGGTAATGTCACAACACCATATGCGTGTCAGAGCGGCAAAAAAAACATCTCTATACAACGGTCGGGTACGGTGATGAGGAATTCCTAGCATATGACAGCAGCGAGTTCCACAAAAAACAGACTCCTATGCTTCTCTCGCCTCGGCTTGACCCTTCCGTCGATTCGCTTCGCATGTTGCAGTCACACAGTCGCAGTCGCAGGAGCACGGACGGAGCTTTCCCGCCGAGACTCGCAAATCGAACGAGCCTTGTTTGTGACGAAAGGGTCGTGCTGATTGCTGGTAGCTGATGCTGGCGAATGAGCTGTTACGGTGACGAAATATCGTCCGAACAGGTACTGTACACCCATGAGCATCACGCAGGAGAAGAGGCAAGCAAGTTGAAATTTGTGCCAGATGATGCATTTCAGATAGCCGCTATCATTGAATATTACGCTATCATGATCCTCCATCCTTTCTACAGTCGGATCTCAACTTTGTTGGTATTGGGATAAAATGCTGTTGAAGCTTTCAACTAAAAACCATATCACCCTGAAATCTTTTAGTAGTGAAAGGGGCAGAGGCAAATCTATTCAGGAGCCATGAGGTTACGGAATGTGTTGCTTGAGAGCTCAGAATCTGTCACACCCATGTTGCCGTCCATGATGTCGCGCCGGCTCATTCCACCTGTTTGTGTCTTGCGCATCATTTGCACGAACTCGTTGTAGTCAATGGTTCCATCCTGAATGAGACAAAAGGGTGGGTTGAGCAGGGAGTGGTGCATGCAAGGTCTCAAGCATTTTGAGCACGTAATTAGTGAAAGCACAGAAGCCCCCATACCTTCCCCACCACACATATGCACACCAGATTACTCACGCTCTTCTCATTGGTCTCTTCTTCCAGCTATACCTCATCTTCACTCAACCTCCCCTCCTCACATACTGCTTCCCCATACAATCCTACCCTGACTAGGGACTAGGCCACACCCACACTCACACCCACACCCACACCCACACCCACACCCACACCCACACCCACACCCACACCTGCACCCACACGCTCAAACACAGCAGGCGACTCACATTGTTCTCGTCAATCATGGCCAGGGTGACCCTTGCGTCAACTCAGAAAACATCCTTCCACCCACACCCCCACCCACACACACCCCCAGCAGGCGACTCACATTGCTCTCATCAATCTCCTCCATGATGGCCATGATTCGTCCTTGCTCAACTGCAGCTCCTCAAACACGCCAGTGCTGTTCCCCCATACCCCTGACTCACAACCAGGCCACACCCACGCCCTCAGACCTAGAAAGAGACTCACGTTGCTCTCATCGATCTCCTCCATCATCGCCATGATCTCGTCCTTGCTCAGCCGCAGCTCCTCTCACGCCAAAGTGCTGTTCCCCCCCATACAGTCCTGCACCTGACCCACAACCGGGTCGCACACACAAGCACAACTATTGACTCACGTTGTTCTCATCAATCTCCTCCATCATGGCCATTATCTCGTCCTTGCTGAGCCTTAGCTCCTCACACGCCTTCTGCAGCTCGTCCAGCGTGATGGTGCCGCTGCCGTCCGCGTCAAAGTACTCAAACGCCTTGAGCAGGTTCTCCTGCTTGTCTATCTTGCTCAGATGCAGCGTCGCTGCTAGAAACTCCCCATACTCGATCTCTCCACTGTGGTCAATGTCCGTCTGCGAGGGGGGAGAGATGGAACGAAGGAGGTGGGAGAGATATTAAGGGAAGATGGAGAGTTGGAAGGTGGATGGCAAAGAGCATCATAAGAGGTGACATGCGTATATAAGGGAGGAAACGGGGGAGGGCAGGGATGGGATGTCAATGGTTAAAAAATCAAGGTGAATGACTACCCCTCGCCCTTCCAACCCATGGTTGGACTTGATCAAGTTGTGCACCCAAGGTAATCACAACTTTTTCCCAGTAGCAAAACATTTACCCGGAACCCATTCGTTGTGTTGTAATCCAATGCCTAACCGCACTCTAGGAATCATCACATTTTTAAAGGGCCTTCCTGTGGTCTCACCCCTCACCATCTAATGCCTTCTTTGTCCCCCAACCACACCTCACCATCGCTCCACACCTCCTTGGTCTCACCCCTCTTTCTCTCGCTCTGCACATCAGGTTGCCCCACCCAACCTTCTAGAGCCACACCTCCTCCCCACACACGACCACCTCCTCCCCCCCATCCCCACACTCTCCATCATCCCCACTTCCCAAACTCCTAATCTTCTCAATCTCCTCGTCCGTCAGGTTTCCCCCAACCTTCTTGAGCCCCACATGAGATTCTTTCCAATCTCACCTTCACATTCACATGCTACACCACTCCTCACTGTACCGCCCACTCCCAACCTCTTCCACTCCCAACCTCTTCCACTCCCAACCTCTCAATTTCCTCCTCTGTTGGGTTCATGCCAACCTTCTTGCCACACAGGGTCGTTTCCACTCTTGCCTTCACGTTTTCACGCCACACCGCTCATTACTGCGGCCCACCACTCCACACCGCACCCCACCGCTTGTCACCAATCCCCACCGCTTCTCACCTCCTCCATGATCTTCTCGATCTCCTCGTCTGTGAGGTTCCCGCCAACCTTCTTGAGCCCCACGCGCAGCTCGTCCAGAGTGATGGTGCCGCTGCCATCCGTGTCCATCATCTCAAACATCTCCTTTAACCCCGCGATCTCCTCCTCCTTCAGTCCCTCCGCAATGACCTGCATGCGAGCGGGGATAGTAGCAAGTGGCAAGGGGCGAATGGGTGCAGAGCTGATCTATGGCAACTATGGTGCATGGTGTGGGGGGCAGGGTGAGATGTTGCAGGAGACATGGTTCGTGTAAGGCATCATAACGACTATCTCCTTCCTGCTTCAGCCCTGCAATCTCCTCTGCCTTGAGGTCACTTGATATTTGCCATGGCTGCGAACTGCTTCAATCACCTCACCACCCATCCATGCTTTCATTTCATTGATCCGAACCATTGTAGATTGCTCTCCATCACTCCACACCACTGTAGATTGCTCTCCATCACTCCACACCACTGTGCACCCACCTTCATGGCGACCCGCTTGAGCTTGACCATGGACGTGAACTGCTTCAGTCTGGACAGCACCACGGGCGGCAGAGGCTCCTGCGTGGCAATGCCAGGCTCGCCCAGCCACGGATGGCCTGCACGGGGGGGAGATTGGGGAGGGCGGGGGAGAGGAGGGCAAATGGTGTCAGAGGCAAGAGAGGGTGGGGCAGATGTGGGGCTCAGGGGGTTGCGCGATTTGAGATGAGCGACGAGGAGCGGTAATGAGAAGAGCAGCACAGAGGCTCCTGCATGGCCATGCCAGGCTCGCCCAGCCACGGATGGCCTGCACAGGGGGGAGAGATCAGGGTGGGTGGGAGAGCAAGGGAAATGGTGAGGAGGGGAAAGAGTAGATCGAGCGAGGGGCACGAGAGGGGTGCAATTCAAAATGAGCGACAAACAGGGGTGATGAGGCGATCAAGGCAGCACAGAGGCGTCTGCGTGGCGAACCCAGGATCGCCCAGTGACGAATGGCAAACAATGTGGGGATCAGGGAGGGTGGGAGATGGGGGCGGGAGGGGGGGAGGGGCCGAGAGGGGGGAGGGGGAGGGATGGGTTGGAGAAGGGAGGCCATGGTGACGGGGAAGAGTGCTTGGTGTGTGGCACTCACAGAGCACTTCATGCGCGGTGGGGCGCATGGCGGGGTCGGATTGCAGCATCCAGGAGACGAGGTGCTTGGCCTGGTCCGAGATCTCCGGCCACGGCGGCACTGTGAACGATGGGTTGCCCTTCAGCACAGCCTTGAAGATCTCCTTGGACGAGTGGCTGCCTGCAGGGGGGAGGGAGGAGAAGAAAGGGAGATGAATGTGAAGTTATAGAAAAGAAAGGATGTGCCATCTTCTTACAGGGCTTTCTTTATACATTGGGTGGGAAGGGGGGTTGTTAGGGGGAAGGGGGGGAGTTTTGGCAGGAAGAGGGGGAAAAGGCAAGGCAAGACTCACGATAGAAGCAAACATACTGTGCACAAGACGTACTGTGGTAGAAGGGAGGGAACCCCGAGAGCAGAGCGTAGATGATGACCCCTGCGCTCCAGATGTCCACCTCGGGGCCGTACTTGGGCGGCTTGCGCCCCGCCCCCAGCGCCCCCGGCCTCCATCTGACCACCTCTGGCGCCATGTACATGGGGCTGCCGCAGTGCCGACTCAGACCCTCGCCTGGGAAAGGGGAACGAGGCGGGGAAGTGAGGAAGAGTAAGGAAATAAGGGAAGGAGTGGGGTAGAAGATGAAGTCAAGAAAAGCAAGACAGGCCGGAGGAGCATAAGGAGGAAAAGCATCAGGAGAAGACCGAGGGAAAGCGGCGGAGGGAGGGAAATGGGGAGAAGCGATCGAAGGAGAAGGGGGGGAGAACAGCGGGAAAAGATCGAGGGAAAGAAGGGGGTGGGGAAAAGGGGGGGGGGGGGAAGGAGAGAAGGAAAGCTGCTAGATGCCCCGCACAGGCAGCTGACCAGCGGTAAAAGAGACACACACACCCTTGTAGAAGGCGGAGAGGCCGAAGTCGGTGGCCTTGAGCTCGGCGTCGGGGTTGGTGGAGGAGAGGAGGAAGTTCTCGGGCTTGAGGTCGCGATGCACCACGCCCAGCGAGTGACACGTCTCCACCACCCGCACTATCACCCTCGCCAGCTCCGCTGCATCGTGCTCGCTGAGAGTGGAGGGTGGGTGCGGAGGGATAAGGGGAGGAGAGGAAAGTTTTTGGGCTTGATTCAAGCGACCCAACACCCCCAGCGAGTGATACGTCTCCACCACCCGCACTATCACCCTCGCCAGCTCCGCTGCATCGTGCTCGCTGGGGAGGGGAGAGGGTGGGTGCGGGGGGTGGGTGTGGGTGCGTGGGGGGGGGGGGGCGTTGATGAGGGGAGGAGACTTGAGAGGAGAGGAAGGGAGTGGAGAAAAGATGAGAATCTGTTTCGTCCTGTCCTGCTTAGTCCCGCGTGTACCGATTCAGCTGCACGGTGCTCGTTGGAGTCGAACGAGGTGGTAACACGCCGCTTACATCACATGTACTGGGTTATGAAGCGGTCACGCTGGACGAGGGTGCAAACGCCTCAACTGTGGAACACGCTTTAAACGAGACCGACTCATTGACACGCTTTTTCATACAACGGGACTCACGTGTAGGGCACGCCCATGGCCTCGATGCGGTCGATGATGGCGTCGTAGAGCTCGCCTCCCGTGCAGAGCTTAATGTGCTGCTTTGAGGCACCTTATAACGGGACTCACGTGTAGGGAACGCCCATGGCTTCGATGCGGTCGATGATGGTGTCGTAGAGCTCGCCTCCCGTGCAGAGCTCCATCACGATATGCACGAAGTCGCGGTCCTCGTACGCCCCCCGAATGTTCACTATGTTCGGCGAGTCCTGGTGGGGAGGAATTGGAATGGAGGGAATGGAGGGCATGAAGGGGATTAGGGAAAAGGGGGTTGACTCTGGTGTGAGGAGACAAGGGAACACGAAGTCGCGGTCCTCGTACGCCCCGCGGATGTTCACTATGTTGGGCGAATCCTTATAGACGGGGATGAACGCGACGAAGGGCGCGACGGGGATGAGGAATGAACGAGGGGACAGTTTTTCTGTTTAACTCATTCCACATCCTTTTGTTCACTTGCGGTACAGACAAGGGTTCCGCTCAACCCAATACGGATAAAACCGGTTCATAAAGTCGATTTAAAACATCAAAACACTTATCCCCGCTTTAATCGGCACTGCGAGTCGAGCGTCACAGGCACGAGTGCCGCGCAATCTCCTTTTGAAACGACGTGTGAACAGGCTCGCATGTCGACGACTTTGGACGGAAACTACGCACACAAACGGAAACCCGTCTTCACAGAAACTGCGCATCTGGAGGGAAACGCACCTGAACAGAAACACAGCTTCGTGGAAAGCACGCACCCACAAAGAATCGAACCTGCACAGAATCGCACCTGCACAGAATCGCACCTGCACAGAATCGCACCTGCACAGAATCGCACCTGCACACGCACCTGCACGGAATCGCACCTGCACGGAATCGCACCTGCACGGAATCGCACCAGCACGGAATCGCACCTGCACGTGGTAGAGAATGGCGACCTCGCGGCGCACGTCCTCCACATCATCCTCCGTGAGCAGCTTGGACTTGGGGATGGTCTTGCACGCCCAGTGCACGCCCGTCGCCCGCTCCGTGCACACGTACGTCGTCCCGAACTGCCCCGCGCCCAGCTGCTGCCCGATGTCGAAAATGTCGTGGATGTTCTCTGATGGACGGGCACGACGGAGGTGGGGGTTGGGGGAAAGGAGGTGCGGGAGGGGAGAGGGAAGTGGGGGTGGGGGTTGCGGAAATAAAGGCTTGGTTAAGTCAGAAATGGTGAATGGAGATGTAAAAAATAGTTTAGAGAAATGCAGTGAACGTTCTCTGATAGACAGTTATGGAAAGCGTTGGGAAATGCAGTGTTAATAGGAAAATCTCGGGAACGTAACTAGCTTGATGGGCATGAAATGGCTGGTTTGAAGAGACATGCTGTGAATGTTCTGTCTTTTTCGACAGAAAACAGTTGGTGGAATTGTGGTAGATGCTACAGCAGTGGTTGGAGCGTGAAAGGCCATCGGACATACCGCGAACGCTATCGGCTTGACAATGGAGTGGCTCTAGGGACTAGACGGCCAATGAGAATAATAATCACTGAAAAGCAGCGCAATAATGTGTAACGGCCAGACATTCGAGACGTTGATTCATATGACTTTTCTTTCAGGTGAAACGCACCATTATGGCCTGGCCCGAGCACGCTCTTTGTTGATGGTCGAGATGACTTCCCCTGCACCAAAATCAAGAAACAAGACAGAGAATCGAACGGTCGTTTCACGCACTGAGGAATCCATGGCTGCTGTGAAGCACGATGTGCAGAATGCCAGAACGCACCCAATGTGAAGCACGACGATGATACGCATTTTTTTTTTTTTTTTTTCCATGGTACGATAGGTTTTGTTGAGGCGACGACCGACAACGCATTTCCATGACTATGATAGAGAAACGCACATTTGAGAGATAAACAAAGGAACAACTCGAAGACGCACGTCCATTTGCTCGCGGACATACACACTAAGTGAAGGGAACGAATCAATGTCCTACATTATGCTGGCAGGCGTGCAACTTACCGACGACATCCTGGAAGGATCGTCTGATTGCTTAGTTACCACAGCAATTCGTTCAGGCCAGAAAGTGCGATAACGTAGACTATTGCCTCATACCAGTGACCAAATAAAGATTGTAGCGCCTGTAGGAATCTAGGCAGGGGCTACAACAACAGAATGTCAATGAAGGTAAGGGCAGAGGATACTATGGAAGCCAAGTGGACTAAGGAGTTATGATAAAGTGAGGGGCACAAGTGAATAGGTGCAAAGAGGGAGGATGGAATGCCATTGTGTGTGTGCTGATTCTCCGACCTCCACCACGCTGTACGACACTACATCCCACTAAAAACCACGGTGCCTTGAGAAACCGCTATCAAACGCCAAACTCCTGGTCAACCAAACAAAGCCCAAGTTCAGCGGAAAATGATGATGGGATGGGGCGCGTGAGTTGGTGGAAGGAGCAGAGATGGGGAGGGTGAGAGCTGGGGGGAAGGGGAGAACATCGCCGAAGGGGAGATATTTTGAAGCGCCAAGGTACGTGATGCGGGGGCCCCGACGCTTTAGGGTATAAATCGGTTTAAAACGGTGAAACACGGTGACTCAAATCCACCGTTTTTTACCGTGACAAAAAACGTACTCGACCGCAAAGAACAGGTGACGTATAACGTATTGAAAAACTTGGGGCTGGAAATGTGGTGGCGGGCGGAGGACAGGAACGCGGAAATAGTCTTTTGGGGAAAGGCAACAGTCCCATGGGGGACCAAACCAGCACTGCTTGCGTGGTGAGGTGAGATCGACGTGGCAGCACAGATTTTGGATGACAGAAGAGTTGAAGGCCTTTTTTTTATCTCGTTAACCCCTTGACCTGGGCTGGGCACAAATAATTGGATATGATCGTCGTTCCGTGGGCACACCTATCCACAAACAACATGTCCCGCAAGTTCTGGGTGTGTCATTCGCTGTGGATTTCCAATTCTTTTCCAATTCACGCTAGTCCACCATCAAGCCAAATATTTGTGATTCCAAGAACGCCCCATTCGCATACCCCTTTGTTTGCACCACTTTTGCGATATTTCCACAAAGTGTGAGCGTGACCATTTTCCTCTAAAGCATGTGCTGAGCAGTGTGGCCAGTCCCAGGGGTCCCTCAGAGAACGCTGACATTTTCTTGAGATTCTGCTTGTGAAATAATAATTCTTAAGCCCACCTAATGGTTGTCCAGCTGTGTTCACTCTCTAACATGTGGTCATGTATTGAGCAAGGTCCAACAAAAAATCCTCTTGGATGAAACCACAGTGGGAGGGGCACATGGCTGAAAAAGGAGCCCATTTGCAGCGTTTTCTTGGGGGGATGGCGCAGTCTGTATCCAGGGGGAATCCTGTGATTGTTGCTGGAGCGCTGAAAAGTCATCCCTGAAGATTCTGGTTGTAGCATCCTAGAGAAAAACCACGCTTGATCCAACTCAAGTGTATACAGGGGCATTCCTCATGCCCCCGTGCCCCTTCCTACACCAGGCATCCAGCAATTGCCAGGTGTGAACACTGCAAAAGCACACACCAGCAACATCATTTGTTCCTAACAATTTATACCCTAAAACAGGAAAGCTAGGAGCCACCCATTACGCTTGCTTGTCCCTCCCTTCCAACCCTGGTGAGGAGATGAGCTGGGATGATGATGGTGACGTGCAGATTCTGAGACAATGAGGTGTGGATGGTGGTGAAAAGGCAATGGGAGTGGGACTCCTGACACAGTGGGCAGATGTGGGGAAGCTGCTGTGAAGGTGCTGGAAAGGTGATGCAAAGAAGCCGGGAAGCAGCTGGGAAGGCGCTGCGAAGGTGATGACGAGATGGTGAGGATGGGTTGCGTTAAGCTGCTGTGTCCCTAAAACGACACCACCATTCATGAACTCGCTGCCTCAAGGAAAATGTAGCCGGTGGTGTGAAGCACGTTGTGTAGTCATGAAGGTACGGCCGTATAGGGACACAGAGGAGCAGGGAGGAGACTCAGCGATCTGTGGTGCAGGACGGTGGTGAGCGGTGAAGTGAAACCATGCCATGCCTCCATGCAGCTATCCATGCCCATATGCTGCCCAAGCTCCGGCTCAAGAGCACTTGCTGCTCACAAGTCTGGAAGAACGACGCTCTAACGTGTGAGAATGCTGGGCCGCGTGATGCTGCACACCGATTGGTTGAGAGCAGGGGTGTGCGCCACCGCTCATGCTGTGGGGCGGGTCATGAGGGAGGCGCCCCTGCCGCCGCTCATTGTGCCCGCTGGTGACACCGGCTCTGATGGAGACAGGGAGAGGTGGGGGAAGGGGGAGGAGGGGGCAATGGGGTTGTGGGAAATTACCGGTCATAAGGGAGGCGCCCCTGCCCCCACTGATTGTGACTGCTGGTGATACCGGCTGCCTAAAAACACAACCCTCTAGCATTTCCTCACCTGCATCGCTCGCATCACTCTCGCTCCCCGCCGAGTCCACATCGGACCCAACGGCCCCGGCCACGCCAATGCACGTGAAGACGCTGCTGTCGTCCAGCGGGATGTGGTTGTAGACGGTGTACACATCGTCCACTGTGGTGATCTCATAGATACACGGCAGGTCCGCGATGCAGGAGACGGTCTTGCGTGGCACGTAGTCGCACTGCAGGTGTGTGAGCATGCCCAGCCAGTAGGCATTGTCCTTGAGGTCTGACTCGTGCCGCATGATGAGCGTGCGCTTTGCCTGAGTTACGGAGGGAGTTAGAGGGGGCAGGGTGAGTGGAAAAGAGTGAGATTTGCACTGCAGGTGCGTCACCATGCCCAGCCAGTAGGCATTGTCCTTCAGGTCGGATTCGTGCCGCATGATGAGTGTACGCTTGGCCTGCACAGAGGACAAAAGGTTGGCAACAGGGGGAGTGAAGGAGCAGAAAAGGTTCAGGATGGCAAGCCATGTAGTCGCACTGCAGGTGTGTGAGCATGCCCAGCCAGTACGCCTTGTCCTTCAGGCCTGACTCGTGCCGCATGCTGAGCGTGCGCTTGGCCTGTTACACAGGCGGAAGGAAGGAGAGAGATGACCGGGAAGGTGAGTCTCGCACGGCAAATGAGTCAGCATGTCCTTTCTTGGGGCGCCTACAAAGGGCATGCCGCCACTTGTACATGTCTGCACACTCCAAGCGCGAATGTACGCCAATCAGCGCCACACACACACGTGAAAACCCAAAGAAATCCCCACGTCCTGCACAGCCCACGTGCATGCGTACAAATCAGCAACCCCCCCCCCCCCCCCCCCCCCATCACAATGCTCGCCCCACCCTCCCATACGAGAACCTGTCATAACACCATTCATCCACAACAGCACCGCTCAATGCACCCAGTCTAGCTCCCTCCGTGTGATGCGGTTGGCCTGCCGCAGGGGCCCCATGCACATGCTCACACGTCAACCAAGAGAATGCACATGCTCACAACAACACCCACCCACACAATAGCACCGCTCAACGCCCCCAACACAACACCCACCCACACGCTCAACGCCCCCAACACAACACCCACCCACACAATAGCACCGCTCAACGCACCCGGTCCAGCTCTCTCTGTGTGATGCGGTTTGCCTGCAGCCCCCTGAGAACGTTCAGGGAAGCTTCCACAGCCTGCTGGATCTTGGCGGGTGTGGAGGTGACACTGATGCAGAACCACCCGGTGGCGAGGCGGTCAAAGAGAGATATCTCGAAATTGACGTCGTATGTCAGCCCTAGTGCGTCTCTAACTGTCGTGAACAGGCTGTTAGAGTGGACAGGGAAGGGTGGGGAAAAAGGTTGGGGAGCAGGAGGGGACAAGGAACAGGAGACAGTTGGATAACTTTTGAGAACAAAAGTAATTCGAGGGGAGCAGCAGAGGACAAGGAACCAGAGACAGTTGGAGAATGCAAGATCTTAGAATCTATCTTAGAATCTATGCTCTGTCAACCACCCATGCATTGACAATCCCCCCCCCCCCGCCCCACCATGCACTGACAATCCCCCCCCCCCGCCCCACCATGCATTGACAATCACCCCCCCCCCCCCCCCGCCCCACCATGCATTGACAATTCCCCCCCCCCCCCGCCCAACCATGCATTGACAATCCCCCCCCCCCCGCCCCACCATGCATTGTCAATCCCCCCTCCCCCGCCCCACCATGCATTGACAATTCCCCCCCCCCCCCCCCCCCCCCCCCCCCCCCGCCCCACCATGCATTGACAATTTCCCCCCCCCCCCCCCCCCCCCGCCCCACCATGCATTGACAATTTCCCCCCCCCCCTCCCCCGCCCCACCATGCATTGACAATCCCCCCCCCCCGCCCCACCATGCATTGACAATCCCCCCCCCCCCCCCGCCCCACCATGCATTGACAATCCCCCCCCCGCCCCACCATGCATTGACAATCCCCCCCCCCGCCCCACCATGCATTGACAATCCCCCCCCCCCCCCGCCCCACCATGCATTGACAATCCCCCCCCCCCCCCCCGCCCCACCATGCATTGACAAACCCCCCCCCCCCCCCCGCCCCACCATGCATTGACAATCCCCCCCCCGCCCCACCATGCATTGACAGCAGCCCCCCACCCGGCCCCACCCACCACACATTGATAACCAATCCACCCCCACAACCCCACAAACCCTCCCCCCCCCCCCCCCCCCCAAACGTACCGTGCGTTAACGATCTCCTGCAGCAGCAGCACCCCGACAGACGTGTACAGCGGGTGGCGGCGCCGGTGCCAGTACTTGCGCCCGTCTGCTCCCTCCACCACCGCCGTTCCCAACGGTGCCACTGCCACCGCCTGTGCGTCTGATGAATGGGGAGATACACACACATGCACGAGCACAGGCACAAGGCACTTGAGTCGTAAGGTACCTGCGCCCCTCCGCCCCCTCCACCACTGCTGCGCCTAACGGTGCCACCGCCACTGCCTGTGCGTCTGCACACAAGGGAACACGCACACAGACAGGCACGAGCAGAGGGAGTTCAAGGGGTAAATTCTTGAGTCAAGCCGAAAAGAATGTGCGCCCATCCGCCCCCTCCACCACTGCTGTTCCCAGTGGCGCCACTGCCTGCCTGTGCGTCTGCTCGCACACACAGTGGCACAAGCAAAGGGCAAGCACGCACACACAGACACGGCGCGCTTATGACTCAAGCCAGAAGGTATTTGTGCCTTTCCGCCGGCTGCTTTCGAGACGTCTCAAACCGAAAATAATTTATAACTTGACGCAAAGGCAAAAAGAGGTTGTCTAGTTCTACTAGGTGGTGCGAGGTGGGGAGGGGGAGGAGAGAGAGTGAAGAAAGGGAGGAGCGAGCGGGGAAGGGGAGAGGGAGGAGCGAGTGGGGAAGGGGAGAGGGAGGAGCGAGGGAGCCGTGAGACTGGACTTACCAGGGTCTCCTAAAAGGCTGCCCTCGCCCCTCCCACCTCCTCCCGCTGCTCCCGCTGCTCCCGCTCCTCCCGCTCCTCTTCCGTTTTGGCTGTGCGTGTTGCCTCGCCCCATGGTGAACAGATGTCGCATTGCTCTCGCCAGCAGCGGCCCTTCATCTGCCATTGCTGCTGCTCGCGATGCTGGTGATAATGGTGGTGGTGGTGGTGACAGCAATGGTGGTGGCGTTACTGGTGATGAGGATAGAGGTGGCATGGCGACCAAACGGTGTACTGTGTAAGTACACTCATCCATATCAAACACACTTCAAACTACATGAGAAACATAAGCACGAGTGCCTTTCGAGGCACCACAGGAGTCTGCATGGGGAGGGCTGTAAGTGTGTGGACCTGGATGTCGTCCAGGGCAAAGGTGTGGCCGAGCGGAATGGGCGTCACTTCAACACCTGTGCCCTGGACCTGAATGCCGTTTCCAGTGCACCATACATTCAATTCAACAAGGTGCAGGGGTACGCACCCAGGCAGCAAGCAGATGCATGGCTGCAGTGTGTGCTGTACCTGTGTAGCCGGGCGGAATGGGCTCCAGAATCGTGTTGATATCCCGCCCATCCGGTGCGAATCCCCACCGGTTCGGTGCCGGACCTGCGATGTAGGCTCGGGCCCTCTCGTCCGTGTCTCGCAAGAGAACCTGGAGGAGTGAGGGTGGAGGAGTGAGGGTGGAGGGGAGGGAGGAGGGAAGAGGAGGGAGGGGTGAAGGGAAGTTTGAGAGGAGGCCAGGAGTTGGTCCCAGGCAGTCCAATGCCGGATGAAGATGGCACCGTAAATGATGAACCCGCGGTCAGTCCTTCTTTGAACCGTCTCATGCCCACACCACATCCCTCGAGCTCACTTTTGGAGGCGCAGAGCAGGATGGGACCATCTTGAAGGGCGGCTATCCAGGCAGGGCGAGCACAGGGGGCGGTGGGTGGAGCGGGGGCAGCAAGGGCCATACCTCTTGTGCCCTGCCTTCCCATGCCATCTTCTTCCCACAATCTCACCTTCTGGTGGCGCAGAGCGGGTGGGCACGTCGAGACCATCTTGAAGGGCGGCTCGCCGGGGAGGGCGAGCACAGGAGGCGAATGCAGCGGGGGCAGCACCGTGGTGCAGGGCGGCGGCCACAGAGCATGGCACACAGCCTTACTTTCTGGTCCCACACACCCCCAGACGGGACACGGCGTACCTTCTGGTGGCGCAGGGCAGGCGGGCAGGAAGTGACCATCTTGAAGGGCGGCTCTCCAGGCAGGGCGAGCACGGGAGGCGGGTGCAGTGGGGGCAGCACGGTGGTGGAGGGGGGCAGGGGCGCGGAGGCAGGGTTGGGCGGGAGCGAGGCGAAGGGCGAGACGACATCGGCGGGGGGAGGGAGCGTGGTGACTGTGCCGAGGTACTTGAGAATGTAGTCCGTCATCTCCTCCTCGCTGAAATCGCCCACTATGCTCAACTGCGGGGGAACAAAGAAGCGTGGGCACGGGGCAGAGGCAGAGGAGCACGGGGAAGTGAGTGTGTGTAGGGTGGTAAAGGGGTGACAGCAGCAGGGGGAAGGGCGGTGACGGTGCCGAGGTAATTGAGGATGTAGTCCGTCATCTCCTCGCTGAAATCACGCACTATGCTCAACTGCAGCAGGAGGGACCATGGGGGAGTGGATATGTGCACAGATTAGAGGCAGCGGTAAAGGAATGGCAGCAATGGTGGGGAGGGAGTGCAGTGACTGTGCCGAGGTACTTGAGGGTGTGGTCTGTAATTTCCGCCTCGCTGAAATCGCCCACCATGATCAGCTGTGAAGGTAGGAGGGGAGGGTAGCGGAGGGGAGGAGCAGGGACAGAGGCAGAGGCAGGGACAGATAAGGATGACAAAACGACAATGACAGACGAAGAGACGCGATGGTCTGCAAAACCAGCCCTTCTGGAGGGAAAACGAAACAAATAGAACAAAAGGCAGGCGATGTGAATGTCATGCAGTAAAACGCACCTCAATGTTCCCCGACAGCAGCTGCTGCATCACAGCGTGGCGCACGGTGTCGAGTGTGAGGTTGGACACAATGGCAGGGTGAGGGTCCAGCAGGCGTGTGTCTCCATCAAACATGGCGCCCATCAGCTTGCTCGCCGTCAGCCGCTCCAAGCTCTTGGGGAGAGACCTGTCAGTGCACGCAGCAACCGGAGGGGAGGAGGGCGGATGACTAAGGACGAGAGACGATGCAAGTCCAGTCCAGCAGTGGGGTGCCCACCAGCTTGCTCGCTGTCAGCCGCTCCAATCGTTTCAGGAGCGACCTGTCAAGAGTGGCGAAGGTCAGCAGCTGAAGGGAGGGGGTGGAATGGAACGGTAACAAGAGTGAGATAGAAGAAGCGGGTCCAGCAGCTGTGTGTGTGTGTCAAAGAGCAGGCGCCCACCAGCTCGTTGGCAGTCAGGAGCTACAAACTCTTGGGAATTCTCAAAAGAGGATGAGGGGGAGCTCAAGGTTCTCCCAAAGGAGAGGTGAGATGGGTGGTGGTGGAACCACCCCTTAGTATGAAGGGAGAAGAGATGACAGGGGTGAGTGTTAGAATCTATCTTCTCTTATAACCTGCATAGATGTTATAGGATAGGCTAGAGATAAGCACCCAAACTTAGTTTGGGTGTTCAAGCAGGGGTTACCCAATTTGTAGGTTGGAAACCCAACCTTGGTCCAATTATTGGACCCCAAAGGTTGGGTTGGGTAGAATTATTGGTTCACACCAATAATGTTGGCCCAACCCCAACTTGGCCAACATTATTGGACCCCACCAATAATCCCCCAACTCAGCTTCATGGGTGGGGTCCAATAATGGTCACCTAGGCTAGGATCCAACCCATTCCCTATGTAAACCCCCATTCTCCTCAATTCAATAACAACTTCTCTTCCAACTCTTATTCTCACATGGTATCAGAGCTCTTAAAAATCCTAGGCCTACGCTCCTAGTTTTTTTTGCCTTAAGGCCGCCGCAACCCCCGGCCTCCTTTCTCATCCTTCCGCGGCTACCTCGCCACCCTCCCCCTCTCCTCAAGCACTCCCTCCCTCTCTCCCTTCCGCAGCCTCGTCGCCACCTCCGCGCCTGCACTGCCGCGGCTTCGCCAGCCGCCGCCGCTCGCGCCGCTCCCTCCCGCGACCCCGTCGCCGCTTCCGCGCCTGCACTCCCGCGGCTTCGCCAGCCGCCGCCGCTCGCGCCGCTCCCTCCCGCGACCCCGTCGCCGCTTCCGCGCCGGCACTGCCGCGGCTTCGCCAGCCGCCGCCGCTCGCGCCGCTCCCTCCCGCGGCCTTGTCGCCGCTTCCGCGCCTGCACCGCCGCGGCTTCGCCAGCCGCCGTCGCTCGCGCCGCTCCCTCCCGCGGCCTTGTCGCCGCTTCCCCGCCTGCACCGCCGCGGCTTCGCCAGCCGCCGCCGCTCGCGCCGCTCCCTCCCGCGGCCTTGTCGCCGCTTCCGCGCCTGCACTGCCGCGGCTTCGCCAGCCGCCGCCGCTCGCGCCGCTCCCTCCCGCGGCCTTGTCGCCGCTTCCGCGCCTGCACCGCCGCGGCTTCGCCAGCCGCCGTCGCTCGCGCCGCTCCCTCCCGCGGCCTTGTCGCCGCTTCCGCGCCTGCACCGCCGCGGCTTCGCCAGCCGCCGCCGCTCGCGCCGCTCCCTCCCGCGGCCTTGTCGCCGCTTCCGCGCTTGCACTGCCGCGGCCTCGCCAGCCGCCGCCGCTCGCGCCGCTCCCTCCCGCGGCCTTGTCGCCGCTTCCGCGCCTGCACTGCCGCGGCCTCGCCAGCCGCCGCCATCCGCGCCGCTCCCTCCCGCGGCCTCGTCGCCGCCTCCGCGCTTGTCCCGCCGCGGCTGCGCCAGCTGCCGCCGCCGCCTGCGCCTCTCCGCGGCCCCAACGCCGCCTCCACGCCAGCGCCGCCGCGGCCTCGTCAGCCGCCACCGCCAGCACCGCTCCCCTCACGGCCTCGTCGCCGCCTCCGCGCCAACGCCACCGCGGCCCCACCAGCCGCCGCCGTCCGCGCCGCTCCCCTCTGCGGCCTCGTCGCCGCCTCACCTCCCTCTCCTCCGTGACCACTGCGGGTCTCCCCGCGGCCGTCCTCCATGGCTACCGCCGCACCTTCCCCCGCCCCCCTCCCTCCTCCTATTGATACGTCCTCCGTCGATAAACTGCAGCTTGCCGCAGACAAATCCGCCGTCAATTGGCACTCCTTCGTCGGCAGCATCCGACGAGTTCTCTCCGACGCATGGGTTCCCCCCTACCGTGTCCTTGATGTCCTCCTCCGCCGTCCCCAGGCACTCCCCCCCACCGAACCTGAACACCCAGGCGAGACTCCTCCTCTCCCTCCCTCTCCCGGCGATCCTCCTCTTGAACCCGACCTCCAAAGCACAGGCGACCAAGCCGCCGCTGATGCAGACTTCATCTTACGCCGCCGTGCGTACCTTATCAAGAAAGCAGAGTACGATGCAGCAGTCGAAGCCTATGACCAGGCGGTTGCTGGCCGCAACGCTCACCTCGCCGTCGTCGCCAAATACAAAGACGACATGGCCACCCACATCCCGAAACTTATCGCCTGGACAACTGCTGACACTCGTGCCTGCACCGTTCTCCTTGGGGCTCTCCCTGACTCCCTCATGCGCCGCTTCCAGGCTCGAGAGCTTCGGGCCTCGGTCATCTGGGCAGAACTCCATGCGATGTTCGAACGCCGCGACATCAGCTCGGTCGGTATCCTGTTCCAAGAATACTTCTCAATCACCCTTGCTACCTGTGACGGAGCGGTCGACTACATCGGACGCATGCGGGAGGTAGCTGACCGTCTCGAAGCCCGCCAAGCCGGCCTCTCCGAACCTCTCCAAATCCATCGCCTCCTGTTTAACCTCACTCCCGACTATGAATCCCGCCTTCACGCCTTTACCGAGGCCAATCCCCTAGCCGATCTCGCCTCCGTTGAACAGTGGATCATAGACACCGAAGTCAAACTTCGCACCCCCGTCGTCAACCTCGCCTCCTCCCAACCCTCCTCCTCCTCCCTCAACGCTACTCAGCCCCGCAAGCAGGGCAAGAACAACGGCAAGGGGGGTGGTGGAGGCAAGGGAGGTAGCGGTCAAGGCAGCAGCAACGCGAACAGACGCAGCGGCACCACTGGAGATGAGCATGGCACCCCCAATACAGGCGGAGCATCTGCAACCAGTGGGACCCGCCCTGGTACTCTTCCGCCCTGCACCTATGTCCGCCGCTATGGTCCCCGGGCTGGCACCCCCTGCGGACAGACCAACCACCCTCCTGCCACCTGCTTCAAGGTCCTCGATGATGCATGGTACGCACGAGGCAACGTTGGCCATCCTCCCAAGTGGGCAACACTTTCCCCACGTCCCTCCCCCACTGACATCCAAACCAACCCCGCTTATCTCCCCGCCCACCTCCGCCTCCTTGCTCCCCCCGCGCCCTTCCTCAACCTCCAGCAGCAGCACCTCCTGCAGCAGCAGCAGCAGCAACAGCAGCAGCAGCAGCAGCAGCAGCAGCAGTTACAGCAGCTGTTTTACCCACAGCCGCAGCAGCAGCACCCATGGGGATCAGGGCCCCAGCCCCAGTGGGGACCCAGCCCTCCTCCCTGGCAGCAGCAGCAGCTAAACTTTGGCACAGCAGCCATGGCCGCCCAGGCCTCCCCGGCTCCCCTTTGGGGTGCTCCACCCCCCCCCAGTGGCACTGCCACCCCTCTCACTCAGGAAAGCTTTCTTGGCAACATTTCTGTCTCACCCTCTCTTCCTTCCATGTACCCATCCAACATTAATGAAACCACTTTCCAGTACTCCGTGTCTTCCTCCTCCTCGCCCACTCTGGACTTTGTCCTAGACAGTGGGGCCACTGAAACTGCTCTCAAAGATGCTGGTACACTCACACCCCTCTCCCCTCCCACTCAAGTTCACGGTGCTGACAGCAGCTTCACCATCCCATGCACACACCTCTCCACTCTCCCCTGCTCACTCTTCCCCTCTGGTAAGGTAACTGGTCTCCACATCCCCACTCTCCGAAACAACCTCCTCTCCCACCGTGAAATCCAAGGTGCAGGTATCACTGCGGTCTATCCTGGTAATGCCACCTACTGTGACCTTTACCATACTGCCTCCGGCCGCTTCCTCCTCCGCATACCCCTCTGCCCCCGCACTCGCCTCTACACTCTCCGCACTCCGTGGCCATCCTCCTGCCCATCATGCCACCACTCGTGCGGGTACCTCCACTAGCCCTCCCCATCTCCCTCCCTCCCCTCCCACTCCACCATCCCCCCACTCCTTCATCCCGCCCTCACTCGTTCCAGCCCCCTCCACCTCCGACCATCTCTCCCACCCCGCTGTTCTCCTACATCACCGACTCGGCCATCCCAATTTCGCCGCTCTCCGCACTGCCGTCACCTCACGACTTCTTCACAGCCTCCCTCCCACCCTTCCTCCCCTTCCCTCCTCCCCGGCCCCCCCATGCCCCTCCCGCATCCACGGCAAACTCAAACAATCCCCTCATCACAGCCACCCCTCCTTTGCTCCTGCACCAATTGACCTCGTCCATATGGACCTCTGGGAGCCCTCTCCCACCCGCTCACGCCAAGGCCATCGCTACATGCTGGTTCTTGTTGACGATCATAGCCGCTACTCCACCGTTTTCCTCCTCCACACAAAAGATCAGGCGCCGACCATGATCATTCGCTGGGCAGAACAATGCCGCACCCACTTCAAACGTCCCATCGGCCGCCTCCACTCTGATGGGGGAGGCGAATTCCTCAATCGCACTCTCTCTCACTACTGCACCACTCATGGCATCCAACAGACCCACACTCTTCCCCACTCCCCACAGCAGAACGGCATCGCAGAAAGCCGCATCCGCGAAATCACTAAGATCGCCCGCTGTCTCCTCGCTCACGCCTCCACACCCCCTTCTCTCTGGGGCTATGCCCTCCTTCATGCTTCCCTCCTCCTCAACCTTCACTCCCATCCCCAACACACTGCCACTACCCCCACGGAGCTCTGGTCAGGGTCCAAACCTGACGCCGCTGGACTCCGTGTCTGGGGTTGCAAGGCATATGTGCTCATCCCTCCACCTGAACGCACCCACGGCAAGCTCGCTCCTCGTGCCCTCGAGTGTGTCTACCTTGGCCACAACCGCGACTCGCCCGGTTACCTTTTCCTCCACCCTCCCTCTGGTCGCCTCATCCGCAGCATCGACGTTGTGTTCGATGAGACCACCCCATACTACTCCTCCCCACCACCAGACCCTCTCCCTCCTCCTACACGTCCTCTCGCTTGGACCGACACTGTCCTCCCTCCCCTCCTCCCTCCAGCACCTCTTCTTCCACCCCTCCCCACCCCGCTTCCGCCACCTTCATCTGCCGATGTCTACGATCCCACTGCTCCAACATCCCCTGCACACTCCGCAGCTCCCCCTCCCTCCTCTCCTTCCCACTCTCCTTCTCATCCATCCCAGCAGCAACAGCAGCAGCCGCAGCAGCAGCAGCAGCCGCAACAGCAGCAGCAGCAGCAGCAGCAGCAGCAGCCACAGGGGCAGCAGCAGCAGGGGCAGCAGCAGCAGCAGCAGGGGCAGCAGCAGCAGCCGCCGCAGCAGCAGCAGCAGCAGCAGCAGCAGCAGCAGCAGCCGCAGGGGCAGCAGCAGCAGCAGCAGCAGCAGCAGCGGCACCAGCAGCAGCAGCGGCAGCAGCAGCAGCCGCAGCAGCAGCAGCAGCAGCCACAGCAGCAGCAGAACCAGGAGGGGCAGCAGCCGCAGCAGCAGCAGGGGTTCCAGCAGCACCAGCAGCAACAGCGGCGGAGGGCGACTGCCCGCTCCTCACCTTTCCTCCTCCCTCGCATGCACACCCGCTCTCTTGATCCCATCCTTGGCACTCCGCCACCTTCCTCCCTCAGCCAGCTCGAGGACTCCCATGAGGAGTTCGCCATGGTCCAGCGCCACACTCCCTCTCTTTCCACCCTCTACCCCGACCTCCTCGGCGCTCTACTCCTTAGCGCGATCTCCGCTCCCACCATCTTCGTCCCCACCACCTTCCAGGAAGCTATCACCTGCCCTGACGCTGACAAGTGGATAGCCGCTATCTTCCTGGAATGTGAGGCGTTCATCCGCAACGACTCCTTTATCGACGTTCCCCTTCCCCCTGACGCCAACCTTGTCGAGGGCAAGTGGATCTTTCGAGTCAAACAGCTGCCGGGAGAAGAACCAGTCTACAAAGCCCGCTATGTTGCTAAGGGGTTCACCCAGACCTGGGCTGAGGACTACTGGTTCACATTTGCCCCCACCCTCAGGCAAGCCACCCTACGCACCCTTATGGATATCGGTGCGCGGGACGACATGGAGATTGACTCCATGGACGTCTCCAACGCTTTCCTGCAAGGTGAACTGCACGAACGCATCTTTCTCCGCCGACCTCCCGGGTTCCATGCTACGTTCCCCGACAACACCGTCTGGCAGCTGAAGCGACCGGTCTACGGCCTGAAGCAGGCACCACGAGAATGGCATGCGAAGCTGTCTGCTACTCTCCAGTCCCTTGGCTTCTCCCCCTCCCACTCCGACGCCAGCCTCTTCATCCGCTCTTCCCCCAGTCGCTTCTTCATCTCGGTCTACGTCGATGACATGATCCTGCTCGCTGACACCAGGACTGACATGGATCAAGTGAAACGGTCTCTTCAGGAACGTCTCAAGTGCAAGGACCTTGGTCCGCTGCAGAACTACCTCGGCATGGCTATCACTCGTGATCGATCCGCCCGCACCATCACCCTCTCCCAGTCCCACTACATCGGCCAGGTCCTGGAAAAGTTCGAGATGGCACAGGCCAAACCAGTCTCCACACCCCTCCCCTTCGGTCACCAGCTTGCGCCACCCACCTCCCCCTCCACCTCCTCCCGGCCCTACGCCGAGCTTGTTGGGTCGCTGATGTACGCAATGATGTGCACTCGTCCCGACCTCGCCTACCCTGTCAGCGTCCTTGCTCGATTCGTCGGCCCCGGCCGCCACACTGAGGAACACTGGACTGCCGCCAAGCGAGTCCTCCGCTATCTTCGTGGCACCAGGGACCACGCTCTCACACTGGGTGGATCTTCCCCCCCCCTTCTCTCTGGCTTCAGCGACTCCTCCTGGGCAGACTGCCAGCCAGACCGCCGCTCCTCCCAAGGCTATGGCTTCACCCTCGGTAGCGGCCTCATCAGCTGGCGCTCTACTCGCTCCTCCGCCATCGCCCTCTCCTCCTGTGAAGCTGAGCTCTATGCTGGCACCATGGCCGCGCAAGAGTCCCGCTGGCTCTGCTTCCTCCTAGCTGAGCTTGGTGTTCCCCAGCGCTGCCCCACCCTCTGGTGTGACAATGCCAGCACCATCCATCTCACCCAAGACCCCGTTTTTCACGGTCGCTCCAAGCACATTGAGCTCCGCTATTTCTTCATCCGTGAACTCGTCCAACAGAATCTCATCGCCGTTCGCAAGATCGCCGCTGAAGCCAACCTGGCAGATATCTTCACCAAACCACTTCTTCGCCCTGCGCACTCTGCTCTTCTCCGCCTCATCGGCCTCGCTCCCCCAGGCGCGCCTTGATTCAGGGGTTGCTTCCCTCAAGCCTTTCCACATCTCTGCAGGTTAAGGGGTTGTGTTAGAATCTATCTTCTCTTGTAACCTGCATAGATGTTATAGGATAGGCTAGAGATAAGCACCCAAACTTAGTTTGGGTGTTCAAGCAGGGGTTACCCAATTTGTAGGTTGGAAACCCAACCTTGGTCCAATTATTGGACCCCAAAGGTTGGGTTGGGTAGAATTATTGGTTCACACCAATAATGTTGGCCCAACCCCAACTTGGCCAACATTATTGGACCCCACCAATAATCCCCCAACCCAACTTCATGGGTGGGGTCCAATAATGGTCACCTAGGCTAGGATCCAACCCATTCCCTATGTAAACCCCCATTCTCCTCAATTCAATAACAACTTCTCTTCCAACTCTTATTCTCACAGTGAGAGAGGGTGGTGTGCCTCTCAAGCATGAGGCACCATGCGAGAGACCTGTAGAAGGGGATTTAGTCGTCTGCAGGGTGACTTCGGGCCGACCCAGCCAAAGGAGTTTGTGGAGGGTGGTGGGCTAGGCACACGAGGGGAGCAGATAAGCCTAAGCCTAAGCCCTCCCGCGTCCATCCACCAGCCAGCCAGCCACAAGAGCTGAACAAGCAAGCATACAAGCGAGGTTTGAGGTGGCTTAAAACGCGACCTCGAGCAACATAGAAGCACGGAACGCGCACACCACAAAGGGAATGCACACCACGAAGGGAACGCCACGCACCTGTAGAAAGAGAGGTACGCCTGCTTGGCCCTCTCCAGAGCATCCTCGTCCCATGCTGGATGCTGCACGCGGAGCAATGGGGGTGGCGGGGTGGACACGGATGCAAGATTGTTTAGAACAGAACAGGCATGTACATGGAAACTAGCAAGGGAGTGCGAGAAGGAGAAGGAGCGAGAGAGAAGGAAAGAGTGTGAGAATACAAACGAATGAACATCTCTGTATTACGGAGGAAAGAAGTGAGGGAATTGCACGAGAAAAATAATTGTTTCTCTGTAACGAATTCAAAGCATGGATGATGTGATTTACTTTGTGGAGAGGAGTGATGGCACACAAATGGCAGCTCACGTGCAGGTGTAGTTCCATGTTCCCATCTGCAGCTCACCACCACACCTGCACCATTCAATACACAGCACCATGACCGTACCACACCACATCCCACCTGTACCACGCCACCTGCACCACCCCACCTGCAGCAGCATTCATCACCATCATTCCCCGCATCCCACCTGCAGCAGCATGTGCAGCAGCTGGAAGGAGGCCTTTAGGCCGCCATAGTGTGTACCACCACCATCACCTCTACTATCCCCTTTCCCATCAGCGCGCCATCCCCATGAGCCCACCGCACCTGCAGCAGCATGTGCAGCAGCTGGAAGGAGGCTTTAAGGCCGCCGTAGCGCGTGGCGAAGTGCAGGTCCAGCGCAACACACTCCTCGTCCGCCTCCAGCATGCAGTTCACCAGATTCGCCAGGCAGAACAGCTCCACCTGCTCGCGGCTGTACTCCCCCACGCGCCCCGCCTCACTGAGCGTGCGCACGCCCACCGCCACCTCGCCTGCCCCGTGGGGGTCCTCCTTCGCCCGCCCCCCCGGAAACACCAGCCGCAGCACCCCGCCCTTCGCCTCGTTGTCCGTCACCTGCTCGGGGAGCGGTTGGTGGGGTGTGGTGGGTTGTGGTGGCGTGGAGTAACGTGGAGTGGGGTGGGATGGAGTTGGGTGGGGTGGGGTTGGTGGGGTGCGGCAAAGTGCAATGAGGTGCGGTGGTGAGCGAGGTGCGGTGGTGTGCAGTGGGGTGGGATGGGTATGGGCTGCAGAAGATAGGACACGCAGAGTGTATCGAGAGCTTTGGTTGGATCGGAAGGTGAGCCAAACCACGGCACTCCTTGCCTCGTTCCCCTTCCCTTGTATAACGAGAAGCAAACACCATCTTCAGTTGGCAAAGGTGGTGGGAAGGTGAAGGAGAGTGTGTTGGAAGTGTGCATTACATTCCTGGAACCAAAGCACTTGAAAGCCCCACAGATACACCACGCACCCCACCCACCGTTCCTCGCCACTCCTCACTCTCTCATCTTCACCGCACTCCACTGCTCCCCACCTTCATGTTGACGCGGATCCCGTTGCTCAGGCGGCGCTGGATGATGCCCGTCTCCTTGTTGTACTGCCGCACGCGCCACTCAGACGGTGCCACGTCAGCAGCGTTGCCCTCGGTGGGCGGGAACGGCACGAACCGCGGCCGGATCTTCTGCTGCAGCTCTGCCAGCTCAGCATCGGAAATGAGCGTGCGGGGGACCTCCACCTGGCATGGGAGCACAAGTACGGGAACTTTAAAACGTTAGACAATGAATTTCCAACAGGGATGGGAGCAAGAGGATCAGCGTTAGACAATGAGCGGGGAAGAGAGAGGGTGCATGCATCCACATGAGCAAGGCGGCATCTTTCTGGATGGACACTCCCATCCCCTACACTCACATCCCCTAACCCCACAACTCACATCCTGTACAGTCACATCCTTTACAATCACATCCTTTACAATCATACTGCCTACTGCTCATCTCTCCCATTCTGACACCTCTACACCCACATAACGAAGCCACCGCTCACCACCGTCCTGCACCGCTCACCTCGTCCTCAGGCTGCACGTCCTCTCGGAGCCCTGCCAGCAGCGCATCCCTCACCGCCTCGGGAGTCACCTCAAACACCACATCGCTCGCCGCCCCCGCCCCCGCTCCCACACCCGCAGCTGTAGCCGCAGAGGAAGAGCTCTGCACCATCGCCCCATTCCCACTCCCACTCTCTCCCTTCTCTCTCCCGCCTTCCCCTCCCTGCACGTGCATCCGTGTGGGCACGCACACCACAATCGCAGCCGGCCTCGGCGCCTCCCCCTTCCCATACTCCGCCACAAACTCAAGCACCTCCGCCGCCGCCGCATTCACGTCCTCCAGCTCTATCGTCGGCGCAATCGCCGACAGGCACTCAAAGCTCTGCTCTGGGTCCAACACCGCGTGCCCCAATGCAAAACTCTCCATCAGAAAATCTAAGGAGTCGATCGAGTGAATGGCGTCGGTCATGGCGGCGTTGTGCTCGGAGTCGCGCAGCATGGTGGTGACGTAGCGGGCTAGCTCGCCCCGCGTGAGGCCGAACTGCTGCAGGCGCCGCACCTCCTGCAGGGCGACTGTGAGCGCGGACTGCCAGTCAGTGGGCTCGGCTGTGACTGTGAGCGTGGTGACGGTGCACCCCTCCCTGGCACTGTCGCTGTGATCTAGATCCACTCCCAGGAAGGGCACCGTGCCGTTCTGAGGTAAGAGGAGGAGAGGCATGGGTAAATGACCGGAGACACACAGGAATGCAGGGAGAGAAGCAGAGGGTGAGCGGGGTGACGGCGAATGATGCACTGCGCAACAGTCACTTAACAGTTGAAGCTGCAGCTGAACTGATTGCTCACCTTGTAGCGGTTGTTGATGCGGAACTGCAGCGCGTTGAGCATGACGCGTGGCACAATGCCCACCTTGTTGAGCCAGACCAGTTGCTCATGGCTCACCTTGCGGCCCATCCCGTGCTGCTTGCTCACCTTGTAGCGGTTGTTGATGCGGAACTGCAGCGCGTTGAGCACAATGCGTTGCATGACAGCACGGCGCAGGTCGCCCAGCGTCTGCACCTGCTTCACTGGGTTCTGGTGGGGCGTGGGGGCACGTGCAGGGAACACGTGCAGAGAGGGAGGTGTTAATATCACTGCACTCACTGCCTCTGAACCTCCTGCACAGGGTTCTGGTGGTAACGGGGAAGAGAGGGCGTGCAGGGAGGGTTGGTTTATCATTTTGGAAGTCTTAAGAACAGAGCAGAGCAGATTCCTTCAACAGATTCAGCAGGTGGAAGTCGGGTGATGTCTTGAGCAAGTAGTAGTCGCACCTCCTGGATGGTGGGAGCACACAACGCGGACCCCTTCAACAGGGGGACGTGGCCATACAACACAATGACAGTGGGACCACGCATCAACAATGTTTAAGCGCACCTTACAGAACATGGTGAGGGAAAAGTTCTGCAGCAGCTCATGCTGGAAAATCACTGGCATCACCACGCCCTCCCCCGCTGCTGCTGCCTGCTGCTGTGCCGCCGCTGCTGACGGCACCACCGCCGGGGGCAAAAACCCCTCTCCCCTTGCCCTTCCCCCTACCTCCGCGCCTTCCCCCGCACTCCCCCCCGCGCCCTCCCCCTCCAGGTGGTCTCTCGCCCACGTGTGGCGCACAGGCGGGCGCACAGCATGCCTCTCCTTGCGCACAGGCCCGGGGATGGGCGCAGGGGAGGCGGAGGGGGAGGGGGACTCGGCGGAATGGGGGTGCAGGGCGGAGAGCGCGGAGCTGGGGGGGACGGCGGGCATGGTGGGGGAAGTGGCGGGGTGCATGGGGGGAGTGAAGCTGGGGGCGGAAGAGGCGGAGGCGGGGGCGAGAGAGGGCGCGGAGGAGTGGTGGTGCGAGATGGAGGGGGGGAGAGTGGGAGAGTGGACGGAGGGGGAGTGGGCGGGGATGGTGGGAGTGGGGCTGGGGGGAGGCGGCATGTGCATGCCTGGTGGGGTGCGACCAAAGTGCTCCTGAAAGGGCAGGGAGGAAAAGCAGGGAGCAGCAGAACGACAAGCAGAGTAAGGGCGGGTCCAGAGCGTACGTTTACAGGTACTTTACAGTTCATCTGTCGTGGTTTGAGACGGTATCACGCAGTGCACAGCAGTTTTAAACCTTCACCGCTTTTCACCGTGACGAAATCAGATTAACCGCACAGGATGAACTGTACTTCAACTGAAAACATACGCGCTGGACCCGCCCTAATAAATTGGCAGAAGGGGAGTCCTGGGGGATTACCAGCGGTTGTGCATGCAAGGCTGTGAGTAAAGTAACCCAGTGTTTCACATCAGAGCAGAGAAGATCACTAAACCAGTGAGGCATGCAGATTGCCCCCGAGTGGAGCAGTTCACTCACCTCTATGATTCCGATGATGCCTGGCACTGCACGGACGCCAACCCCTCCACCCCACCACGCAGCGCTTGACATCGGCAGGAAAGTACAGTACCCACACGCACACCCCCCTCCCTTCCACTCTTAGCTCAGGGGTCGAGCAGGGCTGTGAGAGGCTCACTGAATGCCCGCAGAGCGGATCTGCTCACCTCAATAAGCCGGATGATGTCCGACACCGACGCCAGGTCTCCAATGACGTAGAGCGTGGCATTGGCAGGGAAGTACCAGCGGTCGTGGAAGGCACAAATCGGATCCAGCTGTGAAACACCTCAAAGCCACATAACCCACATCAAGGCAAACCCATTCAACTCACCTCAATAAGCCGGATGATATCCGACACGGAAGCGAGGTCCCCCACGACGTAGAGAGTGGCGTTGGCAGGGAAGTACCAGCGGTCGTGGAAGGCGCGGATCTGATCCACCGACCACTTCTTCACCTGCTCCTCCTGGCCTATCGGGAAGCGACAGCTCAGCAGGTTCTCCGAGTGCATGTGGTGTAACAGCTGCGGGTGGAACAGGGCGCGAGGGTGGAGAAAGGGGAGGAGAGGGGGATTGTTGGGGACAGAGAGTGGGGAGGGAGGGAGGGGGGGAGGAAGGAGAAACTGGATGCATGCACAGAGTCAATGCGGTACCTGGCAGTCAACGAGGTACCTGGCAGTCAACGCGGTACTGAATGGTGTTCATCATCTGCATCTCTGACAGTACAGCAGCTCTACACTCTGGCAGTCAACGCGGCTCCTGATAGTCAATGCAGTGACACCCACCCAGCAGTCATCGCAGCACACACCCACCTGGCAGTCAACGCGGTACTCACCTGGCAGTCAACGCGGTACTCAATGGTGTTCATCATCTGCATCTCCGACAGCACGGCGCGCCTCTCCTTGTCGATGCGCGACGGCAGGAACTTGGGCGCAAACGCAATCTCGTGCAGCGCCGCCAGCACCATCGGCAGCATTGGCTCCTGCGAGCCCTGGGGAGAGAGGGGAGAGGGGGGGGGAGACGGGGAGGGGAAGGGTGGGCAAGAGAGGCAAGGGAGAATGCACGGCGTGAGCGGAGACCGAACGCGATCTCGTGCAGCGCTGCCAGCACCATCGGCAGCATTGGCTCCTGCGAGCCCTGGGGAGAGAGGGGAGAGGGGGGGGGAGACGGGGAGGGGAAGGGTGGGCAAGAGAGGCAAGGGAGAATGCACGGCATGAGCGGAGACCGAACGCGATCTCGTGCAGCGCTGCCAGCACCATCGGCAGCATCGGCTCTTGGGAGCCCTGGGGAGAGTAGCAGGATGGGGAGGGGGAGGGTGAGGGTGAGGGTGAGGGGGAGGGGGAGGGGGAAGGGGAGGGGAAGGGAGGGACGGGAGGTTGGAACAAGAGTGGCAAGGGAGAATGCACAGGGTGAGAATGCACAGGGTGAGAATGCACAGGGTGAGAATGCACAGGGTGAGAATGCACAGGGTGAGAATGCACAGGGTGAGAATGCACAGGGTGAGAATGCACAGGGTGAGAGAAGTCCAAATGAATTTTGAGGCGCCTCAAAAGCATGCACAGGGTGGGTGAGAGAAGTCCAAATGCGATCTCGTGCAGCGCTGCCAGCACCATCGGCAGCAACGGCTTTCGCAAGCCCGGGGAGAGGAGACGAGGGGGGAAAGGTGGCGAGCGGGATGGGGGAGGAGAATGCTACATTATGATATTGCAGAATCTCGTGCAGCCTCGAGAGTGCTGTGGGGTGGTGTATCCACCGCACACCACGCCAACCCACCCCGCCGCACCCCATCCCACACCACACCACACACACCCCAATCCACCCCACCCACTTGCATGGTGACGGGCGCGTGCACGTGGAAGACAGTATGGTGTAAGTCGGTGTAGGCCTTGGAGCGCACGACTGCTTTTGAGGCGCTCCAACAACACCACGCCACACCGTACACTCTTGCACCCTACCCCACCCCCACCACTCTGCACCTCACCGACCTGCATGGTGATGGGCGCGTGCACGTGTAAGTCGGTGTACGCGTTGGAGCGCGTGCTCGTGCCCAGCAGATTCTCCCTCTTTGCTACACCCCATGCACCCCACTCCACCACACAACACCCCACCCCACTCCACCACGCCCCACCACACCCCACGGACCACACTCAACCGCACTGCACTCACCTGCATGGTAACGGGCGCGTGCACGTGGAAGACGGTGTGGTGGAAGTCGGTGTAGGCGTTGGAGCGCGCGCCCGTGCCCAGCAGCTTCTCTCTCTTGCGCGACCCCAGGAAGGTGACGTGCTCGATCAGGTGCGCCAGGCCCTGCTCGTCCTCCCTCTCGTCCACCGACCCCACGTGCATCTCCAAATGCGCCTCGAACCTGGCGCGCAGCATGAGCGGAAAAGGGGGCGGGAATGACGGAGGGGGGAAGGGATGATGATACCCACCGACCCCACGCACATCTCCGATTGGACCCCCAAACCTGGACGGCGGAGGGCAAGGCGTGGATAAGGAATGGTGTAGGGAGGGCAGTGGGGTGGGGGCCATGGCATGGCATGGCATGGCATGGCATGAGCATGGAAGGTACATGGAAGGCGCGCGCTGAGCCTCAAACACGGCGGGCGTCGAGCCTGCCGGGCGGAATGCGGGGGAGGACGTACTTGCGATGGAGGACGACGGAGAACGTTAATGGATACGACCAACGGCCGGTCCTTGTCCAAACCACCCACCTGGCGGCGGCTTGTTACGAATCACGTACCTGTTGGGCGGCAGCTTGTCCGACCCACCCACCTGTTGGGCGGCAGCTTGTTCGAATCACTCACCTGTTGGGCGGCAGTTTGTTGGGCAGGATGGCGTATCGCAGCCCGTTCTCCAGCACGCCGCGGTGCACCTTCCGATGGCTTTGAAAGTCTGAGCACAAGTTTAAATTTCGCGCGGCTCTGTTCTGCGACGTCTCAACACTGACCACGTACCTGTTGGGCGGCAGTTTGTTGGGCAGGATGACGTATCGCAGCCCGTTATCGAGCATGCCGCGGTGCACCTTCGGGTGGCTCGGCAGCCGCTCGTTCAGCAGCGCTTCCACCTCCGCGCGCTCCGCGTCCGACATCGTCATCCGCTCCGCCTCCGCCTCCCTCTCCGCCGCTTCCCCCATTTCCCCCTCCTCGCTGGCGTCGTCACTTAGGTATTGTCCCTTCTTCCCCTCCTCCTCCTCCTTCATTCGCCCTATAATCTCCACGAGGTTCCCCAGTGCCGGAAGGATATCTGCCGGGATCGGCGGCGACGCGGTCGGCGCGGCTTGCGGCTCGGTGGGGCCCTGCGACGCTTGCGACTGCGACCGCGGCGACACGGCCAGGCGGCAACGGCGGGAGAACCGCGCGCCAGCTGCGGAGGGGCCATCACGACTGCGGGGAAAATCGGAATCGGCGCGGGGAAGCGCGCGCGCGACGGGCGTTCGCAAGGTGCGGCCGAAAAAATCGGAGGTCACAACAGCTCCGCGCTGACGCTGTCGCTGTTGCAGAACACGGGCTCTTTGTCCGCGGTGATTATATTGAAGGGCGGAAGCGGACGAGGAGGTTAGCCTGGTGCTGCTGCTGCTGCAGCGGCACCCGGCAGGGGCGTGACAAAGCGTGGAGTGCGCGACGCCTGCTGAGGGACGAGACGCTCGAGGGGGCCTCGACCGCAGGGTATGCCTGGCTTGGCCCTGCCTGCTCACGCACAGATTCGAGACGTGCAAAAGGGCACACAGCAGTACCAAAAAAGGGGAAAACAAAATAAAAGGGTGAAGATAGTGGTAGAATTTTGAGAGGAAGTCTGGAGAGAACGTACTACGAGGAGAAGCTGGAGCAAAGGAGAAGACAGAAGGTGGATTAAGGAAGGGCAACTTAACGAGTAGTAGTCTTTTGCGGTGAGAAACGGACCTCACACGGCTGACATACCTTTGAAACACCAAAAAAAAAAAAAAAAAAAAAAAAAAAAAAGGGAATCTAAATTCCGAATCTAAACCCCGAATCTAAATTCATCTACGACGAGATCCCAGTCGCAGCTGACGCATTACCATTGCTGTGCGACGCCTAGTCGTCTGACTGCCGTAGCCTTCGCGAGACTATTGGAGACATCGTAAACGGCGGAATACGGCCTGAACTTGGCGGAATTGGGTTGGCCTCGCTCGCGGCTGGCGATCAGAGACACGCCCTTACGCTGCACGCATCCCGTTGGCACGCCTCCTACCTGGGTTACGGAAACGGCTAAGGACATCGCGGGAAATCACTATCTAGATAGCCTGCCAGAATGCGCAACTCGAAGCTGATCAGTGCAGGCGCTCCACGCTTTCACACCCCCCTCTTCGCCGAACACGGTTCCTAAGAGTGCTCTAGCTGTCGTGTCCAACTGCGTCAGTTTGAGTGAACTAGGGTTTGTTGCTGCTCTGGGAGAGTTTTTGCTCTAGAAACGTGTTTCAGCCAATTGTTTTGTAGCCGTAGTTTCGCTCTCTATTCCAGGCGAACTAGAGAAGGCGGTGGGGGAGGTGAAGCAAGAGGATAGGGATTGGATGGTGCACTTCACTGCAGGATGCAGGCAGTGAACTTTAGGCGACGAACTCCAAATCGAAAAACAAATCTTCCCCCTGCCATTGGTGCGGAACGGGGCGGAGCAGATCTATCACGAATCCCGTTAGGTACTGTGTACAAGGCTTTCTCAGGCGTATTCTTTCTTCTGTGTCAGACCTCAAATCGGAAGACTCGAAGTTACTCATCCATTATTTCCACTGGCAAATCAGGTTTCCGCTGACCCCAAGTTGGAACTATTTGACCCTAAGTCAGACTTCAACATGTTCTTTACGACTCTCGAATGAGCATGGATCGATCGTATACTAACTGACACAGTAATCAGACCGACATCAACGGTCGAGTTCTGCTGCCGCGTGTCAAATCCAACCAAAACCGAAAAGGGCGGGCTCTGTTGCCCTGACAGAATTGCCGGGGCATTTCACTACGGAACTGACACAAGTTTGAATCGAGGTTCGCTTGCGGAGCGACAGGAGTTGTCGAGTGGACTAAGGGCGGGGGCAGCGCGTTCATTTTCGCCACTTTTCCAAAATTTGGACGCCCGTCGAATCTGGAAGATACTCTAGCATTTTTGTACCGCGCTTAGTTTGTGTCCCAGGTGGGACACGCGCGTCCAAAATTGCGCACAGGTCTTGCCACACTTTTGCCTAACCGCCCACCCAATGAGGTAACCCTGTGCGACAGAGTTCTGGTTGTGTTTGTGAACCCCTGAATTTGCGAGGGCCGTACGCGCTTGACGAAGTCGTGACGCGGTTTCGCTGACCTGCACACAAGCATTCTCGAATGATGCGCGGGTTGTTCGCGGCCGTCGTGAGTACGTGTTTTGTTCGGTTGACGGCACGGAAAACAGCCACCGTTCATCCACTGTATGTTCTGTCGTGTCCACATGTTACCCTAAATCAGGGTTACAAACCGCTGAATCTGGTAACTGTTTCGGGCTAAGCCAGGAAAATGAACGCGCTGCCCCCGCCCTAAGAGCGTGTTACGTACCCCTTATTTTGGGGCCCGGTCGCGGTTGCCTCAAACATGCCGGTTGGGTTGAACGTAGGGTTACCGGATAACCCTACGCTCTACAGTGTACAGTAATGTACGTGCGTACCATACCCGTCTGGCAGCTGGTCGAGGCAACCACGTAGTCGGGCAACCGACTGGTCTCGACCAGGTACAACCGTATTCAGGCAACCAGGGTTGAACGTACCTAACCGCCGCGCAAACAGAGGGTGCACGAAAACATTGCGGGCAGGTTGCACTAGCGGGAATTGATGTGACTGGTGCAATCAAAATTTCATCAAATTTTGGCCACTAAGATTGACACAGTGACTGTTGGGTCTACCCGAAATACTGTTGGCACGGTTGGGTCCCAAAAGCAGGCGAGTGGTACATTTGCAGGTTGCCTGCTAGGTACCCAACCGGCCAAGTTGACAGCCCCGGTTGACCTGACCAGTCAGGTTGAGTCGACTTTTGGAGGCAACCGGGGCCTAACACCAAAATAAGGGGTACGTAACACGCTCTAATGAGAGAAGATGATCACCGGGATTTACTCCAGGTCAACGTGGCAAGAGAAGACGTGACGTGGGTTTTTCTGTTGACGCCATGTGGCAGTGCTGCTGCTCGAAGTTCATGAATGAAACGGCCAACTTCATTGATACTCAAATTATGCCAGGAGCGTTTTGCAATCGTACTCAACCGACAAATTCTCGGTAGAGTATCTAGGTATGCTGTTTTATCATGTTATAAGTACAACACCACCAGCTACTTTCCAGCTGTTTGTGGAAGTACTGTATATGGACGGTGCCTAATAAAGAACACGTAAAGTCACTACGATTCAAAAAACTACTTCTTAGTACACCACCCGTTACAGTAACGCATCTGCCTACAATAGGCTGCGTCCTCCATTTCACGGGGACGGGAGCCAATCCCCGTTGTCCATGCTAAGTCACGCAGATGCCGCACCGCACATGTATTCGTCCTCTACAGCCAAGTCTGCCTGCCTGCCTGCTTCTGGGAAACACTGGTGCCTTGGTGCACTATCCATTCTACCTGTGGCACCGTAGTTTCTCGACAGCTCTCTTCCCTGATCTGAGCTCGAGTCGGGACTCCAGGAGTCGAGACGTACGCTCGGGCTGCTGTGCTTGCCTGCCAGCATGTTTCGGCTGCTGTGCTGAAAGCGATCGATAATTTAGCCCCATTCCGCACTCTTCCGCAAGTATCCCACCCCAAGTTTGCGTCCACTCGCGAAATTACCACCACGTTTTCTTCTCGATGAATTTCGGCACAGGGACACCAGCACTTGCACGGGCACTTATCGTCGCGCCGTCGCATCGCTTCAGACCGTACCCTACGCTCGTAACCAATCGCTCGTGGCTTCGCTGATCGCTGATCGCTGATCGCTCATCGCGGCCCCTCTGCACCGATCTCCACTCCTAGCCAACACCGCATGGCCCCTCCCCTTCCCGCTGCTGGCTCTCCCCTCCATCACTGCCGCGCGGCCACCATTCTCGCACCAGCACTACCAGTAGCACTAAATGCGGCACCTGTCGTCTCATCGGTCCCACGCATCCTACTCGTCTCCCTCATCTCCCTCGTACCATACGCGCTACACGCGCCACGCGTCCAGAGAGCATCCGTACTACTCCTCGTCATTCTACCGGTGCTATTTCTCGGCTGTCTCCCCGCTGTCGCCTCTAGTCGTAGCTCGATTAGATCTCCCCACGAAGCACAACCAGCAGCAGCAGCAGCGCAGCCGGAGCGCGGCCGCCGCCTTGCGGCGGACGAGCCGCAGGTGTTCGCAACATCTGTCGGCCAAGTGAGTCTTCTCGCGCATTCGAGCGACGATTCCCGCAATCGAGGTGTTGTCACGAGTGGGGAGACCAATCCTGTCAGCGAAGGTGTTGCGAACGTCGCGAATGTCGCGAGGGTCGCGTCTAACGTTCAAGCATCTGCTGTCGCCGGAACGACAGCGTGCGACGAGACGAAAGGGCGATGGACCGCCGATCCGACGCTGCCTCTGTACGACGCGAGATCGTGCCCGTTCATCCCAAAAAAGTTCAACTGCGCTTCAAACGGACGGCCTGATAACGCGTACGAAAAATGGCGGTGGGAGGTCGACGGAAACGGGTGCACCGCACCACACCCTACCAGATCTACGCTCTGCGAGCTCCTAAAACACAAGCGGGTTGTTTATATCGGGGATTCGATCATGGAGAACATGTTTTCGTCCATGGCGTGCATGGCGCATGCACTCCTGGGAGCGCCGGACGTGACGCCGGGGAAGGTGGAGCGATCGTATTCACTGCACTGGTCGCACTGCAACGTCACGCTCACCCTCATCTGGTGTGTGCCTCGTTTGGTGGGTGTATGCTAGTTGTCTGCATTGCTTGGCGCGCTGTGGTGAACAGCTTTTCGAGCTGCCACGCACCTTGCCCCAAGTGACGCTGGGGAAGGTGGAGAGATCGTACTCGCTGCACTGGTCGCGATGCAACATCACTCTCACCCTCATCCGGTGCGTGTCCACTCCGGTGGGAGCCTCATCTGGCTAGGTTAGGTTAGTTATAAAGGACAGACATGCGCTGGGGGGGCTCTATCTGCTGGGTCCCTCATCTGGTGGTGACGGGCTGACCGGCTGTGGAACTATGTCTGCATTGCTTGGCGCACTATGGTGACATTGTGACAATCCGACTAGCTGCTACGTGCTTGCACCGTGCCGCTTCACTTGCCCTGTGCCAAGTCAATCGCATCGCATCTCTCTTTTCGTCCTACTCCTGATGTTGATGCCATGGCGTGCCATGGCCTGAAATGGCTTTTCATGTTGCCACCGCATGTCATGGCCTGCTGTGGAATGGTAGGAGGCATGTGATGGCATGTTGTGGCATGTGATGGCATGTTTGTGGCATGTGCTGGCATGTTTGTGGCATGTGCTGGCATGTTTGTGGCATGTGCTGGCATGTTTGTGGCATGTGATGGCATGTTGTGGCATGTGCTGGCATGTTTGTGGCATGTGATGGCATGTTTGTGGCATGTGCTGGCATGTTTGTGGCATGTGCCGGCATATTTGTGGCATATGCTGGCATGTTTGTGGCATGTGATGACATGTTTGTGGCATGTGATGGCCTGTTTGTGGCATGTGATGGCATGTTTGTGGCATGTGATGGCATGTTTGTGGCATGTGATGGCATGTTTGTGGCATGTGATGGCATGTCATGGCCTGCTGTAGAATGGCATGTGATGGCGTGTTGCGGCATGATGGCATGGTAGGAGTGTGTTCATGGTGGAGACAGCATGGGTGGACCCCAATGATCTGTTCAAAGGGGGGCAAGTGGATGTGAGCACAGCCGACACCACATGGACAGATGTCCTGCCCTCTTATGACATCATCGTCTTCAACACCGGTTAGTGGCGTGAGTTTCCTATGACTTGACCTGCACGAGTGACCTGCACGAGTCAAGCTTCCTCCCTCTCTGCCTCCTGGATCTTCTGCCATCCAACCCCATTTGCCTCCCCATTCCTTTCCCCATTTCCCCCCTTCTTCCCCATTTCCCACACCCATCCCCATTCCTCTCCTTATTGCCCTATTCCCACTCCACTCCCCATTGCCTCATCCCATTCCCAGTGCCTCATCCCATTTCTTTTGCCACTTCCCCATCCATCCCCATGCCCCCTCCTCCACACTCTCCCCAACTCAGTCTTCTTTCTTTGCATCTTGCCCTCCTGATCCGGTTCCCATAACCACTTTTGGCCTCCCTTCCCCTCTCCCTTCCCCTCTCCCTTCCCCTCTCCCTTCCCCTCTCCCTTCCCCTCTCCACTCCCCTCGCCTTCCCTCCCCTCCCTTCCCATCCCATCCCCTCCTCCTGCCATATCCGTTCGTCAGGCAACTGGTGGAAGCCAAGGCAGCTAGAGCGATACGGCCTCACACTCAACCCGCCCTTCCACCGCACCAGCATTGTCGATGCCTACCCCCATGCCCTCGCAACCATTCTCACCGCTCTGCACCGCAGACGGCGCTTCACCTCCCGCGCGTTTCTAGTTACCAGCGTGTCGTTTCAGTTCAACGCGAGCTGTCCCGCCACGCTGCCCATTGCTGACGTGGCGACGGCTCGCACAACGATGGCGGCGCTGACCCGGCGGAAGAACGAGGTTTTGAAAGCGGTGCTGCGGAGGGTCGTGGAGGAGGAGAAGAGGGAGGGGGAGGAGAGGGAGAGGGAAGATGGGGGAAGAGAAGGGCAGCAGGGGCAGCAGGGGCAGCAGGGGCAGCAGGGGCAGCAGGGGCAGCAGGGGCAGCAGGCATGGTCAGCACAAGTAAAAGGCAGGGCAGGTGTGCAGGGCAGCAGCATTCGCCTGTTGGACGTCCACGACTTGTCTCTCTTCCGCCACGATGCGCGGCCAGCAGCGTTCCACGGCAGGCAGAGCAGCCTGCATGACTGCGCTCACTACTGCGTGCCCGGCGTGCCTGACACGTGGAACGAGCTGCTGCTGGGAATGATGGTGGACGAGTGAGTGATATCCGGCTGTTGGTGGGTACAATACAAGCCTACATGTGTTTGGACTCCGGTGTTTCTTCAAGCTCGTCCAGCCTGCATGACTGCTGCCCGGTGTGCCCAACACATGGAACGAGCTGCTGCAGGGGATGATGGTGGGCGAGTGATAACCGGCTGGTTGCTAGTGGGTACAAGCCTGTAGGTCGGGAGTTGATTCAGCCTCATCCAGCCTGCATTACTCTGCACAGTACATGATTGCGTGCCCGGTGTGCCCGACACATGGAACGAGTTGCTGCTTCGTGCCTGGAGTGTCGTAAACCCTGCTGGTTGCTGTCACAAGAGAGCATGTATTACAAGCTCATCTGGCCTGCAGCCTGCCGGTTAATGCGCGCACTACTGTGTGCCCGATATGACTGACACATGGAACGAGCTACTACTGCTGGGGGTGAGAGCAGGCTAGCAGCAGTGCCCCTACGGCCCATGTCATTGTGAGAAAGGAAAGGAAAATGGTTTGATTACCGTATGTCAGTCCAAAGTTGGTGGTGAGCTACCGTCATCGCCCGGATATAAGACATATATGTCTTATCTCGTACACGGGCAAAAATGCTTGGGTTATCTTGTATTTGGGACGGTTTAGGGTGTCTTATAAGTCTTATAAATGGACAAAGAACCGTTTAGAAGATACCCCCTCGTTATACAATTGCCCCTAACCCCTACACTTGCCTGACCAGTACACAGAAATAGGTGTCTTATAATAAGGCTAGCCTGTTTATAAGAGACACCCGTATAATAGACAACCCCTGTCTACTATTCAACACTGTCTTATATCCGGGCGATGACGGTATTCTTTCATTTTGGCTCAGTTCAGCCCAACGTTTTTCAGCCCTGTTAATTCACTCCGCCTGTTCCTGTACAAACTGCCACTTGTATGGCTATCATTATTCGCACTCAACCCCACCCCTAATGTAGGCGTATACAGGAAGCAACCATCATATGGTATGGTAGCCATGATGATTCAGGGTACACTACAATGCAGGAAAAAACATGTTGGTGCATGAGTTTTCACCAACAAACTTGGCCTCACTCAACCTCACTCCAGGGCCAGGCTGTGTGCAGGTGGTTTAAATGTTTGTAGGGTGGTTAAACAGATGAACACAGTTTTTAAACTCCAAGAGGCAAAACACTGTACAGTCATTCCTCTTCTCAACGAAGGCCCTTCCTTCCTACACCAGCTATACACTTCACCCAAGAGTGGCCTCAGCAAGCTGTCAGACTATCAAACGATCTGCCACGCGCACTCCAGGGAGAATGGAATGCACCGGCAGTCTCCACGGCAGGGCGACGACCGCCTTCAGGCGTGGCAATTTCTTCAAGCTCACCAGGCCCTTTTCAGTCACAGTCGCTTTCACCAGCCCAATGTTTTCCAAGGAAGTCAGCTGCGTGACAAGCTCCATACCAGCATCAGTGCTCAGTGCAGATGGCAGCTCACGCGTTGTCAATTTGCGCGAGGACAAATGCTGGAGCCCATCGGCCTCCACATTGCTCCCACCCAGAAACAGGCTCTTGAGGGAGGCCATCTTTTCCACAGCTTCCATGCCATGAGAGGTGACGCCCCAGCAGCCACTCAGTTGCAAGCACCAAAGGGATTTCAAGCCACTCAGGTGCAGCAGCAGCCCATCGTCCTTCACATTCGTCTCCCACATGTACAGCACCTCAAGCCCAGTCAGCCTCCCCACATGCACCATGCCAGCAGACGTCACCGACTTACAGGCAGCAATGTACAAGGACTTGAGGCGAGAAAGGCTCGTCAGGTGCCGCAGTCCCGTGTCTGTCACCCTGGTGTAGCTCACATCAAGATGCGCTAGCCACCTCACTGCCCCAATCTCCACCAAGGAACTGTCGTCAACAACCGTCCGACAGACATCCAGACTCTCCAGTAGAGGCAGCCTGAAGAGGAAATTGACTGCTGCTGCGTTGAAGCCAGAAGACTGACGCAGTTGGAGGCTCTTGAGGTGAGCCATGGTGGAAGCGTGGCCTAGGATGGCGTCTGAGAGGCAGGTGAGGTTCCCCAGATCCAGGTTGGTCTCTTGGGATGCTAACTTGATTCTCTGGAGGGCATGGTGGCATGGAAAGAGAGCAAGGAAGGGAGGAGATGATAAATAGTCGACGAGGGCGGATGATATGACCAAGCAGTCTTGAGAATTGGCTTGAGAGTTCTGATGCATAAAAGAGGTCTGTTGTTCTCATTCTCACCTGCCACATCGTCCTGCTATTCCCCATGCTCTGCTGGAACCTCTGCTCCACATTCAACCTCAGGTCCTCCATCTGCTGCCGTCCCTGCACTGCTGCTCCCAACTCCTTTTTCACTGCTTCAACCTCCTCACGAGCACCAACGAGTTCCCGCCTCAGCTCCTCCGCCTCATTTCTCTCCTCCTCCAACTCCCTCTTACACTCGGCCATTTCCTCTTCCACTGCTGCCAATCCCCTCTTACACTCGGTCAATTCCGTCTTCACTGCTCCTAACTCCCCCTTGCACTCGGTCAATTCTTCTTTCACTGCTGCCAACTCCCCCTCCGTTGATGCGGAAACCCCTCTCATAATTCCAAACAGCCCTCTCGCTGCTTCAGTTAACTCATTTGATTCTTTTTCCCCAGCCATGGTGCCAATTCACCCTCCGCTCGTGATGAAAGTCACACTCCAGTTGCTCGTGATAGAGTTCAATCCACCCTTTCGTATCTGGTGCCTGGCGAAAGGGGATGAAACAACAAGAAAAACACAGGCAAATTGATTTGATAAGGCCAAAATACCCAAGGAAGAAAACCTTCAAGGGACGAACCTGCAAGCAAGGACTAGAACCAAGGGGACGTGACGATGAGGGAAAGAATGAAGAGACAGTAAAAAAAGAGATTCATGATGGAAATAGGCAAAAAGTATAAAGGTAGAAACTAGACGAAACGGAAAGCAAGCATGTGCAAAGGGGCAAGGTGTAGGGTGCGCCGGGTACCAAGGCCAATCGCGGCGAGTTGACAAGATAAGAAGCAGGAAGGGGAGACAATGGACGGCAAGGCGTCTTGAGTCACCCAGGTGGCAACATGTCAGGCTGCCGAATGGCTGGTGCATGTCCAAGTATCATCATACATGGTACATGGTGAGGGCTCGCCATTGATAGGTGAATATGCACTGTTGATATTTCAAGAATAGGCTGGCTCGGATGTGCAGCTCAAAATGTTGAAACACAAAGAGCGAGACATTAGGCGGGAAATTCACTGGATTGCTCACACTACCTTCGGTACAATTCGGCTGTGGCAAAGGAAGTGAACCTCAGGGTGACTTCATCATAATAGTACCTGAAAACCAAATCGCAACGTCTTCTGAGAAAAAAATTGGAGGAACGGAGAAACAAAGAGATGAGAACACGTCGTGGAAGTTGACGGAGCAAATGCCTGACGAAATTACCTTACCTGTTTCGACAATCATATCCAATCAAATTCCTTAAATTGATTTTTTCCTACTTTTAAAACCCGATGGGAGATGAGAATGAAAGAGCGGCAAGACGTCCCGAAGGCATGTGAGGGAAGCCTAGTGAAGATAGTAAAGTGGGTGTGCGCGCAGGGTATTTGAGCTGCTAGACTGTGATGTCGACGCGGTCGAACGAGGGTCGATGGGCGATCACCCAGACGTCGCGATTCAAGGCAGTGAGAACCCTTGATTCCCCAGTGGCCAACGAGGTGAGCTGCCGCCATGCTAGTCAAAAGGCGTGACTTGGTCCTCAAACGACGGACAGGCGTGAGATAGGCGTGAGTTTGGCGTGAGATAGGCGTATTTAGGCGTAACATAGGCGTAACTTGGTCCTAAGACAGCAGACAGGCGTGAGATAGGCGTAATAAAGGCGTGAGATAGGCGTAATGCAGGCGTGACATGGGAGGCGTGACAGAAGGCGTGACATGATATGAGCTCGTCTCCTCACTGACGGGTGCCTTGGTGTGAGATGCGGTGCGCCAAGGTGCGTGATCTGATTCTAGCATAGCGTATCACAAACTGTACACAAGTGTTGACTGCATAACTGGTACACATATTACGGAATTGCTGAAATATGGTGGATACAATACTGCTGTAAAAAAAAAATGTGCCTGGGAGCTCTTAGTCATAATGTGGACTACACTAATTCAATATTCTTGGAAAATATTACTGCGAAAGAGATGCTGGTGTACTATGAATAACACCATCATGGAGCAACGATAAACATTTATTTTGAAGTACAAAACATGGGTTGGTATCTGGAGAAAGAGCGACAGAAGGGGCCACTGAAGTTGGCCGATTTGAGTGGCACATGGTCCGACACTAAAGGGCTCAGAACGTGCACCTGCTAGTCTCTGAGGCGCCTCAGAACGAGCTACAGCAAGGGGCCACTGGAGAGGTACTTGGCCGATTTGAGCGGTGCCTGGTCCGACTCGATTAATGGGCTCTGATTCTCCACCTGCTCCCCCTCCTGTCCCAGCTCCACTTCCTCCATTCGCTCCCCCTCTTGCTCCTGCACACCATTCTCCCCAGAAGCACCGCCACCCTTCTCCTTGCCCTTGCTGCTGCTGCTGCCGGGCCTGCTCCCAGTGCCACGTGGCCAGCACTGGTTGGCCCAGGCAGCAGGCTTGGACGAGGGAGAGAGGGCCGTTTTGGGGAGGGCGGGGGGTTGGGAGGACGAAGGCGAGGGGAGGGAGGAGGTTCGATTGAGCGGGGTAGGGGAGCGAGGCGAGGCGATGAGAACACGAGGAGACTTGATTGCACCCGAACCTAAACCAGCAGCAGCACTCCCTTCTGGCTTGTGGGTGCCGCGTGGGGAGGTGAAGCTTCCAGAACCCGCACCATCAACCCCATTGCCGGGACTGCGAGGGGAGATGCGAGGAGAGGCACGGTTGGAAGCAGACACGTTGCTGTTGCTGGCGGCGCTGGGGTGGGAGAAGTCAGCTGAGGCATCCTCGTCCACAGTGGGCAGAGGGAGAGGCGGAGGGATGCCAGATGCGATCAGGGAGTTCCCCAGGTTGGTTGATGCTGCCGCTGAGGAGGAGGCAGTGGAGAGGGGCAGCATCTGGGCGGCGTCCTCGTCTTCTTCTGCGAGTGCCAGCTGGATTTCTTCGAGCTGGCGCACGACTTGCGACATGGTGGGGCGGTTGCGCGCCTGGGAGAGGGGGGGGGGGAAGAGAGGGGAAAAACAGGGAAGGCGGGGGGGAAGACAAGCGCGGGGAGAGTGGAATGGGGAAGGTGCAAGTTTCGAGAAAAAAAAAAAAAAAAAAAAAAAAAAAAAAAAAAAAGACAGAACCAGGAGACTAGAGTGTGCAACAAAATGCTTTCAACGCAAGGCAGGCTGGACATTCTCCCTTTGCGACGCGTCTCGTTATCAGCCGAGTTGAATCCCCTCATCAGCCCACCTGCATCTCAAGGCATGCGAGGGCGAGCTCCCCCACAGCCTGCATGGACTGCAGCACTGTCTCTGACGCCTCCTGCAGCTCCCTCGCTGCCACCACGTCCACCCGCCCCGCCTCTATGCGCGGCGATGCCTGGGAGGGGAGGGGAGGGATGGGTCGGCATGAGTGAATCACCTTCACACGTCCCTCGCTGCCACCACGTCCACCCGCCCCGCCTCTATGCGCGGCGATGCCTGGGAGGGGAGGGGAGGGATGGGTCGGCATGAGTGAATCACCTTCACAAGTCCCTCGCTGCCACCACGTCCACCCGCCCCGCCTCTATGCGCGGCGATGCCTGGGAGGGGAGGGGAGGGATGGGTCGGCATGAGTGAATCACCTTCACAAGTCCCTCGCTGCCACCACGTCCACCCGCCCCGCCTCTATGCGCGGCGATGCCTGGGAGGGGAGGGGAGGGATGGGTCGGCATGAGTGAATCACCTTCACAAGTCCCTCGCTGCCACCATGTCCACCCGCCCCGCCTCTATGCGCGGCGATGCCTGGGAAGGGAGGGGAGGGATGGGTCGGCATGAGTGAATCACCTTCACACGTCCCTCGCTGCCACCACGTCCACCCGCCCCGCCTCTATGCGCGGCGATGCCTGGGAGGGGAGGGGAGGGATGGGTCGGCATGAGTGAATCACCTTCACAAGTCCCTCGCTGCCACCACGTCCACCCGCCCCGCCTCTATGCGCGGCGATGCCTGGGAGGGGAGGGGAGGGATGGGTCGGCATGAGTGAATCACCTTCACAAGTCCCTCGCTGCCACCACGTCCACCCGCCCCGCCTCTATGCGCGGCGATGCCTGGGAGGGGAGGGGAGGGATGGGTCGGCATGAGTGAATCACCTTCACAAGTCCCTCGCTGCCACCATGTCCACCCGCCCCGCCTCTATGCGCGGCGATGCCTGGGAAGGGAGGGGAGGGATGGGTCGGCATGAGTGAATCACCTTCACACGTCCCTCGCTGCCACCACGTCCACCCGCCCCGCCTCTATGCGCGGCGATGCCTGGGAGGGGAGGGGAGGGATGGGTCGGCATGAGTGAATCACCTTCACAAGTCCCTCGCTGCCACCACGTCCACCCGCCCCGCCTCTATGCGCGGCGATGCCTGGGGGCGAGGAGGGGGAGAAGCGGGTTAGGAGAAGAGAGGCAATGCGGTGCACAAATCAGGTTACAGAGAGAGAGTGTTTTTGGGGTTAACAAAAACACCAATCCTGATTCCGACGGAAGCCTCCTGCTGTCAGCGCATCCTCCTGTGGCCTCCCTACCTTGCAGGGTGGGGAAGCCCTGGAGGCACGGTGGTGCATTGCATGGTGGACGAATGACGGATGGTCTTGGATTGAATACGGAGTTGCCCGTGATGTGATGCCTGGTGGGGAAGGAGGAAGCGTGAACCAGGAGGTTCGAGGGCCCTGGGTAAACAAGCCGTGCGTTACTCACCCATTCAACGAGGTTCATGAGCCTATCCCCATCGTCATCCTCATCATCATCATCGTCACTATCCATGTCATGCACCTGCCTGCCCTCCACCCCTCCTCCTCCTCCACCACCTTCGCCACCAGCAGCAGCAGCACCACCATCGGCGCCAGCAGCACTATCAGCACCAACACCGCCTTCGCCAGCAGCAGCACTGCCATCACCACCAGCAGCACCACTACCATCACCAACAGCAGCACCACTACCATCACCAACAGCAGCACCACTACCATCACCAACAGCAGCACCACTGCTATCACCAGCAGCGCCAGCAGCAGCAGCAGCAGCAGCAGCAGCAGCAGCAGCAGCAGCAGGGGGAGCACGGGGCTCCATCCAGATGGGGACCTTGCCGGAGATGAGCTCCAGCAGGATAACTCCGAAGCTGTACACGTCGCTCTTCTCCGTCAGCTGCTGCTTCGTGTAGTAGTTCGGGTCCAGGTAGCCTGATAGACGGGGAGAAGGGAAGGGAGGCAAAGGAGGATGTTGCAAAAGAAACAGATGATGGAGCAAGAACAAATTATAATATAAAAAAAAAAAAAATCCCCCAGTTGATGCTTCGTGTGTAGGATCGGGTCGGGAAAGTGTTGTCACGTTTTTCTTCCTCCTGGGAGAGAGCAGCATTTTTCACAATTGCTTGACACATGCCATCGCCCTCATGCGATCAGCGCCATCGTCCTCTTCTAGGCTCCCTCACCTATGGAGCTGTGGACCACGTTGCATTGCAACCATGGTGCCGTTGATGAACATTGACTTGAGCTGACCCACGCATGGTGTCCTTCATGTTCATTCACTCATGCATGATGCGTCTCATGTTGACTCCTGTTGACTGGCGTTGACTCACCCATAGTGCCCTTGACGTTGGTGCTGATGAGGTCCAGGTGTGTGCCGCTGACAGCCTGCTGCGCCAGGCGGGACAGCCCAAAGTCCGCCACCTTGGCGTTCATCTGATAGTCCAGCAGAATGTTGGTCGTCTTGATGTCGCTGGGGAGGAGGGAAAGAGTGAGGGACGGTGGAGGAGGTGGGTGGGAGTTCGAGGTGCGAGGAGGAAGGGACACGGAAATGGACCCACAAAAATCGGAACTGTGACGTGGAAGGCAACAAGAGGCTTAATCAGCAAACGCCAAGTGGCAGCACGAGCGTTCAGGGAGGACCAACCGGTGGATGACAGGTGGCAGGGCGCCGCGGTGCAGGTACTCGATTCCTCTGGCTGCTCCCAAGGCCACTCTGAGACGAAGGTTCCATGTCATTTCCCGAGCCTTGTCAGCATCTGCAAGGGACAGCGGGGGAGAACAGCGAGTGGAAGGTAGAGGTTCACATTCACTTGCAGGTTCGCATTCACTTGCAGGTTCGCAAGTGCACCATGCAGTGCACGCCTGAGGGTCCCAATGGTCACGTATTCGTAGACGAGCATGAGGTGCCGGTCGTCCTCCTTGCCATGTCACTCATTCGCCATGCCATACATCCATCCATCCCCCTCGCACTCACCATGCACCGCATGCCTGAGCGTCCCATTGGGCACGTATTCATAGACGAGCATGAGGCGCTGGTCGTCGTCCTCCTCACAGAAGCTGATGAGCGACACGAGGTGGCGACAGTGGTGCTACAGGCACACATCCTAGCACTCACCACGCATTCACACTCACCATGCAGCGCATGCCTGAGCGTCCCGTTGGGCACGTATTCGTAAACCAGCATGAGGCGCTGGTCGTCCTCCTCACAGAAGCCGATAAGCGACACGAGGTGGCGGTGGTGCAGGCGGGTGAGCAGCTCGACCTCGGTGACAAACTCCTTCTCGCCCTGGTCCGACCCCACGTCCAGCCGCTTCACCGCCACCATGTGCCCGCTCTCCAGCTGCCCGCGGAACACCTATTGTTGGGAATGGAAGGGGAGGACGAGTAAGAGAGGAGCGGGAGAGCGAGACGGGAGAGGGAGCCAGCGCGTGAAGGAGGAGACGAAAGGAGGAGAGGCGGAAGAGCAAGGAGGCAGCTCCACCTCGGTCACCAACTGCTTGGCGCACAAGTTTTGAGCCAGCTCAAAACTCGACTTCTTTGCACACCTTCTTATCGGCACACTATGCCATCCTCCGTCTGGCCGCTGCAGCACAGCTGGCGCCACCACAACGAAAAGGATTGGGAAAAGTGCTGACCTGTCCGAACCCTCCCTTGCCAATGACATTGGCGGGTGCAAAGTCGTTAGTTGCCTCCCGCATCTCCTCCCACGTGAAGCAGTGCGCTCCAAACGCGGATATCGCCATGCTCCCTGCGCCGCCGCCAACCCCACTGCCCCCCCCGCTGCTGCCGTTCATCCCGCCGCCAAAGCTGCTGCCCATGTACGACACCGAGCCTGTGGCGTTGGCTCGGCGGTTGAAGCGGCTGCGGGGTCGGGCGCCGAGGAGCTTCTCCTTTTCTGCTTGAGCCGCTGCTGCTGCTGCTGCTCTGCGCTCTTTGAGCCATCTCAAGCCTAGCAGCACTGCCAGGGCGCCAGCCAACACCATCACTGCTGACACCACTCCCAACAGGATACCCTGGGGAGGGAGGGGGCAGACAGAGAACAGACGGCGGGTGGAGGGAGATGAGGTTGAAAGGTAAGACAGGAAAGGAGTGGGTGGGGTGGGGACGGTGGGTAAAGGGAGAAGGGAGAAAGGCTGGCTTTTTTTATTGTACATTTGGATCTATCTTATCTTGTTCAGCGAATTCACAGGCAGCCCACTTCCCAAACAGGTTGTGATTGCTTATCGTTTGCATTGCATGGTCATTGAGATATCCAATGCTTCAAATGATAAGCAATCACTCACAAGCGCAAGACGGACCTGACCAAGAACTCTTTAACTTCACTCACTCCAATCACTCGGAAGGAACCACACCTCTTCCAATATCCCGCAACACGTTACACACCTCCCGAAACACCTCATCAACCTTGCACCTCCCAACCCAGCACCGCTCTGCACCGCATAGCATCGCATCATACCCGCCCACAGACTGCACGCCGACAATGGGATCTGCCTGCTGCTGTGCCGCCTGCAGCATGGCCTTGAACGCTGACTCACGCCCCTCCTCCCACTGCAGCACGTGAAACACCCCATCAACCTCGCACCTTTCAACCTGCCTGCACGGCTTTGTACCGCATTGCATTGCATCATACCCGCCAGACTGACTGCACGACCACAGTTTCGTCGGGCTGCTGCTGTGCCGCCTGCACCGTGGCCTTAAATGCCTCCTCGCGCCCCTCCTCCCACTGCAGCACGTGAAACACCTCCACTGAGTTCACAAACGCGTCCCTGGTGAAAGAGAGTGGGTGGGATAAGGGAGGGGGGGAAGGTTTGAGTATCTGCAAAGCCCGCCCCTCACCCTTCTTCCCACTGAAGCACGTGAAGCACCTCCATTGAGTTCACAAACGCGTCCCTGGGTGGGTGGGGAGAGGATGGAGTTGAGAAGGCAGAGGAAAGGTTTGAGTTGATTGCGAATCCCTCATTTCACCGCCTCCTACCACTTCAGCACGTGAAACACCTCCACTGAATCCACAAACGCGTCCCTGGGTGGGTGGGGAGAGAAGTTGGGGAGAGGACAGAGTTGAGGAGGCAGAAGAATGGTTTAAGTTGAGTTGATTGCGAATCCCTCATTTCGCCCCCTCCTGCCACTGCAGCTCGTGAAACACCTTCACCACCGCATTCACAAGCGCATCCCTGGTCAGCGAGTGGGTGGAGTGCAGGGAGGGGGATACGGAGGACGTTAGGGGAGCGGGGAATGTACGGGGGAGAAACGGAAGGAGAGAAGGTTTCATTTCTAAAGCAACAAATGAAACTCCTTCCCAGTTCATAAAAGCGCCCCTAAGAGGGGGCCGGAGAGGTTGGTGGGGAGAGAAATAGAGGGGAGGAGGAGAGGGTGGGCAGATTGAGCTCAATTCGAAGCCCCCCTCACGTCCCCCCAAAACAGGGAATAACAAGCTACAGGACAATAGGGACCTGGTGAAACAGGGACTAGAGTAGTCATTGTTTGTAGCCCTATCCTATGGCACTGACAAAGACTTCAACCGAAACGCATACGCCACTGGGGTCTTTACTAAATGAGACTTATGAGATCTCGCATCGACACGTTTCTTGCTCTACACAAGTAACCCACCTGTATGCTTTTAGCTAAAAGTCCAGGGGGACGGGCGGCAAGGCAGCAAAGGGCGGGCAGCATACATACCATACCATGTGAAGGCAATGTAGTTGGCGTTGGCAATTTCAATGGTGAGGACACCAGAGGCGATGCTGGTGACTGGCAGAGGTGGGAGGGGCCCCAGAGGGGCGGGCAGCAAGGCAGTAAGGAGAGGGCAGCATAGCGTACCATGTGAAGCCAGTGTAGTTGGCATTGGCGATCTCGATTGTGAGGAAACCAGAGGCGTTGCTGGTGACTGGCAGAGGTGGGTGGGGGGGCAAGGGGTTACAGGCAGTGGCAGAGGGGATAGCAGGCAAAGGAAGAGGATCAATTAAGCGATATGTGGTGGCTGAGACGTGACAGGTATAGGGGATGCAGAGAGGGGATGAAGCGGAGGATGGAGGGCAGAGGATGTGTGGAAAGAGAAGGGAGCGGTGGAAGTGCCTTTGATGTAAAGGAAGATAGGGTAGGGAGGGGAGTAAGGTGCGGGAAGGGGCGGTCGAGTGAAGAAGAGAGGGCAGAGATACATCAAGTCAATGTAAACCTCGTTGACCATATAGCTGGAAGCCGATTCTGAGGCATTACTAGAATAGAATGGGGGGGAGGGAGGGGAGAGGGGGAACAGAAGAGCTCACCGTAAAGCTCCTTTGCAACATCGGTGGCGGGTGGAGCGAAGGCATCCAAAGGCTTCACAGTTTATTGGCCGTCCACAAAAACTCTTTTGAGTCGACTAAAAAGTAGAGCTCACCGTGAAGATCCTTGGAAACATAGGTGGCGGGTGGAGCGAAGGTATCAAAGGGCTTCAGAGCCAGTCGGCCGTCAACAAACACTTGCAGGAAACGAGCTCCCTGATGTGATGTGATGTGATGTGATGTGCCATGTGATGCCACGCCACACCACGCCATGCCATGCCATACCATTTCTTACCATACCATACCATGCCACGCCACGCCATGCCATTCCATTCCATGTGGTCCCGTGCAATGCCGCACATCCCATGGCACATGTCACAGCACATGTCACAGCACATGCGATGTCAGCATACGTAGCAGCACGTGGGAACCACACCACAGTAAAGCAGCAATGTCGGTTCAGTGCAGGGCAGCCAGCACAGCACGTGGCGGGTTCACATAGAGGATGGAAGGGCATGGAATGTGAGAGTATGCATGGTGCTGCATGGCATGGAATGTGAGAGTATGCATGGTGCTGCATGGCATGGAATGTGAGAGTATGCATGGTGCTGCATGGCATGGAATGTGAGAGTATGCATGGTGCTGCATGGCATGGAATGTGAGAGTATGCATGGTGCTGCATGGCATGGAATGTGAGAGTATGCATGGTGCTGCATGGCATGGAATGTGAGAGTATGCATGGTGCTGCATGGCATGGAATGTGAGAGTATGCATGGTGCTGCATGGCATGGAATGTGAGAGTATGCATGGTGCTGCATGGCATGGAATGTGAGAGTATGCATGGTGCTGCATGGCATGGAATGTGAGAGTATGCATGGTGCTGCATGGCATGGAATGTGAGAGTATGCATGGTGCTGCATGGCATGGAATGTGAGAGTATGCATGGTGCTGCATGGCATGGAATGTGAGAGTATGCATGGTGCTGCATGGCATGGAATGTGAGAGTATGCATGGTGCTGCATGGCATGGAATGTGAGAGTATGCATGGTGCTGCATGGCATGGAATGTGAGAGTATGCATGGTGCTGCATGGCATGGAATGTGAGAGTATGCATGGTGCTGCATGGCATGGAATGTGAGAGTATGCATGGTGCTGCATGGCATGGAATGTGAGAGTATGCATGGTGCTGCATGGCATGGAATGTGAGAGTATGCATGGTGCTGCATGGCATGGAATGTGAGAGTATGCATGGTGCTGCATGGCATGGAATGTGAGAGTATGCATGGTGCTGCATGGCATGGAATGTGAGAGTATGCATGGTGCTGCATGGCATGGAATGTGAGAGTATGCATGGTGCTGCATGGCATGGAATGTGAGAGTATGCATGGTGCTGCATGGCATGGAATGTGAGAGTATGCATGGTGCTGCATGGCATGGAATGTGAGAGTATGCATGGTGCTGCATGGCATGGAATGTGAGAGTATGCATGGTGCTGCATGGCATGGAATGTGAGAGTATGCATGGTGCTGCATGGCATGGAATGTGAGAGTATGCATGGTGCTGCATGGCATGGAATGTGAGAGTATGCATGGTGCTGCATGGCATGGAATGTGAGAGTATGCATGGTGCTGCATGGCATGGAATGTGAGAGTATGCATGGTGCTGCATGGCATGGAATGTGAGAGTATGCATGGTGCTGCATGGCATGGAATGTGAGAGTATGCATGGTGCTGCATGGCATGGAATGTGAGAGTATGCATGGTGCTGCATGGCATGGAATGTGAGAGTATGCATGGTGCTGCATGGCATGGAATGTGAGAGTATGCATGGTGCTGCATGGCATGGAATGTGAGAGTATGCATGGTGCTGCATGGCATGGAATGTGAGAGTATGCATGGTGCTGCATGGCATGGAATGTGAGAGTATGCATGGTGCTGCATGGCATGGAATGTGAGAGTATGCATGGTGCTGCATGGCATGGAATGTGAGAGTATGCATGGTGCTGCATGGCATGGAATGTGAGAGTATGCATGGTGCTGCATGGCATGGAATGTGAGAGTATGCATGGTGCTGCATGGCATGGAATGTGAGAGTATGCATGGTGCTGCATGGCATGGAATGTGAGAGTATGCATGGTGCTGCATGGCATGGAATGTGAGAGTATGCATGGTGCTGCATGGCATGGAATGTGAGAGTATGCATGGTGCTGCATGGCATGGAATGTGAGAGTATGCATGGTGCTGCATGGCATGGAATGTGAGAGTATGCATGGTGCTGCATGGCATGGAATGTGAGAGTATGCATGGTGCTGCATGGCATGGAATGTGAGAGTATGCATGGTGCTGCATGGCATGGAATGTGAGAGTATGCATGGTGCTGCATGGCATGGAATGTGAGAGTATGCATGGTGCTGCATGGCATGGAATGTGAGAGTATGCATGGTGCTGCATGGCATGGAATGTGAGAGTATGCATGGTGCTGCATGGCATGGAATGTGAGAGTATGCATGGTGCTGCATGGCATGGAATGTGAGAGTATGCATGGTGCTGCATGGCATGGAATGTGAGAGTATGCATGGTGCTGCATGGCATGGAATGTGAGAGTATGCATGGTGCTGCATGGCATGGAATGTGAGAGTATGCATGGTGCTGCATGGCATGGAATGTGAGAGTATGCATGGTGCTGCATGGCATGGAATGTGAGAGTATGCATGGTGCTGCATGGCATGGAATGTGAGAGTATGCATGGTGCTGCATGGCATGGAATGTGAGAGTATGCATGGTGCTGCATGGCATGGAATGTGAGAGTATGCATGGTGCTGCATGGCATGGAATGTGAGAGTATGCATGGTGCTGCATGGCATGGAATGTGAGAGTATGCATGGTGCTGCATGGCATGGAATGTGAGAGTATGCATGGTGCTGCATGGCATGGAATGTGAGAGTATGCATGGTGCTGCATGGCATGGAATGTGAGAGTATGCATGGTGCTGCATGGCATGGAATGTGAGAGTATGCATGGTGCTGCATGGCATGGAATGTGAGAGTATGCATGGTGCTGCATGGCATGGAATGTGAGAGTATGCATGGTGCTGCATGGCATGGAATGTGAGAGTATGCATGGTGCTGCATGGCATGGAATGTGAGAGTATGCATGGTGCTGCATGGCATGGAATGTGAGAGTATGCATGGTGCTGCATGGCATGGAATGTGAGAGTATGCATGGTGCTGCATGGCATGGAATGTGAGAGTATGCATGGTGCTGCATGGCATGGAATGTGAGAGTATGCATGGTGCTGCATGGCATGGAATGTGAGAGTATGCATGGTGCTGCATGGCATGGAATGTGAGAGTATGCATGGTGCTGCATGGCATGGAATGTGAGAGTATGCATGGTGCTGCATGGCATGGAATGTGAGAGTATGCATGGTGCTGCATGGCATGGAATGTGAGAGTATGCATGGTGCTGCATGGCATGGAATGTGAGAGTATGCATGGTGCTGCATGGCATGGAATGTGAGAGTATGCATGGTGCTGCATGGCATGGAATGTGAGAGTATGCATGGTGCTGCATGGCATGGAATGTGAGAGTATGCATGGTGCTGCATGGCATGGAATGTGAGAGTATGCATGGTGCTGCATGGCATGGAATGTGAGAGTATGCATGGTGCTGCATGGCATGGAATGTGAGAGTATGCATGGTGCTGCATGGCATGGAATGTGAGAGTATGCATGGTGCTGCATGGCATGGAATGTGAGAGTATGCATGGTGCTGCATGGCATGGAATGTGAGAGTATGCATGGTGCTGCATGGCATGGAATGTGAGAGTATGCATGGTGCTGCATGGCATGGAATGTGAGAGTATGCATGGTGCTGCATGGCATGGAATGTGAGAGTATGCATGGTGCTGCATGGCATGGAATGTGAGAGTATGCATGGTGCTGCATGGCATGGAATGTGAGAGTATGCATGGTGCTGCATGGCATGGAATGTGAGAGTATGCATGGTGCTGCATGGCATGGAATGTGAGAGTATGCATGGTGCTGCATGGCATGGAATGTGAGAGTATGCATGGTGCTGCATGGCATGGAATGTGAGAGTATGCATGGTGCTGCATGGCATGGAATGTGAGAGTATGCATGGTGCTGCATGGCATGGAATGTGAGAGTATGCATGGTGCTGCATGGCATGGAATGTGAGAGTATGCATGGTGCTGCATGGCATGGAATGTGAGAGTATGCATGGTGCTGCATGGCATGGAATGTGAGAGTATGCATGGTGCTGCATGGCATGGAATGTGAGAGTATGCATGGTGCTGCATGGCATGGAATGTGAGAGTATGCATGGTGCTGCATGGCATGGAATGTGAGAGTATGCATGGTGCTGCATGGCACGGAATGTGAGAGTATGCATGGTGCTGCATGGCATGGAATGTGAGAGTATGCATGGTGCTGCATGGCATGGAATGTGAGAGTATGCATGGTGCTGCATGGCATGGAATGTGAGAGTATGCATGGTGCTGCATGGCATGGAATGTGAGAGTATGCATGGTGCTGCATGGCACGGAATGTGAGAGTATGCATGGTGCTGCATGGCATGGAATGTGAGAGTATGCATGGTGCTGCATGGCATGGAATGTGAGAGTATGCATGGTGCTGCATGGCATGGAATGTGAGAGTATGCATGGTGCTGCATGGCATGGAATGTGAGAGTATGCATGGTGCTGCATGGCATGGAATGTGAGAGTATGCATGGTGCTGCATGGCATGGAATGTGAGAGTATGCATGGTGCTGCATGGCATGGAATGTGAGAGTATGCATGGTGCTGCATGGCATGGAATGTGAGAGTATGCATGGTGCTGCATGGCATGGAATGTGAGAGTATGCATGGTGCTGCATGGCATGGAATGTGAGAGTATGCATGGTGCTGCATGGCATGGAATGTGAGAGTATGCATGGTGCTGCATGGCATGGAATGTGAGAGTATGCATGGTGCTGCATGGCATGGAATGTGAGAGTATGCATGGTGCTGCATGGCATGGAATGTGAGAGTATGCATGGTGCTGCATGGCATGGAATGTGAGAGTATGCATGGTGCTGCATGGCATGGAATGTGAGAGTATGCATGGTGCTGCATGGCATGGAATGTGAGAGTATGCATGGTGCTGCATGGCATGGAAAGTGAGAGTATGCATGGTGCTGCATGGCATGGAATGTGAGAGTATGCATGGTGCTGCATGGCATGGAATGTGAGAGTATGCATGGTGCTGCATGGCATGGAATGTGAGAGTATGCATGGTGCTGCATGGCATGGAATGTGAGAGTATGCATGGTGCTGCATGGCATGGAATGTGAGAGTGTGCATGGTGCTGCATGGGATGGAATGTGAGAGTATGCATGGTGCTGCATGGCATGGAATGTGAGAGTATGCATGGTGCTGCATGGCATGGAATGTGAGAGTATGCATGGTGCTGCATGGCATGGAATGTGAGAGTATGCATGGTGCTGCATGGCATGGAATGTGAGAGTATGCATGGTGCTGCATGGCATGGAATGTGAGAGTATGCATGGTGCTGCATGGCATGGAATGTGAGAGTATGCATGGTGCTGCATGGCATGGAATGTGAGAGTATGCATGGTGCTGCATGGCATGGAATGTGAGAGTATGCATGGTGCTGCATGGCATGGAATGTGAGAGTATGCATGGTGCTGCATGGCATGGAATGGCGAGGCATGGTGTGGCATGGTGTGGCTTAGGGTGGCATGGCGTGGCAATGCGTGGGCATTGTGTGGTGTGGGTTGGCATGGTGTGGCATGGCGTGGCATGGCGTGGCATGGCATGGCGTGGCATGAAACAAAACAGCCCGTCTCACCTGAATATCCAAGAGCCCGTCTTGGAAGCCGAGGAAGACGGCAAGGGGCGTGGAGGGCGGCACAGGGAAGACATACTGCAGCGTGTGCGCCTTGAACTTGGCCTGGGGCTCCGTCTCGTGCCCGTTCACAGTTGTCCTCCATTTCTGTGGGGGTCACCGGATGGCGTTATGCAGGAGGTTTGAAACCGAAACAATGGATGGGTGGTGTTTTGAGGCGCCTCAGAATTACTGCAGCGTGTGCTGTGCGCCTTGAACTTGGCCTGGGGCTCTGTCTCGTGCCCGTTCACAGTTGTCCTCCACGTCTGTGGGAGTCATCAGAGGCGTGATGCAAGAGATGTAACGCCCAACATATTTAACGCCCAAGAGATCAACGCCGAAAACATGGGCATTTTGAGAGTGAGCGGCCATCGGTTTGGTTTGCCATTTGGACTATCAAGCGGCGGATGAGAGCCAGAAAAGTGAGCAAGACACAAAACAGTGCAAGAGAAGGAGCGAGTGCACGAGAGATGAGCATTAAGACTTAGATGCACGCATGAAGCATAGCATAGGCGTGGAGGTGGGGAGGTAAGTCAATTTTTTTTACGACTCAAAAATCGACTTATCACACACGCATGAAGCATAGGCGGGGAGGTAGGTGGGGAGGGGGAACTGACAGTGAAGATGGCATCTGGTGGCATGTTGGCGTTGTCTGTGCTCTCCACAGAGATGAGCGTGCGGTAGGGCTGTTAGGAGTGATTGAGCAAGTGTGAGTGGGCCAGAGATGACGAGAGTTGGCGAGAGGAGAAATAGAGGGTGAGACATGGTGAGATTCGAGTGAACAGAGGATGCAGAAGGGGAGTGCGAGAATGGAAGAAAACAAGCAGGGAGGCAAATGTAAAATATCGAAGGGGTTGGAGCTGTATGCAGAAAATGATTGACAAAAACGATTAAGGCCAAACACGATTAAGGCCAAACACGATAAAGCCAAAAACGATTAATGCCAAACACGATTAAGGCCAAACACTTTAAGGCAGACGGGCGGAGAGGAGGGGATTGAAACTGAGTGTGAGCACACCACACCACACGGAACAACTCCAAGAAGCCTGTTACTCGATGTTCACATGGAGTAGAAGTAAGGAGGACTATGGAGCGCGGGAGCGGCGCGAGAAGGAGCAAGGACAGCGAGCGAGGAGGGTTATGAGGTGTAAGAAGGATTATGAGGAGCAAGTATGGTTCGGATGAGTGAGGAGGCTTGGTGCATTGGTGCCGTTTCCCTCTCACCCCGACAGTGTTGTCCACGAACAGTGTGTTGGCGGGCGAAGGGCCTGACTTGTCAGTCAACTCAAGAGCCAGCTCGTGGCATCTTATGAGGGAACTCAACAATCAGCTCGTGCTGGTTTCCACTCACCGCAACGGTGGTGTCAATGATAATTGTGTTGGCGGGCGAAGGGGCGGCAAGGTATGGCGTGTCAGGCAGCCACGAGCGGCCAATGGCGTCCAGGAAGAACGTGTTGGGCGGCAATCCCGCCCCGATGTGGTACAGCGACGCTGGATGGCCAAACGAGGGGCGGAATGGTCTAACTTAATCAACCAAGCCCACCATACGTCACAGGGTTGGGCGGCAATCCCGCCCCGATGTGGTTAAGCGAGGCTGGATGGCAGAAAGTTACCCGTATGTGCTTCCGAAGTATGTGGTCCCTCACCAAGCATGTTTGAATGCAAGCCACCAAACACAACACAGGCAAGCATCACAGCAGTATGCGGCCAAGCCAAGAGTGGAGCACAGCGGTAGAGTGCAACAGTGGAGTGCCACGCATGGTGTGGTGTGGCCAGCAGGGGAGAGTGAGAACGTAACACTTGCGAGGCGAGGCGAGGTGTGTAGCACTGGCATGCATGCATACCAAGCACAGCGGTGCTGTTCGGTGCTGTAAGGTTGTACATTCCTGGTGGGCATTCGAGCACCTGGGGGGAAGAAGTGCGGGTGTGAGGGGGAGGAAAGACGGTGAGAGTGAGGAACAAGTGAGCTGAACAGAAGTGCAACAAAGGCGTCCTGATTTTCATGACTATCCCTGTATCCCATCTTACTTTTTGAGAATTCTCAAAAGTAAGATTCATGACTATCCCTGTATCCCATCTTACTTTTGAGAATTCTCTAAGGTAAGATTCACGAATATCCCTGTATCCCATCCCCATCCTTACCACCAGCACCAACACCACCAGTACCGTCATCAATAACAGCACCATCACCACACGCAGCACCATCACACGAGCAGCGGGAACAGCAGCGTGTCACCTGCGGAGATGGCGGAGATGATGGGGCCATCCAAGTCCCCGAGGTGAGGAGGGGATGGAGAGTTGCAGGGGAGAAGGAGAGTGCAGCGAGAAAGGGCATAAACTCACGGAGATGGCGGAGATGAACTCGCCTCAGGAGACATCGGGGTCGCCGATGTCTCCTGAGGTGAAGAACACGTCCACAGAGCCAACCGCCTTTTGAGGCACCTCAAGTGAAAAATCATCATGTTATCAACAGCCGCATCATCACACCAACAGCAGCAGCAAGAGAGGGATGATCTTACGGAGATAGCGGAGATGATGGGGTCTCCAATGTCCCCCGAGGTGAAGAACACGTCCACAGAGCCGTCTGTCACCGGCACATACACCTCCACCACATGCCCCCTCACCACATCGCCCTCCCCCTCGTTGCTGCTGCTGCTGCTACTGCTGTTGCTGCTGCTGCTGCTGCTGCTGGTGCTGTTGCTGTTGCTGTTGCTGTTGGTGCTGTTGCTGTTGGTGCTGTTGCTGTTGGTGCTGTTGCTGTTGGTGCTCCTATTGTTGCTGCTCTTGTTGGTACTCTTGGTGCTGATAATGGCCCTCTTGGTGCGGACGTTGGCACCGGTATTGGCGCTGGTGTTGCTGCCACTTCCGGTAACGGTACTGCTGCTGCTGGCTATGCTTACAAGGTCACTGTTGGTGACCGTCGAGACAACCTTGCCAGCACTGGTGCTACTACCGAAACCCCGCCCAGCAGCACCACCACCAGCAGCACCAGCACCAGCACCAGCAGAACTAGAACCAGCACCAGCAGCAGCTACGCGGGTGCGGTCCACAGTAGGGAACCGCTGTCCAATGACAAACGCAGGCAGCACCTCAGTGCCCTCCACGCTCACGTTGAACCGCCTTGCCCCCGGCACTCTGTTCACCAGCTCTGCGAAATACAGGCGCACCACGTAGTAGGCAGGTTCGGGCACTGGCAGGGAGTACCAGAGGGTGAGTCCGTCCCGCGCGTTGAAAGCCCTGGCGGACTCGAATATGGGCGCCAGGAGGGCTAGAGAGGGGTCTGAGAAGGTGAGGAGGGTTTTGGCTTCGGGTGAGGGAGTGGTGATTGGGATGGAGGGAGTGGGTGGGTTGTGACTGGACGTGTTCTTGAGGAAGGAGAGCGGGATATTTGCGGCATAGTTGGCAGTGTTGTTGGCAGTGCTGTTGGCAGTGCTGTTGGCAGTGCCGTTGGCAGTGCTGTTGGCAGTGCTGTTGGCAGTGCTGTTGGCAGTGCTGTTGGCAGTGCTGTTGGCAGTGTTGTTGGCAGTGCTGTTGGCAGTGCTGTTGGCAGTGGTAGTAATAGAGATCACGTCAACAAACGAGCTGTTGCTCCTTCCATTGGTACTATTCCCTGCTGCACTACTTTTGTTCCCTTGCGCTCCTGCAATGCCTGCCAACGGCGGTATGCCAACCAATGGCATTGAGCTGCTGCTGTTGCTGCTGCTGCTGTTGCTGCTGCTACCAGCGGCAGGAGTGATAGTGAAGGGCGCGCCAAGGGTCATGAGCGGGGCATCGGAGGTCCAAGTGATGGCGGTGGTATCAGCAAACCAGAGGGTTGTCACGTTGGGCCCCCCGCAGTTGATGAACAGTCCAGCTGCAAGACGTGATGGGGATGAGGGGAGGACGGGGAGGAGAGAAAGTGGTAGTGAAGGGCGAGCCGAGGGCCATGAGCGGGGCATTGGAGGTCCAAGTGATGGCGGTGGTATCAGCAAACCAGAGGGTTGTCACGTTGGGGTCCCCGCAGTTGATGAACAGTCCGGCTGCACGGTTCGATGGGGGTGAGAGGAGAAGAAGGTAAGCGGGAGGGGAAAGGGAGAGGGAGAGGAGGGCTCGTGTGTGAATGAGGTGTTTCGAATTGCGAACCAGGGTTGTCAGGCTTGGGCCTCCGCAGTTGATGAATGCTCCGGCTGAGGGATTGATGAGAACGTGGGGAGGAGGAGCGGAAGGAGAGGGTGAAGAGGAGAGAGAAGACAAAGGAAGGGAGATGATTGAGGAGAGAGGGAGACTGGTGAGAGGCGATGGAGTGGCGAGAGAGAGGAGGGGCGAGAGAGAGGGGGGGCGAGAGAGGGGAGGGGCGAGAGGCAGAGGGGAAGATGGGCTGGAAAAGCGGAAGCACCTGCAAGCATGAATCGCACCTAAATCCGCACATCCAAGACCGGACGTTTAATGGTTGACTATAAACAGACGCAGATGGAGTGATGAGCCAGTGAGTTTATGATTATCCATCCCAGTTCCCGAGGAAAAACCTGGCCTGGGGTTGGTTCAACTCAGGAACGAATGGATCTATTTGAACAGGGATTTTAGAGCAAATTCGGAGGGTCACCTTGCAGGTTGGCGAGCCAATCGCTGTTCTCTGTCGTCCTGGTCTTGATGAAACTAGGATTCACAACTCGCCCCACCGCCAACTCCCACACCACCCCTCCGAGCCCTCGCTCTCCACTGCTGCTGCTGTTGCTGCTGCTGGTGCTGCTACTGCTACTGTTGCTGGTGTTTGCGCCGTTTGCTTGACCGTGAAACGCAGCAAGCACCAGAAGAGTAGAAAGCAACACAAAAGTTGGAATCGAGTTGCTTGTTCTGGGGCGCCTAGAGGCGCGGATAGCATGCATTTGAAGAGAGGATGCAGGACCCATGGAAATCATTGGTTGGTCAGCAGGGACGCCGAAACTCCTACAACTCCTTAAACACTTGAAGCTCGCTGTATTCGAAGCTGTGCTCGTGGCACAAGGCTTGGTTGTGCACTCGAGAGAGCACAGGCCTTATTGCTACGAGCCTGCGGGTGGTAAGCCGTCTCAAGCCTCTGAAGAGTGCACACGATCCGGATTGATGTCCGTGCGTGGGTGGCCTACACGAGTCCCCTGAATCCCTTTGAAGCTAGGGAATCGTGAAGTGGTATGCTGACCGAAGGGTTCCTAACCCTTAGGCGCTTTTCTTTACTCTAGGGCTTGTAGTCTGGCTGGTCCGCGCTCACTTGGAAGGCGGATATCGGAGATCGCTGCTTCGGAAAAACAATGCTACGTTAGACCTCGCCCCTCAAAGAAAGCTCGGAGAGAACTTGTATGAGATATGTCAGAGATGGGGAGCCTGGGGAGCTGAGGAGGCGGGGTCTAGGCTAGGATATTAATGATAACCGGAGCGCTGGCAGCTGGCGGATTCGTCCAGGGGGCTGGTTCGGGCAACAATCACGAATTTTGAGACGTCACAGCCCGCACTCTAGCGAGATATGTACAGTAGATAAACAATGCAAACGGGCCCGTTGAAAAGGCTACGAATACGTCGGGGAGCAACCTAGTGTCGCTTGAAGGTCACGGCGGAAGAGAGCGGCGGGCAGAAGGCAGCGAAATCGAGAGCGCGGCTTGAAATTGGACCAAGGAGGCCAAGACACTGGAAAGCAGCGAAGCTGCGAGGCGCCAAGAGCGCGTCTCCCTACCCATGGCAGTTGCTTCTCAGACATTTACCTCACGGGAAAGAGTGCAACGGAATTAGCAACCGCTTCCGCTGGCAGGAGGTCATAGAGCAGGGTGGCAGTATTCGCATCACTAACTCGCCGCCTCGCTCTTTCATACTTCGTGACACAGCTGGAGGTTGCTGCATTCAAGCAGGCTGCGATGGAGTACTGAACTGGACTGCTGCTACTCTTGGAGACACTGGTTCGCCTTCCATGTTGAACCTGTCTGGAGCTGTGGTCACGTGTGCAGGACCGATTCATCTTCCCTGTCCCCCTCGCTATGGTTTGCTTCAGTAAGTTTTAAGTAATACTGCACTAACAAATTCCTAAACATCTGAAACCTTATCTATTGTGCTCCTTGACATACTTGTTACCATACCGGTAATAGGCACCACTAAACCAGACTGCTAGTGCAGCCTGCAAACCAGCTAATGATACCACCAGTCGTATGTCAGGACTCAGTAGAGATGTCACGAAGCTGCATTGATTCGATTACTTTCAGAATTGCTTGTTTGTCCTCCTCAAACGAGGAAATCTCTGCAAATGGGAAATGAGAAATGGGACTTGAGAAACAAGCGGGAAAGGAGCTCCTGTACGGTGCACGCGTTGTGGACGAAAAACCCCAAAGCTATACCTGTTTCTGTTCCTTTCTCAAGTGTCAGGGCTGGCAGGAAACGAAGCAGCTTATCTTTGTTCTTGAGAAGGATCAGCTGAACATCTTGAGGCCGCTTTGGGTTGGCCACAATTACCTAAACAAACACAGTGGGTGGATGAGTGTCACAATCAAGGTCTCGAGATTGTAATAGCAGCTCTTTGGTATGACATTTGTCACTACAAACCTTGAAGATGTGAAACGCATCAACTTGAATCACTTTACTTGTATCCTGGAATCAAACGGAGGGAAAAGCATAAGAACATCAAATAAATGGCCGCAATGGAGGAATTTGCAAACTAATCGAGTCACCGATTACCCTCAGAAGGTTCATGGATACAATCAGGTTGTTGACATCACTCGCATATCTCAAGGTCACCATGACATAGGCACGATCCAGAAGCATGTCAGCCAACAGCTGTAAACAGACGAATAGTAGGCATAAGCTGGCTTCAAAGGATTACCAAGGGGAAAGTGAAGAAAGGGACAGACAGCAACAGGCACAAGAGAGACAGGAAGAGTTGCAGAGGATAAAACGACATCAAACAAGGTGAAAGACGAGAAGAAATCAACCTTGGTTGCAACACGCCTCGTAATGTAGGAAGATGACTGCAGCAACTTGGTGTATGCTTCGAAAAACTGCGACAGAAAAGCATGAGATAGCTTTAGTTTAAGTCATTAATGCATAACGTAGAGCAGGCTTGGTTCCAGCATTCAATCATTTGCCTTGTCATAATTCCTCAATACAAAATCCGCTGCTGTGGCCTTGTGTCGCATCAAGAGCTCCTGCAAATACAAATTACTCAACATGTTCAGTAAGTCAGAGATGCATGAGAAAAGGAGAGAATTGCCAATGATAAACAAGGACGTACCCTAAATGTTGCAGCAGCATCAGAAGAAACTTCAAAACTGGGTAATTCCACGTGGTGGAAGAACTTGAAAAAGTCTTTGCTCTCCAAGACGTACCTGCAATGAAAAAACTCAGTCACTATCAGGCAGAGACAACGCCACTAACGCAACAACACCCACGCTTCAACCTGATGCATACTTTGCAACTGATTGGTGGCGAATGCATTCCCGAAGCATCAAGCCATAGTAGAGTGCGAGAACTGGATCCTCGTATCTGCATAAAAATGAGTACATTATGTGAGCCCTCCACCAGAACTGTCTTATTGCCGATTCGACCATACCCTTTAATGAGAAGGTCCAGAAGGTCCGTATGTTGCATAAGGTACTCGCCCGCAACCATGCGATTTTGAATTTGCCTCTTTTGCAGGCTCGCATTGATTTGCACAGCATCCCGTTTTGACTGCACACGATAAACGCCAACCATCAGTACAACTCTCAGCACCTCAAATCCACAGGACAGGCGAATAAGCACACCAACGGCAACACTTACATCAAGAGACAGGGAACCAAGGTTCCTAATAAGAAGTTCCAAAAAATTCCCCTTAAACACCTCCGCTCCCACGAGAGTCACAGCGTCTGCATTCTGGAAGGTCTCAGTATCCCCGTACAACACTATACGCATATCATACAAATGCTTCTCCAGGTCTTCGACGATCTGAAATTTCAAGAAAGCAAAGAATCTAAGATGGCAATCGTAATGACATTCATGAGCTCATGAGAGGTCTGCATACCTTTGCGGTTTTTTTGGCATCTTGGGAGCTTCGCAGTAACGTCAGCAGCTCAACGGTCGACTTGACAAGCTCGGCAGGCGACTTCGGCTTGCTCGACTTAAAAATGTTCCTCATGCTTGGTGGTGCTAGGAATTTCGCCATCTTCAGACAGTTTCGCTTCTCAATGTCAAACCACTAACGCCAGCCAAATGAGCCTTTGCAGAACAATGACTTCTCGACGAAACGCACGGTCCAGGCAAATGTAGACGGAATGCATACTAGAGGTCAGGAAAAAACACAGTGGTTCAAGAGGCTAAGCGAAGACAGCTCCATTGACAACCTAAAGAGCTGGCTACTAAGGGGAAGGCGCGTCAATTCTAGGCAAAGTCACTCTCCGTAGTGAACACATCTAAGAAGAATACCTACTAAACATTCTCTGAATCATCCATTGAACGGTCACGGAATGCCTACAACCATGCACACGATCAAGTCACATTCTAATAGGTCCCTGTAGTCCAATCTTGAAATAGACCATGGTAAAATATGCCCATCACGCACTAACAATCTTTGCGCGCACATGCTGGTACATGGATTCAGGCTTCCACTTCACAATCTTCATCCGTCTTTAAACAGTCCTAAGGGCTTCATATCAGTCAGCCCAACATACATAAATCGTATCGATAGGATTGGAGAACCAGAGGACCGGAAACATAAGCATAATCACCATCGAAGAGCTGCTGGTCAAGCGTAGAATCATGAGAGGCTCCAGCTCTACTGGTAGCATTTTGAGGCCCCTTGGATGACATCAGGGCCTCCAGCTCTACTGGTCATTGACCAACACAATCGCTTCCTCCGCAATCAGCGATAGCAATTTAATTCCGTTCGTTTCTGGAGCACCGACCACGTCAGTTGTGCAACAGGCCTGTGAGTGAAAGTAGGGATATGAGAAACGTTAAATGAGCACATGCACCTCATTCCCTACCCACTCCACCACTCCCATGCCACCACACTCACCTGAGAGCAAGTGAAGCCAGCAACGGTCATCCACTCCCACTCCTCCACCTCCCCATACCCCACCTCCCTCCTTCCCCCGCCACCCTGCGCACTCCCCTCATCCCCTTCCTCCTGCCGCTCCCTCAGAGCCTCCAGCAGGAAAAAGAGCAGCGGCGGCATGAGCTGTAACTCAAACACGCGGGGAGCGTCGCAGAGCGGGCAGGCTCGGGATGCCTCTGGGAGGAGAGGAGGAGGGGCACAGGGCCAGACGGGCTGACCGTTAAAGCGGTACCTGAAGGGGAAAGAGAGGGAGGAACAGCAGGAAGAAGAGAAGCGGCGGCATGAGCTCAGCTCAAACACGCAGGGAGCGTGGCAGAGAGCGCTCGCCTGGGATGCGTCTGGGAGGAGGGGAGGTTGAGCACATGGCCAGATGGGCTGGCCGTTGAAGCGGTGCCTGGTTGAGCAGGGATGGATGTAGAAGCACAATAAGAGCAGAGACGGCATGAGCTGCAGCTCAAATACTGAGCTGGAGGCACGCGCCACCAGCACACCTGACACACACGCGAGTACCATACCAAACCCATCCCATGGCATCGCATCGCACCCACGCACCACACCATACTGCACAGCACCCGCACTTCACCACACCTGACACACTGCTGGGGCTGCTTGTCGAGGCGCTTCTTGAAGCGCAGGTACGGGCGCCCCACAGTGCGTGCCTGGTCGTACTCATACCCCTCGCCCTCCCACTTCTCGCCCTCTCCTGCCCCCCCTTCCACCTGCATCGCTGCAACCCCATCCGCCCCATCTCTCAACCCAGGCACTGCTCCCGCTGCAGGCGTGCTTTTACTTGTGCCTGTCGCCTCTTCTTCCTCCGAATACACATAGAAGCACGGGAGCACCCGCAGAGCACGCACGTCTGCTGTTCTTGTGTCGCTTGCATTTCCTTGTGCCGCCTGTGCTGCTGTTGCTGCTCCTGCCGATGCTTCCCTGCCTGAAGCTGTCTTTCTCTCCTTCCCCGCCGCATTCGCCTCCCCAGAAGTGCCAGCAGCAGCCTTGGCGGCAGCAGCACTGAGGGACGCGGAGAGAGCGTCAAGAGATGCAAGCGGGGGGGTTACCATTGTGGACCTCAACTCGTTACTGTCACATGCGCCAGTGCCAATGCCCCACCCTCCCTCTGCTGCTGCTCCACCCCACTCCGACCCTACTGTGGAAATGACACCTGAAGTGGCACTTGAAGAATCTGAGGGTGGGGGTGTGAGCCCCCAGCTATCTCCTGTTGCTGTGCTGCACGCATCCCACGAGCTCGCATCTCCCCATGATGACGCTGTCATCGCTGCTGCCCCTGCTGGTGCTGCTGTTGCTGATGCTGCTTCTTCTGGTGGTGGTTGCTTTGAGGGAAGCTGCTGCAGCCGAATGATTCGCCAACTGCAGCAACCAGGGCACAAGGGGGGGAGGGGGGGAGGGGGGGAGGGAAGAGATGAAGCATGTAAGCAGGGCACATGGAGCAGGGCACATGGAGCAGGGCACATGGAGCAGGGCACATGGAGCAGGGCACATGGAGCAGGGCACATGGAGCAGGGCACATGGAGCAGGGCACATGGAGCAGGGCACATGGAGCAGGGCACATGGAGCAGGGCACATGGAGCAGGGCACATGGAGCAGGGCACATGGAGCAGGGCACATGGAGCAGGGCACATGGAGCAGGGCACATGGAGCAGGGCACATGGAGCAGGGCACATGGAGCAGGGCACATGGAGCAGGGCACATGGAGCAGGGCACATGGAGCAGGGCACATGGAGCAGGGCACATGGAGCAGGGCACATGGAGCAGGGCACATGGAGCAGGGCACATGGAGCAGGGCACATGGAGCAGGGCACATGGAGCAGGGCACATGGAGCAGGGCACATGGAGCAGGGCACATGGAGCAGGGCACATGGAGCAGGGCACATGGAGCAGGGCACATGGAGCAGGGCACATGGAGCAGGGCACATGGAGCAGGGCACATGGAGCAGGGCACATGGAGCAGGGCACATGGAGCAGGGCACATGGAGCAGGGCACATGGAGCAGGGCACATGGAGCAGGGCACATGGAGCAGGGCACATGGAGCAGGGCACATGGAGCAGGGCACATGGAGCAGGGCACATGGAGCAGGGCACATGGAGCAGGGCACATGGAGCAGGGCACATGGAGCAGGGCACATGGAGCAGGGCACATGGAGCAGGCACATGGAGCAGGGCACATGGAGCAGGGCACATGGAGCAGGGCACATGGAGCAGGGCACATGGAGCAGGGCACATGGAGCAGGGCACATGGAGCAGGGCACATGGAGCAGGGCACATGGAGCAGGGCACATGGAGCAGGGCACATGGAGCAGGGCACATGGAGCAGGGCACATGGAGCAGGGCACATGGAGCAGGGCACATGGAGCAGGGCACATGGAGCAGGGCACATGGAGCAGGGCACATGGAGCAGGGCACATGGAGCAGGGCACATGGAGCAGGGCACATGGAGCAGGGCACATGGAGCAGGGCACATGGAGCAGGGCACATGGAGCAGGGCACATGGAGCAGGGCACATGGAGCAGGGCACATGGAGCAGGGCACATGGAGCAGGGCACATGGAGCAGGGCACATGGAGCAGGGCACATGGAGCAGGGCACATGGAGCAGGGCACATGGAGCAGGGCACATGGAGCAGGGCACATGGAGCAGGGCACATGGAGCAGGGCACATGGAGCAGGGCACATGGAGCAGGGCACATGGAGCAGGGCACATGGAGCAGGGCACATGGAGCAGGGCACATGGAGCAGGGCACATGGAGCAGGGCACATGGAGCAGGGCACATGGAGCAGGGCACATGGAGCAGGGCACATGGAGCAGGGCACATGGAGCAGGGCACATGGAGCAGGGCACATGGAGCAGGGCACATGGAGCAGGGCACATGGAGCAGGGCACATGGAGCAGGGCACATGGAGCAGGGCACATGGAGCAGGGCACATGGAGCAGGGCACATGGAGCAGGGCACATGGAGCAGGGCACATGGAGCAGGGCACATGGAGCAGGGCACATGGAGCAGGGCACATGGAGCAGGGCACATGGAGCAGGGCACATGGAGCAGGGCACATGGAGCAGGGCACATGGAGCAGGGCACATGGAGCAGGGCACATGGAGCAGGGCACATGGAGCAGGGCACATGGAGCAGGGCACATGGAGCAGGGCACATGGAGCAGGGCACATGGAGCAGGGCACATGGAGCAGGGCACATGGAGCAGGGCACATGGAGCAGGGCACATGGAGCAGGGCACATGGAGCAGGGCACATGGAGCAGGGCACATGGAGCAGGGCACATGGAGCAGGGCACATGGAGCAGGGCACATGGAGCAGGGCACATGGAGCAGGGCACATGGAGCAGGGCACATGGAGCAGGGCACATGGAGCAGGGCACATGGAGCAGGGCACATGGAGCAGGGCACATGGAGCAGGGCACATGGAGCAGGGCACATGGAGCAGGGCACATGGAGCAGGGCACATGGAGCAGGGCACATGGAGCAGGGCACATGGAGCAGGGCACATGGAGCAGGGCACATGGAGCAGGGCACATGGAGCAGGGCACATGGAGCAGGGCACATGGAGCAGGGCACATGGAGCAGGGCACATGGAGCAGGGCACATGGAGCAGGGCACATGGAGCAGGGCACATGGAGCAGGGCACATGGAGCAGGGCACATGGAGCAGGGCACATGGAGCAGGGCACATGGAGCAGGGCACATGGAGCAGGGCACATGGAGCAGGGCACATGGAGCAGGGCACATGGAGCAGGGCACATGGAGCAGGGCACATGGAGCAGGGCACATGGAGCAGGGCACATGGAGCAGGGCACATGGAGCAGGGCACATGGAGCAGGGCACATGGAGCAGGGCACATGGAGCAAGGCACATGGAGCAGGGCACATGGAGCAGGGCACATGGAGCAGGGCACATGGAGCAGGGCACATGGAGCAGGGCACATGGAGCAGGGCACATGGAGCAGGGCACATGGAGCAGGGCACATGGAGCAGGGCACATGGAGCAGGGCACATGGAGCAGGGCACATGGAGCAGGGCACATGGAGCAGGGCACATGGAGCAGGGCACATGGAGCAGGGCACATGGAGCAGAGCACATGGAGCAGGGCACATGGAGCAGGGCACATGGAGCAGGGCACATGGAGCAAGGCACATGGAGCAGGGCACATGGAGCAGGGCACATGGAGCAGGGCACATGGAGCAGGGCACATGGAGCAGGGCAGAGAGGGCACAGGATGGGAGGACGGCGGCTGAAAGGAGGTCCAGGGTGCGAGAGCAGCGGTGCAAAGGAGCGGGCTGGCAAGAAAAGACTCAAGGCAGGCCCCTGCTTGGCTTGGCAGGCAGAGGCCTCTCAAAGCTCCCTACGCCTTGCTCCCCCCTCCATGCTCCCCTTGCCACTCCCCCCCCCCCCAGTCAATGCCTCACCCCTGAGCGTGTGCAGCACACGGCCCTCTGTGTCGTCCTCGTTTCACCCCACTCATCTCCGCCACGTCTCCATGCCCCTTTCCTTCCCCTCGCCCCTCTTCCTTCCCCTTCTTCGCCCCGTGCTCCTGCCCTTCCCCTTGCCTCCCTTGCTCTCCGCCTTCCTCCCCCAGCTCCATCCCCCCCAGTTCCTCCGCCACCTCCCCCACCTCCCCCTCTCCCCCTGCGCCCGCGCTTCCCCCCATCACCACGTCCCCAAACACTGAGGAAAGGTCCCCAAAGGGGGGGAGGGCGGAAGGAACCTCCCCCACCGTTTCCCCTTTTCGCCGTTTTCCCCCTTCATTCCCCCATTGGCGCAGGCGAACATGTACAGCACCCGCTCTTCCACTTGCAAGCTGCCACGTGTCACCCCTGCTGCTGCACCATCTGATGCTGCGGGAAGGGAGAGCGGGGCATAGGCCTGAAGATGGGGAAAAGGGGAGGGGAACGGGGAAGGGGACGAAAGGGGAAGGGGTAGGGGAAAGGGAACAGGAACGGGGAGGAAAACGAAAATGGAAAAGAGTGGATTGAGGTTGAAACGGAGTATGTTAAAAGGGGGAAAAAGAGCAACAAATGGCAGATGGCGGCAAATTATAACATGGCAATACCGGCGGGCGACAAAAGGAAAAGGAGCCGCGAAACCAGACGAGTGCGTGGGGTGTTTGGAAGCCAAATGCACAGAGGAGGAGGGGAGGGGGGGAGGGAAAGGGAGGGGGGAGGATAGGGGAGAGGGGTGAGAGTGGGGAGGGAGGGGGGGAGAAGGGGGGTAGAGAGCAGTGGCAAAACGATAAACTGCATGTGGAACATTGGCACCCACCTGCAGCACGAGAGAGAGCGGCCCTCAGCAGAGAGAGCAGTGCAGCAGAGGATGAAAAAGGGCGGCCCATACGAAGAATCACCTGGTTACTACGCATGTGGCACTCACCCACCTGGAGCACGAGGGATAGCGGCCCATTGCAAAGAGCGCAGTGCATCAGATGCGGCGGCGGGCGATCCGCCCAGGGGGGCCAGTCCTGGGGGACACGCGCAGCGCAATAGGGGAGCGGGGGAGGAAACGGAAGAGGGGGGGCGGAGAGAGGTGGGTGTTGGGGGGCAGAGGGAAGGATAGGGTAGGGTGGAAGGAGGTTCGGAGGGTGAGCGCGGAGCATCGATGTAGACCAGCATAGAAAGAGAGTAGGAGGAGGGGAGGAACGAAGATGGGAGGAATTCGAAGGGTACATCTTGAGGAGGGCGGGATTGAGAGGGGTACGGAGCGATGGAGAAGAGATGCAGAAAAAAGCAAAGGATCTAGTCTGAGTGGGAGGAGGAGGGGAATGCCAGCACAAGGGATTTCGTCAAATGCAAGGTGCTGGTTTTGTGACGCCTCAAAAAAAGATATCCAAGCAGAATAAGTTATATCTCTCTGCTAGATGCGCGAAGATTGAACGCTGAGGTTCGGGGTTTCGGGGTTCAGATTCGGGTTTCGCGTAGGAGTTGGGACATGGGATATGGGCGTCGTGAGGAGCCTGGGATCCCTTGAGTCATCTCTAAAGTCACATCGGGAGATGGGTGTCGTGACAGGGCTGGGATCGGAGCCAGACGGACGTGGAAACGGATTCCGTCAAACGAGACATGCAGGTAGGAGATCCGCTTACAGGTAAGCCGCCGATCTTGGTCGTGTAGTGATCGGACGGCTCACGATCGTCCTTGGCCCATGGGCCAGGCAAGCCCAAGAGCACGCTCGGAGCCATGCAGGGGAGGCGTGATAGTAAGGAGGGATGCGCGTCTAGCGAGAGGGTGGTGGAGTGACTGTAACGGAAGCTGCAACTCGCAGCCTAGGCGCAAGGCACTACCGACTGGTGATATGCCGTGTGGTCAACCAAGTTAACGGCCCTCGCCCGGTGATGGAGACAGGGTGCGGGAGGAGAAACGATCTGCTGCGCCGTGCCTTGGCAGAGAAAGAGAAGGGAACGACAGTCACAGGCATGGTCACCACACTACCAACTCTGACTAGTAGTACAGCTGCTTTCCTCATTCCCCATGCCTACCTTTCCCCCCCTCTCACCAAGAATGCAATAACGAACAAACCGTTGCTAATACAAATGAAGGCTTTCTCAGCTTTGTTTTACTCTGCAGTGATTTTGATGAAAGACAATCTACCCAATCTTCTCAATTCAGTAAACATTTATTGATCTACACTGCATACCGTATTCTCCAGAAGGAGCTCAATAGTGGCTGCTTTGTGCTGATTCAGAAGCATCTGCCATCGTGTCACAGCTGACGTGTATCTGCTCCGCTAGGAGATCTTTCTCTCCAGCTACCACGGAAAGCCAGCTACTTGCGCCGAATCCCAAGGGCAGATATGTTGGAGGCAAACCACTTTCTACCAAACCACTACGTTTGTCCTGACACGTCTTCGAAGCTTTGGTTATAAGGTCGTGCTCTAAAATGTGCGAAAGGTTCTTCATATCTGACGTTTCGCCTACATCCTCCAGCTTGTTGCTCCCTTGTATTTGTTTTGAACCACTCCAGCCGCGACCGAAGTCGTTCGTATCTCGATTGTGTCGATCTGGTGTGAACTCAAAATCCTATGAAAGTGACACATTAGATAAACATAACTTCTACTGTACACGCTCTTCCTGAACAACCATACATCCAGTCACCATACCTACATCCCAGCTTCCTGGCCAAGAGCAATCTTCCCCAAATTTCTTCGACACTCCAGCAGCGGGCTTGTTCCGCCCATTTTTATTTATGCCAGGAAACCTCACAACACAACAGCAGTTGTGAAATTCAAGCTGAAGCTCCCAGCATTAGGTCAGCTCCGCTCGCTGTCCTCTCACGACCTTCAATATCTCGCTGTGATTCCGTAGGTTATTAATTTACCAGCCAGTTTACCAGGTTCTTAAAACTACACACGCCAGGTTTCTTCTCATGGCGTGCACAGTAACAGCAGCGTCAGTAGCCAAGAGCTCGCTCGGCGCTCCCATGGTGGCTGCGAAGGCGGAAAGCGCATCCACGCCGCAACGATTAACGGCATCTCCGCCACCCCGTTCTATCAGCGGTGGCGATGCTTCTGCTACGCGCCGGTCGAGGTCAACGGGAATCGCGAGGGGGAAGCCCTATGGAGTTGAACCGCATGTTAACCTTGTACGTCCTCCCTTTCTTCGCGTCGTTCTCTCATTTGTTTTGAGGGAAAGCGTTATCTTCACCATACTCAAGAGATAAATCATGGTACCATTCTTCATTCTATGTGTCCGTTAAGAGACTCTGTTTCTTTCCCAAACTTTCCTGTTCGTTCGGCCGCTGTACTGCTCGGTTGGGGTGGGCGCAGAACGAGATAAGCGAGGAGGAGAAGGCGCGGCTGGTGGCGGCGGCGCAGAAGAAGATCGCGGCGGAGCTGAAGGAGCGCGAGGAGAAGCTCAAGGCGGACGCCGCCAGGGCGCACCTGGACCACGAGCTCAAGTTCGGCAAGATGATGTTCGACCAGGTGCGTACGCGCTACAGGATGTTTCGGAACGTGTTGAACCTTTATAAGCTGAGGCAGAATGCGGCGATAGCGCATCTGGAGCACGAGATGAAGCTCGGCAAGATGATGTTGCGTACGCGTTATGGGCTGTTCTGAGCCGATTATAGACTTCAGAAGCTGATGCAGCCACGATACTCAGTCTGATATGATGATGTTCGAACAGTTGCGTACGCGATATAGGCTATTTTGAGGCGTTTATAACTTAGAGAAGCTGAGCCAGGGCACGGCGAGAGCGCATCTGGATCGCGAATTTAAGTTGAGCAATATGATGTTCAACCAGGTGCGAAAGTGCTGTGAGCGATGACCCCACGCACTACCGCTCTCTGCCACTCAAGATGTGCTTCAGATTCATCTCTCATGGCCAGACGACCATTAAACGACCCATTGTTCACCTACTTCGCAAGCATGCATGGCCGACCTATCTTACCCCTCCACTCTCTCCCCCGTCTATTGTCTCCCCCCTCCACTCCCTCTCCCCTCCGCTCACTCCCCCATCCACTCTCTCCCCAACCCACCCCTCCCCCACGTTTCGTCTATTCACAACTTCTCCAATTTCCAAAATTCAAGGCGAAGGAATGTCGAGCGAGAATGCATGCAGAACAAAGTTACTGCACAATGTCGGGCAGCAGCACATTCCATTTCCTCGACCATGATTCAATCTTCCACGAGATGGTTCTAGCATGAATCTCATGCATCCGATAATTACTCTGCTGAAGTGTACTGTTTGCAGCAGGCAGTGTGCTTTTCTTTAGATTCCGAATCAACCCCTGTCACGAGCTGCCTGTCCCTGGTCCTCCAGGGCAATTGCGAGACGGCACTGGCACATTACCAAAAGGTGCTGAAGCAGGCTATGTGCTTCTGTTAGGTTTCCTAACTCCTGCCACGTGCGTCCCACCCATCCCTGCTCCTCCAGGGCAATTTCGAGTCGGCTATGGCGCATAACAAGTTGCTGAAGCAGCTTGTGTGCTTCTGTCAGCGGTTATAACTCCTGCCATCATGCCATGTGCGTCCCACCTATCCTTTCTTCTCCAGGGCAATTTCGAGACAGCAATGGCGCATTACAACAAGGTGCTCAAGCAAGCGGGCGAGCAGTCATACCACCACGGCGAGGCCACCCTGCAAAAGGCCGCGTGCCTGGAGAAGCTTGGGCGCGATGCTGAGGCCAAGAGCCTGTACGAGTCGCTCATCCAGTTCCGCGCGCCCTACCCCAACATCAAGCGCCGCGCTGCACAGGCTCTCTTCGGCACGGATGGGGAGCAGGCAAAGGAGACGTCGCTGTTCGATGACTACATGTACCGCATGTTCCTGTCGGGGTTTGGGCGGTACATGCCCAAGGCCAAGTATGTGGAGACGAAGCAGGAGAAGATGGTGATTCAGCTGCTGCCCTGGACGATTCTGGCCATGGCGCCGCTACTGTTTGTGTGGCTGATGATTCGAGGCAACTAGCTGCTGCCACGTGTGCTGTTCAGGAAGGATTGCGGTGTGGTGTCTAGTGATACTGAAATCATTTAGCCTGTAGTGGGCCGCATCTCTTTTGTTTATTTTGTGGATTGTTGTGGTTGCTTCTGTGGATTGGTGATCATATAAGTCAGTTTGTACAGTTATGCTTTCTCACCAAACAGAGGAGAATGAGTTAACAAACTTGTCAAATTTCTTTGTAATGGTTGCCGTACGCCTAGTGTTATGAATGAACTTGTCAGAGTGCGCAGATATCGAATAACGAGAATGAGAATTACAGAATGACGAAACAATGAAGTAGCGAGGCCTAAATAGGGGAAATCCTAGCTAGGCGAAGAGGTAGGGCGAAGATGGCTCGGTGATGGTTGCGATTGGTGCGGAGCCGACTCGGGAGTGGTTCGGTGCGACGAATTAGGCCGAACAGGTTCGTCGCGTGTCCTTCGGGATGTACTCGCTAAAGTGCGAGTACAGTAAGGAATTGTAATTCCTTATACCTAGCCTCATAGAAGTTACCATTCGCATAATTTCCCATTTTTGTTTGTGCGATGCTTCTGCCGCCAAGAATGAATTTGCTACAGTACTTGGATCGTAGTGGTGGCGACACTCGCTAGGGGGTTGGGGTGAGGGTTTCGCCAGTTTCGAAGGGCAGCAGTTGGGCTGGAATGTGTGCCGAGCAGCGCCTGGTGTTAGCGAGTGAAAGTAGGGACCCAACGTGGAACCTTTGCAGCGAATTGCGGAAACCGAAACCTGGATTGCGGTTTCGGCGACCTTCTTGGACTAAATCTCGCTTTGGCGAACAAGGTTACCAGCTTTCTATGTGCAACTTTGGGCGGAGCCGCAACCGAGGCTCTATGCCCTGACTGCACTTGAGCTCCAGTCGGAGTAGGTTTGGCCAGGGGAGGAAATGTCCTCGGTTTCGTCACTCCAAATTGGCCCCAGCCCGAGTTGCGAATTGAGTGGTTCGGTGTTCCTATAACGGTTTCAGGGGGTTTTACATGTGCTCACATTCGGTCTGCGGAAGCTGCTCAGACCTATCCTCAGTCAGACTTGGGTGCCTACCGAACAAGGCCTCGAGTATTTGGCCCTGCTCGACAGGCAGGCGAGCCCTTCCGCGGAATCATCGCGGCTGTTTCGACTTAGGCTTTTTTTCCACGGTCAGCCCGCAATCTGGTGTCACTGGGTTTTAACTCTCCGTAACCTGAAGGGTTAAGGGCTAGCCTGTCGAACGCGACATTAATCCTTCAAGTTCATCCCCCACGAAAGCTCCCAGCCCCTACTCCCACGCGCAGGGGTTAGCCTAGCTCTAGCCCAGCCCTCGAATCCCCAGAATGGAGGTTGGCCAAGAGCTAGGCTAGGGCCCTGTTCTGTTGCCGCACCACTTGATGCGGCGGCGGACAGGACATCACCGCATCACTTGGTGCAGCATCAGTCTTCCGCGAAGCAACAGACCCCTTGTAGGTGCAACGCAGCCTCCTGCCACTCTCCGCGCAACTGCAGGCGTTTCGTGTTTTTTTGGCCGAGTTGCACAAAAATACACAGTCAAACCCAGCTTAGGGTAAAGACGAGCACCACCAAAATACAACCACAAAGTTTGTTGATGATTGGCGTATTCGCGAGTGAGTCAAATTAGGGTTGGGGAGGGGGGTTGTTGGAAAGCGGGGGTGTTAGTCTTTTACACACTGACTTTGGGGCATTCGCTATCTCGGTCGGTAGGGGCTTGTAAAATATAAATCTGCTCCGCACCACTTGATGCGGTGCCTGGATCCCCCCTGAGACCCTGAACCAGGCCCGCACCACTTTCGCACCCATTTTGCCTGGGAGTGGAGGATTGTGAGTCTGTCACTGGTTCACCGTTCTTTTGCCCAATGCAGGGCGGACTGCACTGCACTGCATTCACTAGGTTCGGGAAGGGGTTCAGTTTCCCGAGCCTTGAATCGAGGAATGCACCCTCAAAATCAAGGCTTCCAGGATCTCCGGTAGAAGGCCGGAAGAAGCATCAAATGATGCGGTGCGGAGGGGGCCGCACCAAGTGGTGCGGCAACAGAACAGGGCCTAGGGTTTCATACGGGAGGGGAATACCCACCCCATAAACTTCGAAAAGTTTCCCACCAGTGCCCGTGCCCTAGCCTCTCCCATCTCTGCCCTGAAAAAGTCCTTTCCTCCCTTGACGAGCATGTTTTTTTATTTCCTTGATTTACCCAGGTTACCATGCCATCCCAATGAAAAATTTTAGACCCTGCCCACGATGAAGATGGTGGAAGGAGGGGCTGCAACATCGCCATGACGACCCCCTCCTTCCGACCTCGGGAGGCGATCCTTCCGATTTCGTGGGGGAAGGGGGAGGCTAGGTGAAGTTACTTCGAAGTCACCTCTTAGCTCTAGCCCAACCCTAGCGCTCCAAGGAGGTACCTGCCTGTCGAGCAGGGCCTCCTTCTGCACAATCACCACTACTTTTTCTCCATCCCAGGTCTCCACCTTTGGGATCCAGGGCGGTTGACCGTAGTAGGCATAGCATCGTGGGTAGTGGACCGTGGGGCCGTGGGGCTTATTGAGCATATGGGCTCTTGATTGGCTATATTCTCGCCGCCAAAAGGACAGTATCGTAGAGAGCCCGTCGCGCTTGGCGCGAGGGAAATCGCGGAGACAGTCCCAGCGAATAGGGTATTGAGAGAGACACCTACCGCGACGCGCAGGTGACGTCCTATCTCCAGTTTAGAATGTGAGCTTTGGATTGAACCCGTCCATTTTGCGAAAATTTATAGAAAGGGAATGGACATGAAATGACGTGCAGCCCGTATTCAGCTCATTGGTGACTCCCAATCCCACCTTCCTACCGTCGTCTCCCTCCCCCGCCTTGTCTTTCTACTCTCCCGGGCCCTCCCTTCTGTCCGCGTTCACCCATACGCACGCGCCCTGCCGCGTCCTCCCTTCCGCACGTGATCCAATCCGCACGCGCCATGCCACGAACTCCCATCCGCACGCGCCCTGCCGCCATCTCCCATCCGCCAGCGCCCTCCCGCCTTCTCCCATCCGCCAGCGCCCTCCCGCCTTCTCCCATCCGCCAGCGCCCTCCCGCCATCTCCCATCCGCCAGCGCCCTCCCGCCTTCTCCCATCCGCCAGCGCCCTCCCGCCTTCTCCCATCCGCCAGCGCCCTCCCGCCATCTCCCATCCGCCAGCGCCCTCCCGCCATCTCCCATCCGCCAGCGCCCTCCCGCCATCTCCCATCCGCCAGCGCCCTGCCGCCATCTCCCATCCGCCAGCGCCCTCCCGCCTTCTCCCATCCGCCAGCGCCCTCCCGCCTTCTCCCATCCGCCAGCGCCCTCCCGCCTTCTCCCATCCGCCAGCGCCCTCCCGCCTTCTCCCATCCGCCAGCGCCCTCCCGCCTTCTCCCATCCGTATGCGCATCCGAGTTTCCTACCTCAACCGCCCCCTTTCATTCTCCTTTCCTCCTGCTCCCCTTGTTAGTCTCCGTGCCTGTGGTTCCCCCTCTGATATTCCCTGCAGTGTGCTACCTTGATAATATATTCTACCTCACCCCCCACATTTCATTCTCCCTTCCTCCTGCCCCCCCTGTCAGTCGCCGCGCCTGTGGTTCTTCTTGGTGCTCGTTTGGTTTTGAGTAGCTCATGACATGGCGACCTTCGGCATTGAGGCGCAAGAGTGAGTTGCCATGTCGAGTAGTTAGTTGCCATGTCGAGTAGTTAGTTGCCATGTCGAGTAGTTAGTTGCCATGTCGAGTAGTTAGTTGCCATGTCGAGTAGTTAGTTGCCATGTCGAGTAGTTAGTTGCCATGTCGAGTAGTTAGTTGCCATGTCGAGTAGTTAGTTGCCATGTCGAGTAGTTAGTTGCCATGTCGAGTAGTTAGTTGCCATGTCGAGTAGTTAGTTGCCATGTCGAGTAGTTAGTTGCCATGTCGAGTAGTTTCCATGTCGAGTAGCTGCCATGTCGAGTAAGTTGCCGTGCCCTTGTGCGTCCGTCCGCGGCCATGTGCGCCCCTCCACATCCTTGTGCGCCCTTCCCCGCCCTTTGCGCCCTTGTGCGCCCAAATTCGCAAGCTGTGTGTCACACACCCCTCCCGCTCCCCGCCCACCCCACCATAACATCCCTTTCATCCCCGCTACAGTGTAGTGCGAATTATCCTACAATTTTGCAAGGAGAACGCGCTACAGAAGACGCTACAGGCGCTGCAGGATGAGTGCCAGGTGCCGCTCAACACTCGGACGCGCCCCCCCCCCCCCCCCCCCCCCACTCCCCATGCCCTCCTTTTATCCCTGTTACAGTGTAGTTCGCATCATCCTACAGTTCTGCAAGGAGAACGCGCTACAGCAGACGCTACAGGCGCTGCAGGAGGAGTGCCAGGTGCCGCTCAACACTGTTGATTCCCTCGAGACCTTCGCCGCTGACGTCAGCAACGGTCGGTGGGACGCCGTGCTTCCGCAAGTGGCCCAGCTGAAGCTTCCAAGAAAGAAGCTGGAAGACCTGTACGAGCAGGTGAGGACGAGAAGGTCTGCTCTTAATGTGCTGCCCGCGAAGGCGGGCGGGTGAGGACGAATGATTGAGAGGTGAGTGTGTTTGTGTGCCTGCCAGGTACTGTGTGCCTGCCAGGTACTGTGTGCCTGCCAGGTACTGTGTGCCTGCCAGGTACTGTGCCTGCCAGGTACTGTGTGCCTGCCAGGTACTGGGATTGCGGGAAGGGCACAGGGACAGTGCTTGATCACTGGGTGCAATTCATTTCAATCGCTGCTTTTTGGTCCACCAAATGCCACCTCTTTCCACCTCACTCCATCTTACTTCACTGCACTCCACCGCATTCCACCTGGCCATGACCCCCTGGGCGGCAGATCATTCCGGAGCTGGCGGAGCTGAGGGAGACAGAGACGGCCAAGTCTATCCTCAGACCAGACAAACGCCCACCATGCCCCACCTTGTCCCACCTCTCTCCACCGCACTGCACCGTACTCCACCTTCCACATGCAGATCATTCTGG